TGACTGTGCAGCCTCTGTCCTGGGAGGCCTTCAAGACTGGACTGGACAAGGCCTGAGCAACCTGTGTTGATATCTAGATGGACCCTGCCTTGACCAGGAGGCTGGCTGCAGATGGCCCAAGGTCCCTTCCAGCCTGAGCAATGATGTTGTTCAGATGTTCAGCCTAAATCGTTACTGCTGTAACTGTGACCTTTTCCACTTTCTCCTGCTCTGAAGGAACATGAAAAGTGGTTTATCCCCCTCCTCATTTCCCTTTAGCTAAATGAAGGCAATTCTGCCTTTTTTCAGGTTTCCCTGTTCTGAACAACTGCAGTTCTTCCAGTTGTTACTCCAGGGCCAGGTATCTGCATGATGTGCTTCTCAGGCCATGTCCCACATGGGCTGTATCTTATTTGTTAAATGCAGCATTCCAGATGGGACACGGTCCCTCCCCAAAGCGCACAGTGCTGAGAGTGCCATGTGTCCTGCAGCCTATATTCCTGTTTGCATAACCCTGCAAAATGTTTGCTTTTTTCTCAACAGCAGGGCCTTGTTGACTCACATTGAGTTTGCGTGGCACTGCACTCATACCTTGCTCTCTACACAGTTGGTGCTCAGACAGCAGCTACTCCAGCATTGATTGCTCCTGCCTAGCTGTAAAATTTGGCGTTTATCCTTCCAACAACTTCCTATTTGACTTTCTCGTCTCATTTCTCCAGTCCATCAAAGAGCATTTTGAACTATGATTCTGTCTTCTGAATTGTTTGTGGCACTCCCATGCAGTTACAATGTGGAGCAGCTCTTCTTGAGCTGCTTTTTCCTCCCTTTGTATAAAAACATTTCCCTGAGCTTGTATGATAACCTTCTGTTCTCCCCTCCCATAAGGGCTCTGGATATCACCAAGGCACCATTGCTTATTTGGGTAACTTCATTAGTTACTCACAAAAAGCCTCCTTCTTCCTACCACAACAGCATTTGCCTTTTTTTCCTCTCCCTTTGATCATTGATTGCAGTTATCCAACCTTTCAGTCCTCATCATTGACACAAGAAAAACATCCTCTGCTTGCCCTTCCTAAACAAGTGTTTATTTCTATGTTAATATTCCAGTCACTGTCACATTGATCAGCCACTACACGGATCAAATAATTTTGATTTTATACCAACCCTCACCACATCTGCTCTTTTTCCTTGGGAAAAAAATAATTGCAAGTGTTGTCAGATCTCAGGAAATGGCTTAAGTGGCTCCACGCAGGAAATTGGTAGTGACCTGCTTCTTTATGGGAGTTATTCGAAAGGTTGGGTTGAAGAGCACTTTAAGTATTCCACTCATTGGCCACAGCCACAACGGGTCTAAGCAGTGGGCAGTGAGGTGGGGAAAAGCTTTGTGTGTTCATAGGCGGCCACCACGGCTATTTTTAATGCCAGTGGCACCGTGTTGGGTCAGTGTTGATATGAATATCTTCTAAGTATTTTTTAAAATCAGATCTCATATTTTCCCGTAAGTGTTGCCTGTTTACCTTCACCTGGCTGCTGCCATGGTGAAGGAGATTGAATTTTGAGTACAGGGCTGTGATGCAGTTACAAATCCTTCTCATTAGCCTCACACATTCTGTTCAGATAGTTTCCAACATGCCTAGCACTGTCACTTGGTCTTACAAGTCTCCTCTGAGGTATCTATTTTACATTTTACAGGATCTAGCAAACCCATCTGTGCTGCCAATTTCACATCTCAACACCCATCTGCCTGAAGTTTCAGTGGTTGATGCAAGGCTGGCACTTTTTCTGTGCAGAACAGCTGACTCAATGCCTCTTCCCTCAGTCCTCCCTGCAAGGCATACAAGGTACGGTTAACCCTCTTTGGCTACCAACTGTGGTTACTACTGCAGTTTTCAAACACTTGCACTCATTCTGTTCCAAATATTCATGAATTTTTCTTTGCTGTGCTTTGTGACCAGGTCTCGTGTGTGCCCTTGTGTCTCATGGTGTTTCTGGTATCTACTTCAAGGGTCAGGCATTCTTAACAGCACCCTTTTCAAGCTCTGTATTCCTCTTGTGCCATTCTGTAATTTAGCTGTGCCAAATGCAAGTTAGAAACTCTAATTCTACACAGTTTTCCAATCAATGTTTTTCCAGTGGGGCTAATGGTTACTTGCGCAAACCTCACTTTACATGTATGTTTCCAGCATAATTAGGTAGGCAAACTGTGATTTAAAGTAAAGAATTATCCTGTTCAACAGCAGTATTGTATAGTAAATCATACCCTGTCTATGGTATCATACTACGGCTAGTAAAATTTTAGGAAAATAACAGCATGGAATTCAAAGTAGGTTTACATCGATTTTGATCCAAAAGAGGCAGGGAAAAATTAATGTCATTTGTCAACAACATGGATTTTTCTAATGTATGTGGATTTTTATGTGTAATGAAGCAGCTGCCTCAGTGTTGCTGTTTATTTAAGGCCAATATAAAATATCTGGCTCTTCTCTTGATTTGTTTTTAATTGCTCACTGTTTTTCCTATCTTCTTTCATAAATTTCGCTGTACAGTGTAATCATGGTCCATTTTCTTGCCACAGAGACTTTGCTGATTCCAAGACTGGTCATTCAGCTTCAGACCAGTCACTTCCAGTTATAAAAATCTCATCTGCCATTTTTACCATTTTTTTTTTTTACCACATTTACCATTACCTGTTCCTTTTATTTTTATACTGCATGCAATACTCTCCAAATAGCTATACTGTGTGGTATCTATATGTACAGATGGAGACATAGAGTTGCCCCTACTCCTTCGATTACCTAAAACATATGCAACACTTCAGGGTGATTTATGTTCTAAACTAAAGCTACCTTGAATTGCTTTTCTCTTTATTGGCATTTTTTACAGATACAGAAGATGTTGCTGCTTGGACTTTTTAGAGCAGCAAGCTACATTCTTGGGACATTTCTCTCTTGTAAGCCTTTTCGGTTCCTCATGCAAGGATTTCTGTTTTGTTTTTTAACTTCCTGCATAATCTGGAGCATGCTGTAGTTGCCAAGAGTTACTCTGAGACAATTTGCACTGAGTGTTATCAAATTGATCGGCACCCCCTGTTACCATCATAAAGCTCTGTTCACAGCAGTGCAGGTGTAACAGTTGTGACACTGAGTGACTTCCCAGGCAGATACCTCATTATCATATTCTCAGACACCATCAGAAGTGTAATAATATCAGAGCATAATAACTATCCATTGCACTGGTGCCATAAGGACTAATGTAATGGATAGTTGAAGCCAATGGAAAGATGAAGCCAATTTGGTTAGGACGCAGCCCCACCGTGAGGCTCAAGATGGCTGCTACTTCTTCACAAGCAGTGATCACAAGCAGTGCACAGGCTATGTGTGTGCCAACAAGTGCATCAGCAGACAAGTGGAAACACAGGAGCTTCTAGCAGAGGAAGTTTTAGGTGTTTTCCAGAGCCATGCTTCAGGCTTGGCCCCTTTTAGGGTAAACCCATATCCTGGTTTGTGGCACAGCTACTGATAGTGAAATCACGGAATCACAGAATTGGTTGGAAGCGACCTTTAAGACCACCTAGTTCTAATCCTCCTGCCATGGTCAGGAGCGCCTTCCTGTGTGGGGCGACCACATCTTCTCTGGGCAACTTGTTCCAGGGCCTCACCACCCTCACAGGAAAGAATTTCCTCCTAATCTCTAATCTGAATCTACCCTCTTTCAGTTTAAAGCCATTGACTCTTCTCCTACCACTACCTGCCTGTAGAAAGTCCCTCTCCAGATACCTTGTACGGCCGCATTTAGGGACTGGAAGCTGCTCTAAGGTCTCCCCAGAGCCTTGCCTTCTCTCAGCCTGTCCCTGTAGCAGAGGTGATGCAGCCCTCTGATCATCTTTGTGGCCTCCTCTGGACTTGCTCAAGCAGGTCCAAATGACCAGTGTGGGTTTGTTTCAGTGGGACACTTGCACTTACTTTCCATGGCACCATTTCAAGCCTGCAGCTCCCAGCTGTGTGATTCACCAGCTCCTCTATGCTTCAGGATGTATATTTACAGGCTTTGACCTGAGCCTGAGAGATGCTTGGGCCCTTTTTACCCATTGATGCCAACCTGGGCAGGCTGGGGCAGCCTGCAGTGCTGGCAGCACAAGGTCCAACCCAGAGGCCCTCAGAGGGGGTTCAGGTGATGGAGCTGCAGATCCAACTGTGGAGCTCCCCTCACAGCTGCTCCTCTGCAGCGGGTATGGTTTTGGTGTTTTTTCTGCTAAATTATACAAGCATAATCGTGTTGCTTAAGGTTAGCATGTGAGGACAGCATTTTTGTTGGCAATGCTTGTGGTAGCTTTTTTGTCTCCTCACTTTTGTTCAGAGTTGTAGTGCCACTATTGAAGCTTTTTACTGCCATTCTAAACATGAGAGAATCTCACAGCTCAGTTGAAGGCAATAAATACAGCTTTTCCTAATTCTGCTGTTCCTAGTTCAAGAGGTGGAGGGTGTTGTTAGTGAATTGTGGGGGTTTTGCCTTACAATAGAGGAAGTGAGAGTGAGATGGTATTATCTTGCCTAGTTTAGAGGGAAAGGCAGCTATTGGAAAGCCATAATTCTAGGAAGAAATACCTTTTTTTTTTGTTTGTTTGTTTTGTGAAACCTGCATGGGTTTTAGTTTTTTATCCACAGATTATACAAGCAGCCCGTAGCACAAACAGTGCTCGGAAGAGACCAGCAGCTTACATCCCTTTACCTCCCGACAGTTGGTGCCCATGGGCCTTCCAAGGCCGGGGCCTGGGCACGCCCCCTCGGGCCCGCACCCCATGGCGCCTGCAGCGAGCTCAGAGCGGACCCCGCGAAGCCCGTTGAGGGAAACCCAGCCCTTTTGCCCCCGGTTTCCCCGCAGCGCTCCGGGCTGGGCACCGCCGCGAACCCACAGTCAGATGCGGCCCGGCCCGGCCCGGCCAGCACGCCTCTTCTAGGAGGCAGTGCCCCGTGGCCGCGCGCCGCCTCCCCATTGGCTGTCTCTGGCTCGCCGACGCCCCCGTGGCTGCCAATCGCCGTGTGCGCTCCCGCTCTCTCCCCTCGGTGAGCGGGGCCGGCCCGGGACACGCGGGCTCTTCCTCCTTCTCCTCCTCTTCCTCCTCTGGGTGCTCTGCCGGAGCGCGGGTTGTCGCTGCCGTCCTGTGGAGCGCCCGTGGGTGAGGTGGTGGCCCCATGTGGGGAGAGGGAGGGGGGAGGCAGGAGGCAGGTGGGTCCCCCTCCCGCCGCCCCAAGCGTCATCCTTCAGCTTGGGGTGGGCTGCGCCACGCTGCGCCTCAGCGGCGGCGGCCTTTAAACGATCACTTTGAGGGGGGCGCTGCTTCAGGAATGCTTCCCTGGGGCTGCAGGGAAGGATGGCGGGCTGCGGGCTTGCGGGGTGGATGCTGTCCTGCTGCGCGGTTTCTCTTTGTGCTCGGTGAAAGAGGTGGGGACGGGCAGCTCGGAGCCGTGCTGGACAAGCGGAGCCGTGGAGCCAGCCCTGGTGCCGGCGTGCCTGCTGGGGAACCGCGAGGGCAGCGGCCCTGGGGATGCCCTGGGCAGGCCAGAGGGTGGCTGCGGAGTGCCTCCGCCCAGCAGGGAGCGGGAGGAGGAAAGATCGGCTTTCGGCTTCGCAGACGGGCTTGCGAGGTGGCGGTGTGCCTTTTGTTTGCCTTCTCTGGGTTTGGCCCCAGCTCTTCTACTGGCACAGGTTGCCCAGGGAGGTGGTAGGTGTGCCACCCCTGGAGACATTCAAGGCCAGGCTGGATGTGGTTGTGGGCAACGTGTTCTAGTTAGAGATGTGCCTGCTTATTGCAGGAGGGTTGAACTAGTTGGCCTTTGAAGGTCCTTTCCAACCCAAACCATTGCATGATTCAGCTGTTCTTGGCCTGTCATCCATTGTTTATTTGAGTGTCTCTTGGCAATGTTTTCTTGTTAAGTGTGGCTAATGCAGTGGACCAAGAAGCTTGTTTTCTTAACGTTTTATTTCATATATTGCCCTTCCTCCGTTGGGAAGGGTCTGAACTTGACTAAAACCTGAGAGAGCAACTCCAATAAAAGCGTTAGTAATGCTGCTGGCATACTATTGAATGAGCCACTACTTGAAAAGCAAGCGGTTCTTCTCTTGTTCCGGTTTGAGTAACTAGTCTTCTGTGTATCTCTCTAATCCTGAAGCCTTTGACCGTCGAGGTTTGGAGTGCTGAGCCCTAATCATAGAATCATAGAATAGTTAGGGTTGGAAAGGACCTTAAGATCACAGAATCATAGAATAGTTAGGAAGATCATTAAGTTCCACACCCCCTCCCCCCCCCCCGCCGTGGGCAGGGACACCTCACACTAAACCACATCACCCAAGGCTTTGTCCAGCCTGGCCTTGAACACTGCCAGGGATGGAGCATTCACAACTTCTTTGGGCAACCCATTCCAGTGCCTCACCACCCTTACAGTAAAGAACTTCCTCCTTATACCCAATCTAAACTTCCCCTGTTTAAGTTTTAACCTGTTACCCCTTGTCCTATCACTGCAGTCCCTAATGAACAGTCCCTCCGCAGCATCCTTACAGGACCCCTTCAGATATCAGCAAAGTTGCTTAGACTGTTTACCCTTTTAATGAGCCTGTTTCCTGAGTTGAGGCATGAGAGCTCCACATTCTGCAAAACATGTGCTGCAGAAGGGAGGGAAATCTCAGACTATGGGAATAGGCAAAATCTGGGGTTTTGTGTGAGGGAGGAAAGGTATTTACCAGAAAACTGAGACCGGCCCAGAGCCTGGCATTTCTTGGCAGGAGAATAGCTGTAGTGAGATCACTACTGATGAAGTACGGTTTAGGGTGCTAGGTTAGGTCCAGTACTTATGGTGTTTGGACAGATCATCCTTTTTGATATTAGTTGGTAGATCTTTAGTACCCTATCGTGGCCTCTGTGTGTGTGACTTAATCAGCCTGCTTTCCGGGAGCTGGAGTAGTACTTCTCAAAGTTGTGGTTGGTAGCCAGGGTCATGGGGGACCAGCTTCCTGGAGCATACATGCTGCACAGGTGTGTCACTCTGCCCTGGCAGCTGCCAGGATAGGCTGGCCTCTGGCTATTGGCAGGTACCTGCTGTCTGCACGTGAGACCCACAGGAACTGGGCAGACAGCAGGGTGTACCGTGCTCTTGGTTGCACCGTGGATGCCTGCCAAAAGCTCTGCAGATGTAGCCAGAGTGGGTGTCAGTTGGTCCTTCCCATGAAACATGCATGGGCCAAAAAGCTGGCTTCCTGCCTAGGCAGTGGTGACTAGCGGTTCTCTGCCAGCCTTTATGAGAGGTCCCTGACTTGATCAGAGGTCCCCAGGCTAACAAAAGATCTTATGCCTTGCAGTGAGGCAATGTAATGCTGGGGAAGGGGAGCTGTGCTTCCATTTATTTCATAGTTCTGGTCAGAAATTGAGAGCAGAGCTCCAACTCTTTTGTCATGATGGGCAACTTTTTCAATCTCTGAGCCTCTCTTACCCTACCTGTAATGCTTTTCTCCCTGTACCTGGTGAGCTTGGCAGATCAGGCGCACTGGTCAGGCTGTAGTGTTGGTCCATCTTTGTGCTGACTAAAGAGAGGGAATTGGAAGCAGGGAAAGAAATAAAGAAAGCTTCTGACTGCAGCAGTTAAAAATGCAGATAAGGTATTCTCTGGTCTTTAATGCCGTTTTGCTCCTTGGAGACGTCAGTCTTCACTTAGAAGACTTATCAGGTGAGTCCAGACAGTCTTGAAATGTGCTCAGAAAATGGGGATGTCAGAAGACACCTGTGTTAGGGCTGCATGCACAGGTTCCCTCATCACCTCTATAGAAGAAAATGGAAATAAGACTTTCCGTTCTTGAAGGATCTCTTCCTAGAGCCACAGTGTTAATTAATAACCTGGTTACTTTGGGTCACTTGATGCCTCCTGACACAGGAGCTGCCTGCCACTGAGGAATTAGCAAGGCAATGGACACACACACACACACTCTCACAAAAACCCAACCAACAAATCAAACAAAAAAAAAACCCAAATGTCTGCTGTCTCCTGATCACTTATAACTGTGGTGTTTCTGAACAGCTTCCAAAGGCTGGATGGGTACTTCTTTGTCTGGTAACCTGTAAAGATCCTAAAGCTCTCTAAGATTCTGTGATACTCAGAGTGAGCAGAATAACTGGTTTGCAGTGGTTTACTTGTTCACACAGTAAAGTACCTGCTTAACATCAAAGTTTCCCATTCTCAGGCCACAGCAAAATGCAACATAATCTCCTCTCTTGCTGAGCTGTCAGCCCTTGGGGCATCTCTCTGATTCATCTTTTACATGTGCCTTTTGGATAGCTTCATGTCTGCTTCAGACAAGACTCAAATGAATTAGGTTCTTGCATGCATGGTAGTCTTTAAATATCTATGTTAGTGCTGACTAAACAGCCTTAGAAGCCATAGCTCCTAACATATCTATGGTGTGAGTTCAACTCAGGCTATTTGAGGATTAATTTCACTCACTGGCCTTCAGTTGTGCTCTATGGGAGTTGAGAAATAGTCTTGGGTTTGCTGTGGAGATGGATCCAGAGATGTGAGCCTTGCCCACGAGGCTCTCTGGATGTCATATCTCTGCCTATGTCTCAATCCCCTTTGTGACTTAGGTTTAAATGGATCTGTGAATTCTCTCTGCAGGGCATGAGACAGAAAAATCAGATTTAATGCCAGAAGTTAGTCAGGCTTTTCTAGTTAGACTCTGCCCACACCCCCAGCTAGCTATGGGAGTGTTCTTTTTTACAGCAAACTTAAATTCAGGCTGGCAGAATTTATTTCCTGAAAATGGGCAACTCTTCCTGCAGCTTATCTCCCTCAAACTCTTTGGAGCAGCACTCATTGCAGTTAGAAAAGCAGAATTGCCATTCTTCTGTCCTGTCTCCCCAGTCTGTATCTCCAGAAGAAAGACTGAGGAGAGGGTCAGGCTAGCGAAGAAGTTGCTGTCAGCTTCTGTTTTAGTGATTTCTGATCACCCCCTTCCACCTTCCCCAAAGGTCTCCCCAGTAGAAAGAGGCACCAGCTTCCTATGGCCTGATTTGGGCCTGTGGGCAGGATCATGGGAGGGGAACATGGATGTCCTAGGCTGGCTACCTCTGCCTCTTAATTTGCTGAAGTTACATCATTTAGGGCTGTAAGCACCAGTGGATGTTCTGGGTGGTGTGTCAGGAATCTCATCAGTAGCACTGAAGGAGCTGGAAGATCTGAAGTCTTCCTGTTGGCCCTGAACATGACAGGTTGCTCTTGGGCTCCTGACCTGTTTCTTAGGTATAACTGTAAGCCATTGCAGGTGCTTTTCTGTCTCTGTTGACTGCTGTAGTGAGAATTCCCCTGTAGAACAATGAAGTCTGTCCTAGGATTTTGCCCTTCTTCAAAACCATAACATATTAGGTTGACCATAGCTGGTCAATGTAATCATAGCTGGGACTGACTATAGGCTAGTATGATTAGAATTTGGCTTAATAAATATGCATGTTTACCTGTTTATGCTGGATGGGTGTGGGGTTATTTAAAATAATGCCTAATAAAATTATTTAAAAGGATTTATTGAACAGAAGCTTGTGTTCCTTCCGATGAATGATGTTGCTTAATGTTAGCATTTGGGGCCAGGATTTTTGTTGTCAATGCCTGTGGTAGCTTTTTTCCTCTCTCCTCACTTTTGTTCAGAATTCTAGCCCCATTGCTGAAGCTTTTTATTGCCGTTCTAAACATGAGAGAATCTCACAGCTCGGCTGAAGGCAATAAATACAGCTTTTCCTAATTCTGCTGTTCCTAGTTCCAAGAGGTGTAGCATGTTATTAGTGGATTGTGGGGGTTTTGCCTTACAATAGGGGAAGTGAGAGTGAGATGGTATTGTCTTGCCTAGTTTAGAGGGAATCCTTCACAAGGCAGCTTTTGGAAAGCTGCATTCCAAGAACAAGTATTTATGGAATGTTAGTTTTCTTGGACTGATATCTCTCAGTCTAGTCCTGGTCAGTAGTCTAGGTCAGGATGTAGTTCTTCTTGGCTTTTACGCATGTATTAACCTCAATAAAGTAGAATTGTATCATTTTGGTCGTGTGGAAGACTTTGTATCTAGAAGGAGAATTATTTTAAGACTTAGCTGAGAAAGTTGGCACTTCCAAAGGCTTTTTGTTCCTAAAGGAGGGCAATTTAAACGCCTTAGTCATTTTCTTTAAATCAGCATGGAAGAAAGGAATTGGTGTGCATAAGGTAGTAGTGGTTACTGGTGCATATTAACTTGCAGGATCAAATGGATCACTGGTCCTGTGATTCAGATTCTATTTTCTTTTTTAAGTGTATGACCAGACCATCAACTCTGTCTGATCTAACCTTTGCCTGGTTTGTGTGCACTTGTCAGAAGAAGGAGGGACGGTTTCCAGGCCTAGTGCAATTCAGCAATGGAAAGAGCTGAATCTTGCTGCAAAAGGGTGCTGAGAAAAACAAATACTGGAGGAAAAACACTACACTTTCCAAGTCTTCAGCCAGGTCTTTGTCTTCAATGGAAAGGAAGCAGGCAGGCTGTATGAACTGTTTAGGTTAGGAGAAATGAAATCACTGCTTGCATTTTATATTTGCTGTTTTCTGAAACAAGAAGCCTGATAGAAGATTTGCTTGCTTTCTTTTGGTTGGAGTGTTTGCTGTTTGTGTTATATCCAACATCACTAAGTTTGTATGTGCAACAATAACTCAGTTTGGATAGGAACTTGTGAGATTTTGGTCTTCTCAAGGGTAGAGAGGCCTCTGAAATTGTTTCTGTATAAGAGAGTTTCCTAAGATGTGTACAGGGTCTTTTGGTGATAGCACCACAAAGCCCTTTCACCCTTGATGTCGCTTAGAAGTACATATCATGTGAACTGGAGTATTTGCTATTGCTTTATGTAGCTTTCAAGCTTATGGAATTGCAGTCAGTCCAATAGAGATTCTGGTTTTGCTTACTTCCCTGGATCTGAACTATAGAGGGCAAGGCAGAGCGAAGATAAGGTAATGTGGGAAGAGCAGAGTCAGGAGACCCTCCATTGTTCTTGTGCAATATCTCTGCTGCATGATTGTTATGTTTTTTAATCGTATTTATACAGGTCACTTTTACTTTGTTTTCAGCTGGTTTTTTTTTTCCCTAAGAAAGCAAAAGGTGTGTTTTGCCCCTAGGAGAGACTCTTTCCTGATTGGTTTTGTTCTGTTTTTTCCCTAACTTGCATGATCTGCAGCTTTGAAGAGGGTTCCAGTCTTGTGACCCACAGTACTCAGTCTTCTGAAGAAAGTCCAGTCTACTGTGCTGTCACCTTCACCAAAGAACATGGAGAAGTTGATGTTCGAAAGGCCCTTTGTTCTGTCTAAGGTACTCAGTGGTTTCTGGGGAATATTGTTTTCTGGGGAATAGTCTTTCTGTGTCCAGAATTTGGGAAAGTGAAACCCCCAGAGGGATTTCAATGTTTGTTTGGTGTGTTTTTTCTGTTTTTTCTTTTTTTTTTTTGTTTTGTTTTGTTTTTCTGGAATGCTCTGGAGGTAGGTGCCATTGAAACCAGAGGCCTTTCTGGAGAAGTTCTTCTTCATGACCACAAGGAGCAGTGCAGGATCTTCTGGCACCATTTTCTAATTAGTCACCAAGTAGCCTTCCTGTGTTCCTTTCTGCTCAGAGTGGGGAGGTTTTATTTAGGAGAGCTGCTTTTCAGTGTGGGAGGGGTGTCTCCCATGAGACTGGTCCTCTTTTCTTGATATTTATGGAGGGTAGTTACAGTAAGCATATGCTTCAGCATGTTTAAGTTATCTTCATGTAGGGTACTGTATAGAGCTTTTGCACTGAGTGTTGCAGGGTAAGATTCTTGTTTTGGCAATAAGGATTTAGCAAAGCAAAACTATGCTGAAATGCTTTTCCATCTTCACAGTACGATGGAAGCATCAACTGACCGTGAAAATACCCATTTGTTATGACCTTTTTCATGTAAAGGAAAACCAAGACTGGGACACTTCAGTCCTGTAACTGGGACGTACTATGCTTTCTCCCCTACTGCCTGGGTCTTGGGTACAAGTGGCAGGATCTCCTGTACCTATTCTTGGGTGTTAGCAGTAGTTAGTTAGTTAGGGTGTGGCAGTACCTATTCGTGGGTGTTAAAAGCTACTTGTTGCCATTGCCCATTTTAGCTTATAGGCAATACTGTTCTCCTGAAAACTGCCACCAGGGTAGTTGCTGTTCAGGCTTCCCGCAGAAATACTGCATGCTGAAACACTAGGCTGGCAGTAGATATGGTGGTGATGAGACAGAGACAAGAATAAGGAGTCCTTATTAGTAAAATGATTAAAAATCATTTTAGGGGGGCCAGTGATGTGAATGGGGTTCTCCTGTGGTGCAGAACTTAAGTAACTTAGATAACCTCAAAGAATGCTCTGACCTTGTTGCAGCAAGGCGTATGAATTACTCTCCCCCTCTTTTATTTAATTTTTCCCCCCATCCCCAAGGATGAAATGCCTATGGTTCCTTCCCAGGAGAAGCCAGAGACAAATTCATGCCCTCATGCACCTGGCAAAAACTGTGTCTCTGGTGAGAGGAACAATGGGAACTGCAAAGCTAATGAGAAGGAAAGGGAGTGGATCCGCCCTGATACACCCAGCAAATGTACATGGAAGCTGGGGAAACCCCTCTCTGCCTCACCCCATCGTCATACTACTCTGTAAGTATTACATACAGCGCTAATTTTCAGTGCATCACTAATCCTGGACCCCTCAGAGCTATGTGGATTTAACAAAAGATGACTGATTTAAATTGATGCTGTTTAGCCTGTATGCTAGTGCTTTTAATTCCCATGTATAAGCAAAGCTAAGAATCCAGATTAAGCATATAAGGGGCCTTGCACCAAAAATGCAAATGTACATGGACTAAACTGCCTTATTTTAAGTAACCTGGCAAGCAGTTCCCTGAATTGATGAAAGATTGCACTGTTAATGCCTTTTGCTTGTAAAATAGCAGCCTCTGAGCAGTGTTAAGCTACTTCATGCCAGGAGGAAGTACAGAGCACTTAATTCTTGCCTCAGCACTTGGCTTGATGTCTGGTTAATCCTTGTTTTGGATCAAGGACTGAATGTTTGTGAATCTGTATCCAACTGACACTATTTTAAACTAAAATATTTACAAAAATTAACTCTCGTGAAAAGGAGGGAGAAGGATGATTGAAAAAGCATCGGAAATACTGTGTTACTTTTGTATGACCTGCCTGTGGCTCCCTTTGTGAATAAACTGACTTTGTTTGTATGTGTACCAGGCCAGAGCCTCTGAAAATCCTGCCAAGCATCCTGGATAAAGTTGGCAATACACCTTTGGTGCAAATCAACAAGATTGGGAAACAGTATGGGCTCAAGTGTGAACTCTGTGAGTACTGCTGCAGGCCGAAAATCAAATATATGAAGTTTATGGCTGCTTCTCATATTCAGAGTATACATCAGTGTGTGCAAAATACAGATCTGCAGTTATCACTGAAGATCACAGGAAACAATTAAAGTAATGAAACTGTCAGTGAATGGTTTGCTGTTTTGTTTAAACCCCAACTATGCTGGAGATATCTGGAGGCTCTGATCAGAGTCCTGAAAGGTGGTGTTTAGCACCACTGAAAGGATTAATGCTGGGAGTACTGAAATCAAAGTGTAGGCTGAACAAGGGGAGAAACTTCCAGGTTGATCAGAAACTCTTTGGCTGAGGAATGTACAGGGGAAGAGGTAAGGTGTATTGGTGGAATTCTCTTCCCCCATGCTATTGCACTAGAAGAGCCAAGGGGCTTTTTATCTTAATGACTGGACTGTAATAAACAGTAAAGATTAAAGGAGAGGTCATATTTTGAGGAGACTGACAGAATATGAGTGGCTTGGCTTCTGTGTCCAGCATCAAGTACGAAACTTGCCATGTTGTTGTGACCCATAACAGTGGAGATGCTGTGAACTGAATCCCCATCTCTGGTGGTGTGAAACACTGAGGTGAATTGGACAGACATGTTAACATTGTTGCTCTTGCAGATATTTGAGGCATAAGCAGTCTATTTAGCAAATTACTGCTGTTTAAGAACTCTGCTTGGTTTCTTTGTTTCCAGTGGCAAAATGTGAGTTCTTCAATGCTGGGGGCAGTGTGAAGGACCGTGTCAGCCTGAGGATGGTAGAGGATGCTGAGAAGGCTGGGATCTTGAAGCCTGGGGACACGATCATAGAGCCAACCTCTGGAAACACAGGTAGGGAATGGAGAGATCTCTAGCAAAGTGTGGGGGAAAATGCTGTGATGGTTTTCCTGGAAAAGGCAAGACTTAAGATTGGAGCATGGAGGCCGTCTGTGCAGGGAAGAAAGAGGATCTCTTCCTGCTTGCATGGTGTAGGGAGCAGTGCCTCTTCCATCTCACACAAGGAACAGTTTTGCAATGGCCTATGCTGACCAGGCTATGCAGGTGGGAAGGAGGCCTGTTCAATTTGCAGGGGCTCTTTGCTTTAAAATAAAAGAAGTTTTAGCCCAGATTCACCAGGATATTTAGGCCCTATTCAGAAATGAAAGTCTGACTGAAATTATTGGGGAAAAAAGCACCAAAAGGCTGGTGTGAATCTGGATCTTCCCCTTCTGAGGTCATACTATCATATCCTGCTTTCTGGTCTATAGGTTTTACAGGATTCTCCTTGTCACAGAACCCAAAAGATAGAAAGAAGGCAGAACTGAAGGAGATACAAAACAATTACTTCAGAAAGCTATCTTTTAATGTAAAAGCAAAGACCAGGGCAGACAGTAACCTGAGAGAACTGGATTTTGCTCTAGACAACTGCTTAGAGCTACTGAGTATGTTAAATGTAGGAGCTAATGTGTTATATTTTTGTCCTCTCTGCATCCCACTTCTCCCTCAGCCAAAGTCCTGTGTTGATGTTTGTTGCATTTGCAGTTGAGTAGCAGAACCTACAAAGTGGTAGAGTTCAGGTCTCAAAATACTTTCTTCATCACAGACCAAAATGGAAAGAGGGAAAGTGCTGGAAGGCTTCTCTTCAGTCCTCAGCCTTAGTGAGGCCTTTGCTGTCTTTTTTTTTTTTTTTTTGGCATCCTTATTTATCTGTAATATGCTGAGAAAAGTTTCTTTGGGCTCACCCCCCTAGTATTTAACCACTACTTGATTTACTAGAGGTGTAGGTTATTCTTCTCTTACAGGAACAGTTAAAGACTACTTTTTTTTTTTTCCCCACCCCTAATCAATCCAGCCTAGTCTAGAAACAGAGCCAGCTTTGAACAAGCAAGTCTCTGTGTGGGGTGAAGTGCCTGTGAGGCATTGTCATGAGCATGTGTTGGTATTGTGCCTAGTGCCCATATCAACTAACTCGATCTGTTTAGCTTATCCAGCAGAAAGGTTATCTGATGACAGGTGTAAGCTTCTCTTCTATAGGGGAGGCAGTTCTGAGCTTAGCTCTTCAGGTAGGCAGACAGTGACAAGCTAGAAGGCAGAAATCAGGCTGGAGGTGAAGATGTTTAAAGTAGAAATGAGGTGTCTGTCTCTAACTGTCAAGGTACTTCACTGTGGTAGCAAGTTGAGACAGTGCATTAGAGCCTCAATCACAAACAGCATCTAAATCACATCTTTTCTGAAAGGACTTAGTTTCAGCCCATTGCAGACTAGGGATTTAAGGCAGAAATGGGTCTTTAATGCTCTTCTGACAGTATCAAAATGATTGCTCTAGTCTTCTTTAGCTTAAAGCTCATTCCTTTACCAGATAAAGTGGCTGAGACAGGAGAAAGGGAATATGCATGTGTTAAAGCTAGTAGTTTGTACAAGTCAAGTTTTCCCATCCTTGGCTAAACTTTGTGTTGGTTGTGATCCTCAGAGAACTAGCAGCATCTGTAAATCCAGTTCTCCTCAATAGCCAGAAATGTTCCTTTTGCCATACCTCTAGAGACACTGTACTCAAGCCTCTGGTGAAAATCTGATTAAAGCCAGGGCATGCCAAAGCTAGCATTGTGGGTTTTGCTCTTTGTTGCTCCTCACTAAATACTCTACATGTCTTTGCTTGCAGGAATCGGGTTGGCCTTGGCTGCAGCAGTGAAGGGTTACCGCTGTATCATTGTGATGCCAGAGAAAATGAGCATGGAGAAGGTCACATCTGTTTTTATTTTCAAGAATTTACAAATAAGGAGGTTTGCACTTGCAGAGCTCCTGGTGCAGATGAGTGCTGTGCCTTTAGCAACCAAGATTTAGGCATTTGGTCTCTCAACTCTGCTGAGGGGCTGTTGCCAGAGCCCAGAGAAATCCATGGACAGAAAATGTCTTTTAAGACCCATCCCCACAGCACTGTCACTTTGAAAACTGATATAGCTGTTTTAAATACAAATGTCAAAGGAACTTGAGATTTACCTAGCCCATTGAAGTGACTACATGTCCCTGGATTAGCTCTCTGTCACTGAGCAAAGGAGGATGAAAGAAAGCAATGCTGAAGCAAGGCTGTGAGAGAGCCTGTTGAGATCCTCAGGTTACACTGAGCAGTACTGGCAAGCATCTGAGTTGTGCCACCACAACAACAAAGGGGAAGGAAAAGGTGCCTGAGTAATGCCAACTTACCTTCACTGTGGAAAGCACAAAACATCTAGCTCTAGACCAAGCCCTGTCCTGCGGTGCTACACCTGCAGCCAAAAGAAGAGTAGAGAGTAGAGAAGAGATCCCATGTGACTCATAGTTGAGGCAGCAAATTGTCAGTAAAACTGCTTATTTCCATTCAATCACTTCCAGTGTTCCAACTGAAAGGCAGTGTCACAAATAAGAACAATATCCCCTGAAGGCCTATACCTATTGTTTGCTCTTACGTGCTGCGGAGGGAGAGGTACTGCATGGTCATTGGTGGTATGCAGCACCAAAGGCCTCCCTCCTTTCTGAAGACAGGCTTTGCCTTATCTCGGTATCATCAGTTTGCACTTGTGAGTGGTTACAGTTGAGTGGTGCATAGGGTCTTGGAGGATTTTGTTTGCTGCCTGTGTCCAAAGGATGAGGTACATATGCATAATCTGCACTTAAAATACTGGGCTAACAGCACTGTTGGAGTGTGGAACATACGTGACCAGCATAAGAGGAGATGGTGTTTTGCCTCAGTAAGTCTTCTCAATATGTAAAAATAGTCCCTACAGGCCTGAAGGCTGAGGATAGAGGCAGGAATTTGACCTCTATCTTCTCAGTAAAGCTTTTTTTAAGATCAAGTGACATTAAGGATTTGGACCCATGGCACAGTGATGTGAGGCTGGGGTCTAGGAGAACTCCTAAGGAGGCTATTGCAGGCCAGGCGAAAGGGAAGAGGTTTTCTTTCCCCTGTATCCTAGTGAAGTCTCTGTACTGGGAGAGTGTTTTCTGGAGTTGTGACCACCTTTATTTGCTACAGGTGGATGTCTTGAGAGCTTTGGGTGCTGAGATTGTGAGGACCCCAACTACTGCTAGATTTGATTCTCCCGAATCTCACGTGGGTGTAGCATGGAGACTGAAAAACGAAATCCCCAATGCGCACATACTAGACCAGGTAAGAGCCAAGGCGTCAGGCATGGCATGGGAAGAGGTATTGCTTGTTCCTTAGTGCCCTTGGCTGACTGTTCAACACCTGAAGTGTGTATCTGGAGGAAAAGATGTCTGAGGTCGGAAGCTGAGCTGTCACCATGCTGTGGGGTAGCAAGTTTTTATAGTCATTAGAGGGCAGCAACGAGCTCATGTTTGCAGAAACTGCAAAACAGGGGTTTTGCTGCCACATGGGCACTCCTTTGTAGAAGAATGGGCACAAGGGTCATGACGTACCTAAAAGAAACTGTCCCACAGACAGGACTGATCATGGCATTAGTGGGTGCTGGCACCTTAGAACTACTCTTAAATTAGGTCACTTAGGAAGGTTGTATCTCCCCTCAGGTACTCTGCCTAGGTCCAGATGATAGATAAGGAAGCAGTGTGGAAAGGGTATATGCAGCTGTTGTGGGGCTTTGGGAATTTTAGCCATGTTTTTGAAATGCCTCACAATGTGAATTTTGTCTTTCTGGTCTACTTAATTGGCTATTTTGTCTTTCAATATAGTACCGTAATGCCAGCAACCCCCTGGCACACTATGACACCACAGCTGAAGAGATCCTGCAGCAGTGTGAAGGTATGCTTGCTTTTCAGTGGGTCCCTATTAGTCTCTTACTGTTAGGTTCTTGGAGAATGAGTACTGAGGTGGATGAGAATGCACGGATTTTGATATAGCAAATCCCATGCCTATGCTGGGTGTCGTTAGAGAATTACCTTATTTGGGTAGTTGTAGTAATGCTTTTTTTTTTCCCCATTAAAGAAAGATGCTTTAATTTTTAGACTCTTTTGCTTGTGATCAGGTGGAGAAAACAGTGATGCTTAAGTTATCTTATTAAAAAAAAGAAAGCCACAGATAGACTGGCATGAATGAATAGGGTCATTTTTCTCAGCTCAAAAATACAAACATAGGTACAGCCTCAGACCAAATACTCAAGCACTCTGGTAGCTTCTTCACTTCGGAGTCCTCAGGAGTAGAAACTGCTCTGTGTTGCAGATGTCACCAGTAAGACGTTTTTAGTCTGCACAGATCACTTCAATGTTAGCTCTAGGCAGCTGAGTTGGAGTACCAGAAATGGTTGAAGTGTGGCAGCAGAGAGCTTTAGCTGGGCTAACTCCCGGCTGAGGAATTGGATTGAGAGCTGTTGGAGGCATTCAGTGTGATGAATAGGCTGCAGCCTACCATGTAGGCATTTGCCATAGGCAGTAGAATGAAGTAATGTAAGAGGCTAGTGATCTGCCTTATAAAATAGTGCTCATGACAATGACCAAAACAGTATTTATCATGTGAAAATGAAAGAGTAGTTGTGTTAACAGTTCTCTAAAATGGTGCCTATCCCATGCACTTGGCACTTGTTCAGTAAATTATCTAATATAATGGGCTGTCTATTTTAAGTTAGAAAATTAATTATCTGTGTCAGGAAATATGGTAACAGTAAAACTACAGGTGTCTCCTGTATGAGCCACCTCCATCTGTGTCCAGAGTACCACAAATTGGTGCCTTGCTAGCCCATTGAATGAATATTTCAAAACCACTGCTGAAATAAATAAAGATTGAGAAAGGTGGTCTCAAGGTAGGTCTCATAACAGCTCTTGGGAAACAAAGAGCCTTTTCTGACACTTTTTGCATTTTGTTGAAGAAAGTCCATACTTGGAGTAAGTGGGGTTTTAATCCCTCATTCTTCCCTGGAAGTGTTCAAGGCTGGATGGGGCTTTGAGCAACCTGGCCCATGGCAGGGGGATTGGAACTAGATTGTCTTTAAGGTACTTTCCAGCCCGAGCCATTCTATGGTTCTACGATTCTGGGGGAGATTTTACAACTGTTTTCTATCCTTAAACAGGAAAAATAGACATGCTGGTGGCTACAGCTGGCACAGGAGGCACTATTACTGGTATCTCCAGAAAGCTAAAGGAGAAGTGTCCAGGTTGCAAAGTAAGTGGCAAACCTATTTTTCTGTAGTGGGGTGAACTCCAAACTGCTCCACTTGGCCCGTGCCATTCCTTGCAAGCCTGCCCTGGGTCTCTATGGGAAGCTCATGGATTTTCTCAGTTAAAAGGTAGTTCTAAGCAGCAAAGAAAAGTTGTCAGGCTGTCTGAAATAATGACAGGTCGGTCTCACTGGTGACCAGAGTTCAGGTTTGTCTCAGCAGATGAAAACTTGCCCTCAGATCCCTTCATGGGGTGTCTGAGAAACTTCCTTCACTGGTGTGTATTGCAGTTTTGTGTCCCCTTTCAGACTGTGCCTTCACTAACTTGTCTGGAGCTGCCCAGGTTCTACCCAGTGAACTTTTTTCTGCACACACCAACCTATGTGTCTACCTGTGTACTGTGTTAGATTTCCTCACAGAAGTTGGTATTGTGTTTCAATTGTGAATACTTGCCTACAGACAGGGAGTGGTAAACAAAATAATACTTACCTGCTTACACTTGGCACAAATATATTGGCTGCAGCGGTGCCTTACATGTGAAGAACGATAGTCTTGTTTCACAGAAACCCTGTCTTCTGTTTAAACCAAGCAGAGCCCATGTAAAACAGGATGGTGCCCTTCACTTAGTGTCCACAGCCTGAGGAGACAGGATGGGTTGCCAAGGGGCCAGAAGCAGCAAAACATTTTGCTCACAGGGGAGGTGAATGTTGCCAGGAAGAAATGAATAGGAGACTAGCTTGCTGTTAGCTTGGCTGTGTGTGTAGCCAGTGTGACACAAACAGCTGTAAAGAGGCCAGTGCTCATGAGTAAATAGCTGTACTCTCAAAAACAATGTATCATAGTAGCCAAAGTGAAAACTGCTTCTTCAGATTATAGGTGTTGATCCTGAAGGCTCCATCCTTGCTACACCAGAAGAACTGAACAAGACTGACAAGACAATGTATGAAGTGGAAGGAATTGGATATGATTTTGTCCCCACAGTGTTGGATAGATCTGTGAGTCATGCTTCTTCGTTTACTGACTTTTGTCCTCTGTTGGGATGCACAAGTGAGGTGAAAGGTGGAAGTAAAACTTGGGGAAATATTTCTTTGAGCTGAAAGGTGAGGGCTAGCAGACAGAGCTATTCCCGTTCCATCAGCAAAAGGAGTCCTTGAAAAGTTTCTGCAATGGCCACATTAGTTTACAAATGCTGCGAGCAGATAACATTTTCCTAGAACACAGAACCTTTCTTTTTCTCTTTAAACTCAGCCCAGTCAATCAATTAAAATAAACCCAAAACCCCAAGCCAGAACCAACCAACAGAGCATCCCAACCCCTCCTGGCCAAAAGTGGTATGACTGTTGTGAGCAGCGCTTGTGTTCCTGGGAAGCCCTCCAAGATGGGAGGAAACTGATGCTCTTTGTGTCTGTCTCGCCACAGCCTGTTCTCACAGCGAGGTTTCAATAAGGAGTCTGTTGTGTTAATGTGATCGTCTTACCTTGGTGAAAAAAAGCCACTTGGCATTTGGAGGATGGAAACCCAGGCACATGGCTAGGGCTCAGTTGGGCAGCTGTTACCTCAAAGAACATGAGTTGAATTCACACTAGTTGTGTAGCTTCCCTAGTCTTCCTCATTTAAATATACCCTTTTTTCTGTCTTCCTGCTCCTTCCCAGACAGTGGACCAGTGGTACAAGAGCAACGATGAGGAGTCGTTTGCTTTAGCACGCATGCTGATCCGAGAGGAAGGACTGCTGTGTGGTAAGAGCAGATGCAAATCCTTTGAGTTTCTCTGAATAGTGTGGGAGGTTGAAGCCTTGTGCAGGTCAGGGGGACCTCCTGCCACTTCAGAAGCTGTCTTCTTCACCCTGGGCTCCTCTGTGGTCTCCCTTCTTCTCATGCTTTCTCATTTCACTTACAGTTTGACAGTTTTGTTTCTGATCTGCATTTTGACAGGTGGCAGCTCAGGCAGTGCCATGTCTGTAGCTGTGAAGGCAGCCAAAGAGCTGAAGGAAGGTCAGAAATGTGTTGTTATCCTCCCTGACTCTATCAGGAACTATATGTAAGAACCTGCTTGCTTTCTCTCTGGGAAAAGGGTGAGACAGTCCTTCAGACCTCCTTATAGCAGTGGCGAGTTGAATACATATTTTTTACAGGACCAAGTTACCCAAGCAAGGAATGTGTCTGGGACACAACTTCTGAGGTATCTAGAAAGGATCTGACATGAAGTAGAAATGAGCTTAGGCCTCTGAAAGCTGAGCCACTTCTTGTGTCTGACTTCAGTATATAACCATCACTGGATAGGATCTATCACAGGAAAAAGCTTGCTTTCACTGTTTACCATGGGTATCAGCCCATTAGTGGAAGAGTCCCTGTAAGGCTGTCTGCTCTCTCTGCCTGTGTCCACAGCAGAACACAGCACTACTGTAGCAGCAGCCAGTGTTGGAGTGAGTTTACAGGTGGAAGTGTGGGGACTTTGAGCTGTGCCAAGAAGTTTCTGTCCTACCACACTGAAACATATCCCGAAACATATCCCAAAACATGGTGGTTTTAGTTGTGTTTCCTGACTTCCATTGCATCCAACACAACACTAGACAGCTAGAAACTAAGATAGACCTTGCCTGAGTACAGGTTGGCACTTCACTGTTCCAGGCTATGTGTCTATTGTATTGCAAGAGACTCATGTACTTGAAACTGTTTCATATGGGATTCCTTTTTCTTCTCAATGTCCCTGGCTGCGTGGGTCAGTGTCCCATAAGGTTGGATGGCAAATGGCAATACGTTTTCCATTACACTCTAGTTGTTAGCGGTAGTGAGCTGAAAACAGTTGCCTCTGTTATAGTATTAAGTTTGCTGTCAGATGTTCAGCCTGCTAATGAGCTTTTCACTTCCTGATACTTTTCCAGGTCCAAGTTCTTGAGTGACAAATGGATGATTCAGAAAGGGTTTATGAAAGAAGAGGACCCTGGCAAAAAACCTTGGTAAGCATGTCAGATCCATTTGAATTTTCATGAGTCTATTCAGTTGACTTCATGGCAGTTGCTAAATTAAAGCTATTTCAATTTACACTACCTTTGATTTAGCTAATATTTCATGCTATTGTGTTGATGCATAATTGCAGCTATTAATCAGGTCTGCTTAAATTATTTGATATCCTTCTTTGAGTTGCATGGCAGCAAAGGAAAACTTGGTACTTGATGATTTTTTTTTCATGAAAAGGGTTGTATCTGAAATGAAAAAGTAGTTCACAGAGAACCCTTCTGAGAACAGTGTCCTTGAATGCAAAGCTTTGTGAGTCTACGTAAGTGGAAGGGGATCTTCCCTAAATTGGTGCCTATAATGACTGTAAATATGGCTGGCTCTTGGAGTAGGAGCACAAAATTTTCTGTTTAAGGTACAAATAATGAAACTAGGGAGATCAGTACTCTCCACCAACTATCTGTAATCCTAGGAAGTAGATGAAATGAGGAAAAGACTTTTGGTCTTACAGCCTTCTCACACTGCAGTGACTTTCTGATACTGGGGAGAAAACTTGAGAGCCTTGAAGCTTTGCTGGCTCTGACTGAATCCTGACTCTTCCCTGCAGCCTTTTGTTATCCCTGTAGTGTTGAAGTCCACTGTATGTGGATAACTGACTGGTTTTGTTCTCTCCGTAAGACTTGTGTGGGTTTGTTTTTTATTTCATCCCCAGGTGGTGGAACATCAGTGTTCAGGAGCTAAGCCTCTCTGCTCCCCTTACTGTGCTTCCAACTGTTACCTGTGCAAAGACTATTGAAATTCTGCGGGAGAAGGGATTCGACCAGGTACCAGTTGTTGATGAATCTGGGTATGTCCACATATATCATTATTCATCTATATGTATCACTTCCCTCACCAGGTCCCAGGGGAAGTCTTTTAAGTGGTTACAAGAAGTATAATATCCTGTCACTCATCTTTCTTCAGTTACAGTAACACAGTTCAGAAATGCTACCTTAAACACACCAGTGCTGGACTTAGTATGTTGTCATGCCTGTACTGTCCTGCCCTTCACGTAATAAGCTTCTAATGATTATTATGACATACTTACTGTGTTTCTGCAGGGTATTTTCATTGTTTCTTATAATAGCTGTTTAACTTCACAAAGCAAAACTTCATGTTTAAAACAAACAACCCCAAACCTACCCATCTCCACAACAGCTTTCACCTAGTTTCTTCAGAACTCTGCATTATAGTGCAATGTTGTAGTGACCCCTAGAAAGAGATGAGGGGTTAAAAGAGTGAAGTTGTGCTTTTCAGAAGCTCTCTTGGATTGCAAGAAACTCTCCAGTTGCAAGGACTAGAGATACAAAGGGCCTGATGTTCAGAAGGGCCAGGCACCCTGCTGACTTCTGTGTGAGGCTCCAGAGCTTCTGAGAACTGGACTCTGCCTCCTGCGGAGGCAAAGAATCCAAGTATACCATCACTAATGTTGCTTTATATCATGAAGCAGTTGAACTGACTTCTCCAGGCTGGCTGAGAGCTGATGCTTTTATCTACAGGAATACCTGAGGCTTTTATGTTGATTATCCTTATATGTTATCTTCTCTCTCTCTTTCCCCAGGGTGATTTTGGGCATGGTTACTCTGGGTAACATGCTTTCTTCACTGCTTGCTGGAAAAGTTCAGCCTTCTGATGAAGTTAGCAAAGTAATCTACAACCAATTTAAACAGGTAAGCAGGTATATTCTACAACTCCTAGTTCTATGGTTCAAAGTACTACTACTGTACATGCCCTAACACTACAGTGGCATCGGGTTGGGTAAGGTTACTGAGCACAGATGTGCTAGGTTACTTAATAGCACCCAGGTTTGAGTTGTGTCTCTACATAATTCTATTCCATTACTTCAACAGGCTTTCTTCTAGTATGCTTGTCCTTTCCTCTTTCCCCAAAAATCCTGGCACAGATGGCAATGTAACCAGGAGAAGTGACAGGGAGTTGTTGAAACAACTCTTCTAAGTAATTTCTGTATCAGCCAGAAAACAAACGTTTGCCTTTTGTATCAGATGCCTTACTGAAACACAAGGTGGCTGCCAAAACCTAATGTTGTCAAGCTATGTGAATTTTGATGTTAGTCACTTTTACCTGTTCATCCAATGTGGTATGCCAAGATACCACAACTTCCCAGCTCTTCTAAAATACATTTGTTGTTACTGTTGCTTTGCTTCTCTTGCAGGAAAAGGATTTTGTTTTTAACACAGAATGCTTGACCTAGTTTTCACCAGGCTTTGGCTTCAACACTGTCCCACACTAGATGAGGTGCTGTATTCCAGAAGTATATGTAATGTTTCCATTCAGTCCACAAACTACCAAGTCCCTGAGGTTGAGAAATGATGCTAGTTCTTTATGGACAAATGTAAATATATTTTTTTCCTTCCCAGACAGATAATCAAGCATCAGGTGGAAATATGGTGCGTAACAAAACTGCTTAGTTCATATTCTCCCTCACTTGGGCACCTTAAGAGTTCCTGGGGCTGGTGGTGTGCAGTTTTGTAGCTACAATGGTGTTAGCTGCGGTAGCCAATTCTCTGCACTTCTGAGGTTGTGTTTTTTTTCCATGAGCAGCTTGAAGTTTCTTATGCTTCTTCAGTAATGAACAGCTTAACCTTTTCATTTGCCTTTAGTTTTGTCTTTTCCATGGTGGAGGATGCAAGGGGAGTGACATAGAAGTGGTGGTATTGTTAACATGCTAACTAGAAGTGTCATTCTGTGGTTATTTTCCGTTTGAATTGATGATTTAATGAAGCAACACAGTTAAATGCACATAACATCAGAAGTATTGTGGATTTTGCTTTTCTTACCACTTTAGTCAGGCTTATTTGACTTGTTTATTGGTAAAACTGGGAAAACAGATCATGTCATGAAATGACTTTTGATGTGCTACAGTTAGGATCTGTACCACAGCCTGCACCAGTATGAGGTTGGCTTAACCGGTGACTACCAAGGCAAAGCTATTCTTTGATGTGAGCACCACAGTTATTTTGTGGAGATCTTTTAGAATGGAAGAGTAATGGTTATAACTTTTTTTAAAGTCTCCAGTAGAATACAACACTAGGGCTTTGAAACACTAACCATAGGATAATTTGCCAATCCAAACAAGTGCTGTGTGTTAAAGGAGAGGAGGGTTGTTCTTGTGGAGTCAGGTGTTAGTTCCAGTTTATGTCTTCGTAGTTGTCCCAGTGCTGCCTGTGGGCTCCTTGTCCTGATTATCTTTAGTCTACCCTGTTCCTGAAGACAGGTCTATTGATTATACACAATCAGATGGCAAGGGGCTCTACCCCTTCAGTGACCTTTGAACTTGGGTTCAAAAGTTAGGCTTTGCATGCATGATTGCACACAAAACTGCTTGTCTGTCAGTGGTGGTGACTGACAGTTGACTTGATGCAGCAGTAGGTCTAGATTTCTCTCCACCCTCACCTGGTCTACAGGTTTAAGGATTGGTGTTTCAGCATGCACTGTAGCCTGCTCGTCCCTTAAACACAGGCTACTGGGGGTCCTTTTGATCTCTTCTAACTTACAGTGTGTTAATGAGAGCTCTGTGTTCCAGTGCAGCCCAACTGTTTATGCTGCGGCACTTATTCCTCAGTTACAAGCTGACCTCATGGCAGGATAAAGGCATTTTAATCTGCGGTGCAACACTTTGCTATAAATTCTTTTAATCCCCTTTAATGAAAGTATGTCAGATGGTGGGTGCTGCTGTTACCTGGGAGAGTCACTGGATAATGAACCTGTTGCTGCTGTTTCATACATTAAAGCATGTAGGAAGAAGAGTTTTGTGCATTCTTTCAAATGATTCCAGCAGGGGATTGGCTAAGTATTTTAGAAGGATCTGTATTCTTTCTGTAGTCAACATAGGTGCTTTCTTGTCTAGCCTTTGTAATGTTGGACCTCACTAAAAATGAATTTTTAATTCCTAGTTCCTTCCTTTGTACGTGAATACAGTGTTAGCTGAGCAATCTTTACTCTTGGTTTTGGCTTGTTTGTGCTTTTCTCTTCCCCTGCCTCCTTTGTAGATTGTATTTGCTTTCCACAATGATTGATTGACAGATTCATTCACTTTTTCCCAGTCTTGCTAGGGTAGAATCACCAAGTATAATGAGTGTTACGATAACTCCTTTTGTGAGACACATGGAACACTTGACCTTCTTCCATCATTAACATTTCTCAGATGTTCAGTGTGTTCGGCATATTCATTATGTTTACAGAACCAGAATGAAAAACTTCATGTAGTGCTTCATTTTTTGTTCTGTATTCTTGAAATCAAAACCAAAGAAAACTGATCTTTTAAGTTGGCCTTGATCTGTTAGTGTTTTACAATACTTCAGATGGGAGCAGTATATAATGCTGATGTATTGTTTTAATACTACATAAAGTATATGGGGATATACTTTATGTATAAAGGACTGTTTTGTTTAAGTTTTGTAACTCTCTCCTCAGATTAACCTGAAAGACAGCTTGGGGAAACTCTCTCATATCCTGGAAATTGACCACTTTGCTCTAGTGGTTCATGAACAAATTCAATGTGAGTATGATGTTCTGTGGCATGTAAGAGATAATCTTTGAGTAGTAACAAAAAGCAAGTACAACTGTGAAGGTGTAAACAAGTTCTGAAGAAGCCAAATTCTCTTTCTGTGTATGGAACTATGTGCTACTAACACTTAGTAAGACACTAGCACTTTAATTCTTGCAGAGTAAATGTTAAATCCATTAATAACCTCACATCCTGTAATGTACCTGCTTTTGGAGCAAGTTACTGCTCAAAACTGAATGCCTGAGTCTAGTCTGTTGTACAGCAGCTTTATTAGTAGCAGTAAGCCAGTGAATGAGCTCCTGCAATACAATTGAGCTTTGCTTCTTCCTACTCCTATCATGCAACTTCCAGCAGTTCCACCACACTGAGTGTCCCAGGTTAACTACATTTTTTTTGCCTTTCTAAAGCAAAACCTTTATTACAACTTCATGAAATTTGGTAAGATCTGGATGTCAACACTGACATCACCATTGCAAGACAGCTTAGTATTTCTTATTCCTGCTTATTTTGTTTAACTAACTTGTTCCCCTTTACTTTATGTTTTTCCTCCGAACTCTACTTTTCATCAGCCTTCTTGAAACTCTTTACACTGCCTTCTTTATGAACTGGGAATGACTAAATAAATATTCAAAGCTAGAGTATATCACTGTTATATGTGAACAATATTTTTTCCTGGTTTGTCTTTTTAGTGGGCAACTTGCAAATTAACAAGCACTGAGAAACTAGGCTAAAAAACAGTATTAAGACTCAGCAGATGAATTTGTCTGACACCTGTCTCAATTATAACTGTAAATGAAGAGCAGACATCAAATTTGGGCTTGTTCCTGATAATCTCCATAAAGATGTGCTTTTGACTCTGTGCTAACTATTCATAAACCTAGAATGTCCCTGGAAGCTTGCTATGGAACAGTGATTGAATAACTGAAAAGTTCAGGACAATCCAGCTGGCTGAACAACTGAGGATATGAGTAAGCTAAGCATCTCAAGACAGCTAGACTTTAGGAACCGCAACTTAAACCACAGATAAAGGTCACTTAGCCACTTGGCTCCCAGGTCAAAGGCTTATGCTCACAATGAAATCACTTGAACCTGCACTCTCAATGCAGCAATGATTAGATGGTTAATAAGTCATTTGGTTATAAATGGAAAAATGTTGTATTGTGATTTTTACACTAATTCTGTATTTGGTAGTGGTGTAGGAAGATAGATGGTAATGTTACATGTCCTCAGGTAGTGGCCTCTGGTTCTAATAGGATAATACCAGTTTGCAGCTGTATTGAATAGACCCTCAGAAACTAATGTATGAGGAAAATATCTTTCATAACAGAGGATTTGGTTTGAATTTTCATGTCAAGAAAAGTAAGTCTGATTAACCCTTATCCTTCCTCCCATCATCAGTTTCAGTTTCTGTAGCTTTTTTATTGAGGAGCCTTTCTGAAATGAAAATCCTTGCCACTTCTGTGTGACTGTTTGTCAAGGTGCACATTCCCCCTCGATGTACAAGGGTCATCAGTGGTGACAATCTCGATCAACAGGCCCTGACACTTGGAGCTGGCATGGCTTGGCACGTGCCTTTACAAACAATGCCATTAAAGGCAAGTGGGATGTTTGTGGTTTTGTGGCTCCTAAGGGCAGAATCCCCTCTTTGTTTCTGTGTAGATCACACTGACGGTTCCTCTAGCAAGCGGCAAATGGTGTTCGGCATCGTTACAGCCATCGACCTGCTTAACTTTGTGACTGCACGAGAACGGGAAAGAAAGTCCACCTAAACACAAGCAGCAACATGGAGCCTCTTCAAGAACATTTTGCAATCTCCAACAAAGAATCAGGTTTATTTCCAAGGTAGAATGGTCTGTCCTTAGGGTGTTTCTTTTTTTTTAAATTCTGAAAATAAGCAGTCAGCTGTTCTGGTGTCAGCTACACAGCCAGTGCATTTTGCTGTATTACACAGCTTCTGGAGACTTGTATCTTAAATAAGTTACACAATGTTTCTCACCAAGACAATTTATTTTTTTTACTTCTATATATATATATATGTAAAAATAATGCCTAAATTAATTGGTATGTTCCTTACTTGTTATGTCTGAAGTCTGGCCTTCCAATGCATTGTTTCAGATTCACAAAACGTGTTGAAATAAAGAGTTACAGAAGCAAAGGCCCAAGAGAGCTAAACTTTTTTTTTTTTATTTTGTACAAGAGTCTTAAGTTAGATAATGCCTGCATGGAGGCAAAAATGGGACTGGAGTGTGCTGAGAGGAAAGAGGGGTTTCCCCTTTGGTGGTGACAGCAGAGTAAAGAGGAAATCTTGAGGGCTGGCATTGAGGGTTGTTTCAACCAGCTGCTCTGAAGTAAAACTGACCTGAGTGGAAGCCTGGCACTGAAGTGACAAATACAAACTAGTGACTGTTTTACATGGTGCACCAGCTTTCACTGCAAAGACAGACCTTTCTTTTTTCCAACTGTAACCTGACAAGTAAGCGCAAGTGAAAAGATTAAAAGGTAAGATCAACGTTCTTGCCTGAAGCTTTTTGAAAATCACACTGTTTCATCTAGTACCTTCTCCCTAGCTCTCTACCTTCTTATTTATCTTAAAGTGCTTCTTTTTATGCCTGCATTAGAAGAGCCAAAGGTAACTTGTCAAGAGCTGTAAAATCTTTCAAGTCTTGTTCAAGTGCTCCTATGCTGTAGTGCCTTATTCCAGGAGAAAAACCCTGCTAGTAGTTGGATTCACTGTAGGCAAGCTTGGCAAAAACTGGAAAACATGGTGTGAACTGGTAGTGTCAAAAGTACACAAGAGTAATGCACAGTAGGTGTGTGCAGCTACAATTTTTGGCCAACTTCTGTAACTCTGGATCCTTCAGTAATGTTTGACTTGCATAGCCTTGGCAGTTTGGCACTAGCAACTGCATCCCTGCACTGCTCTGCTGAGGCTACTTACTGCTGATGAATGGAATCACTCCATGGTTACAGGAGGAAAGTAGTGGTTCTTCATCTTCATTAAAGACTACTCTGGTCATTTTCTGGCTGGCCTCTTGCCAAGTATAAATGTTTTAACCAGCAAGGGTGACAATTTTTTTAGCTTATCTCTTCACTGAAGTAAAAAAAATACTATTTAGTCTGGGACTGTTGCTGTTAGGATAGCAAAGTTGTTGGGTTTGGGTTCTTTTTGTGTGTGTTGGGTATTCTTGTGGTTTTTTGGTTTTGTTAAAGCTGAAGGGAGTTCTAAGTCAGCTAAGAGAAAACAAAATGGTTATTTAAAAATCGCAATTACTACCTCCTGTATATATAGATTTCTTTCTACCTTGCTGGCCTCCCTGCAGTAGTGAAATTTGCTGTACATTTTGGAAGTGTGTGCTCAGAGGAGAGAGGTGGCGGAAGCCATCCTGTCCCATGTCGGTGCAGAGCAAAGAGCATCAAACAGAGCCTTTGCAATTTTTCTGGCTTGGAGGAGGGAGGCAAGAGCTCAAAGCCAAAGAAGTGACACCAGTGACAGTGCCTGCCTGCCTGCCAGCAGTGTGACAGCCTTGTTTGTTTTCTAGCTGTTTCTATCTCACCTTAAATTTGTGAAAGTTAAGAACTTTGTTGTAATAATAAAAAGCTTCAGACTGATTTCTGCTAACGCCTTAATGCTGTGCTGCTAAATGCAAAGTTTATTCTGTTCTTCTTCAGTTTATTTCCTTTGGCATTGACTGTCCCTTCGGATTAGGGCTATTAGTAAAGTAACGTGACTCATACTTACCTGAAACTGTGGTTTAAGCGTTAAATTCATATACTTCCTTAAGATTTAAGACAACTTTCCCCAAGGCTCTGGAATAAACCACCAAGTCTAAAATGTGTGACTTTAATAATGTTTCTAAAGGATGGATGATTTTTTTTTGTTTGATTGGTTTCTTGTTTGTTTACCCCTATGCTGTGTAGTGATTTCTTCCTCACTGTAGTAGCAGCCCCAGCTTGAGTGCTGTAACTTGTGGAAGGCTGAACTAGTGGGAGAATCAGATGTGTGTACCTGTGTATTAAAGAGGCTATTTTCAAATCTGGTTTGGCTTTTCTAGGCTGAACAGCTTTGTCTTACCTCTGTAGCTGCTTGGCAGAACCTAATAACTCATCTTTCAAACTGTACTTTCGAGCTGCTTCCCAAGAGGTCATAAATAATTTAGCAGGTCTTTGATCTTAGCACTTTTAACATCCATGATGTTTCTTAGTGCAGAAGCAGTCGGTGAATGGTCTTCCTTGAGACAGTATTTCAGGCAAGTTCCTAAATTACTTTCCCAATCATTTCAAATACTGTAGGCAAATATATTTTCATATCTATACTTAATCTACAGGGAAGGCTGAGAGAGAGTTACTTCTATGATTACTTCTATTTTTGCTGCACCCTTTGATTACCACACTGTCCAAAGAAACGTACCTGCACCGCTCTGCCTGTGTGGTTTGTCAAGAGCAGGAGCTGTCTCCTGGTCTGCTCTGGCACAGAGAGGTAGCAATGGCCACCAGCTACACTTGTTCACAGCAGCAGCCCTGTTTGACCAGAGAAACTGGGTAAATAAATGGAGTTGCTGAATGGCTGAAAATCTTTCCAGAGATCTTTCCCATAGTTGAGATGAAGGCAGCAAAGAGAAGGGGACAAGAATTATGCAGGGTTGAATTTCCTCTCATACAAAAGCTTATGAGAGTGATGATTTTTCTGCATGTGTGAGAAAGTTGTTACTAGCCTGGTCTTGGCTAGTAGTAGTAGTAGGGCTTTATTAACGCTCTTTGTTTGAAACACTTTGAGGATCAAGAAAGACATTGCAGGGTGGGTGGTTGGTCTTTGACCTGAAGTTCAAGCCTAGAGCGTGAGTAGAACTGTACTTTTTTTTCTGAAGTGGGTGCCTATATCTTCTATTTACCTGTGCTGGTGGTATGGTTTAACCCCAGCCAGCAACTAAGCACCACACAGCTTCTCGCTCACTCCCCTCTGCCAGGATGAGAGCTGCTTTGGGGAAAATTAACTCTATCAAAGCCAAAACCAGCACAGCTGATTATGGAAGTGCTGACTAAGCCTGAAAACTATTTTGCACATGGATATTCATATAAACAGTTTTGCCGTATTTGTTTGTCACTGAAAGATAATATCAGTATTTTTGGTCTGATGTTGGCTCTGCAAAAATACTTTTATTTTCCCACCTGGAGACAATTATCCAGTAAAATCTGTATAATATTTTGCAAGCAGTTATTAGGCAATGATTTCAGTATCATTTTGAAGTTGTCGCACACACTGTTACTTCCCACTTCTTGCACAAACTGTGGTTGACTCCAGAGCTCTGTCTACCTGAGGTTCCTCTAAGCAACCAGACCAGTTCCATCTGCCGCCCTCCGAGCTCGTCGCTGAGTGGTTTGTGAACACGTGGCTTGTCGTTATGAATTTCACGCAACCTGCTCGCTGTCAGGAGTTGCGCAGCATTGCCGCTGCCATCCCAAAGCCTTTCTTGCTCTCTGGTATCAACACATGACAATGACAAAGGTAAGACTTCTTATGTGTTAAGAAGCTGCAAACAATCAGGACTATGTGCTGTTATTGCATAGATATTCACAAATGTGCAATGCGAAGAGTTCAGTAAAAGATGTTTGATCGCACAGTGACTCTGGGTTTTTAATGCCAGTTCAAGTTGACAGTGTTAATCCACAAGCTGTGAAAATTATTTATTGGATGCAGAAGACCTCTCACTTTCAATGTGTGCACTGCAAGACTGCAGTTCTTCTGTCTTCAGGGAGCTGCCAGTATGGCAGAACTGATGGTGGGCTGGCCCAGCATCTCCTTCCCATGGCTGGCGTCTGTGTAGGGCAGGAAAGTAAGGATGTAGAGCTAGGGCTCAGATGCCACCACTGAAGTTCCTATAAGCACCAGGTGTCCATGGGGTCAATTGGGTAATGTTTCTGAATAAATGCAAGGGCTACAGGCCAGCCTGCGTTAAGGCAACGTCTTTTGAGATTAATGGTGAAGCTGTAATCTTAAAAGGCGTACAAATTCAAGTGAGGTGCATGGGTGTTGTTCTGTGGATAAGGAACAGCTGGCTGAAACCAAATGGACTGTCTGTGTTATTTCACAGCAATGTATTTGTGCTGTCTTGGTCAATTGCTCAAGTTAGACTGCAGTGAAGGCTGTTCATGTCTGCTAGGCAAGTGAGTAAACACCTTATCCCTTGGTTTTTGGTCCCCATTTCTTTATGTGGTCAGTCCTTGCTCAGCCTCATCCACACAGCAAAGGACCATGTTGACCAGGGTGTTGTTCCATCTCAGAGACACAGGGATAGGCCAGTGGACAGAGAGGTGCAGGGGGGCTTCCTCTGCCAGCCTCGGGTGCCAGGCCAGCCCCACAGGTTTGTGGCGTGAACTCCTTGCTAGTTCACTTGCCTGCGTGCCAAGTGTTCACTACCTCCTCAGACAGTGTTCTGTTCTCAGCTTTATCTTCTTGCTCCTAATCCAGTTCACTCTCTAGCAAGATGGGGTGACTGACACAGCAGGCAAATGGTACACTAAACTTTTTTTTTTTCTTGCACATCCTTTCCCTGTGATGGTTGAAATGCTGTCGTTGCCAGCAGGAACTGCAGATCATCACTTTACCTTCACCTTTTGGCAAAAAGGATCCTGATATTGCAGTCTGATACATAGAAGGCTGATGTCACTCCCTGGCTCACCCGTGCAAGGAAAGAGCGTTCCAGCAGAAAGGCCAAAGGCTAACCAGGCACAGAGAGCAGCAGGCAGCACAGGGGATCAAGTTCCACCTGCCAACAGGCTAAAGGCATGCCTGCCCCAGCCACAAACCCTGCTCTGTGCTGCTGGGCTGCCATCCCGAACAGGGACATGCACTGGTTAAAAACTACCCTAGAGAGGCAGATCAGGAGAGGTTTTAACCAGTGCAGCTACAGAAAGAGACATCCAGGGCTCCTCAGTGTCATCTACTTAGCAGCAGCCCCAGGGTTTGAGCATTGCCTGCAGGGAGTCGTCATTTCTGGGGACACCCCATTTTTGCAGGAGGAGGCTTGGCTTTCCCTGGGAGCTGAGGCAGTGCCTGGCAGCTAATGTAACCTCTAGGAGACTGAACTGGCCCTAGCTGTGGAGCTGCCCCTCCTTGTGGGTCACCAGCACAGGAAAATTACTGGGTACAATCTGCTGTTCTGGCTCTGGAGATAAACGGAGGACTTCAGTCCAGAACGGTACCTTACAGAAGCAATAAATTCTCTTTGGGAGCTAAAAAAACAAACACCAAGCACACTTGTATTGCTGATGGAAATGCACTACCTTTTGCCACTGCAAAGTAAAGGTAGATCTGTCTGAGCTTTGCTCATTAAATGTTCCTGAAGGCATTCTTTATCTATATGGGCTCATTGGAAATGGAGCTTTGCAGAGGAAAGTGGCTGTGTGCCATGGCCCAAGGAGCCCATCCTGCACCAGGGTGCTTGTCCTGCTTGCTGTGGGGTTAAACACATACACTGGGGACGCTCTGTTTGTATGGGGGTCCCACAGAGCCCAGGCCCTCTCCTTCAGTCGCTGCCAAAGGTGTGCTATAGCCATACCCAGCTGTGAACCCAGTCACCCTGTCTTGCCCACTTGGGCCCCAGCTTGGCCTCAAAGCTGCCCTGACTCTGCACAGTGAACTGCACTGCAGACTACATCCAGTACACAGTTTCCCCCACACACCACACTGCTTCATCAGTGAAGTCAGGTTTCTGGTTTGTTTTTCTAGGCATTCGTAACGGAGGAAGCAATGTATGATGGGGATGGCTGGAAGGGGGATAGGAGGGAGGACTGCAGCTCCCTGCTCAGCTGGGTATAGCCACTACATCAAGCAGCAGCTCCTGCAAATCTGGGCCATCCCCGTGCCTTCCTCAAGGCTGGGGGGAATGATGAGGCAGACCCACGTGTCGTGGCTATGTCCAACCACTGCTTTGGTTGGTGCCAAACTGAGTCACCTGATGGATGTAGTGCTAGAGGAAGGTGAGTGAGGGGAGAGCCTGCAGGACCTGACCCATGATATGGCAGTAAGAAGCACAGCCAAGTCACCTGCCATCACTTGTGCTCCCCTGCCATAGTCGTAGTAAAAAATCCGCCCCTATTCAGGGGAAAAGCCAAGTGCTGTTTGCACTACAGGTTACCCTACTCCTTCCCCAGTAAAAAGACGCCATAGCTGCTTCAAACAAATGCATCTTGTTTCACACCTGCCAACTCTCAGGCCTTGGAAAAATGCTGCCTCTTCCAGGGGTAACCAGCTGGATTTGTATGGCCAGACAAACAAGCAAGTGGCCTGCATGCACCAACCACCCTTATATTCCCTACATTATGTGGTTTGGAACAGACACTTCATATCCATGGAGAAAGGGGAGTGAAGGCCATGTGCTGATTCACAGTGATACCACTCTGCTTTTTGGACTCATCAGGATACAGGAATGTGCTGACCAGGGCAAGCAGAGCAGGTCTGACCTGTGAAAGGTGTGAAATCTGGTGAGCTTGGAGCTGCTCATGCCTTGGGCTCCTTCCACTGTTCTCCTAAGAAAAGCAGGCCTGCTGTCCCCCTGGAGAAAAGCATAGGATCATAGAATCATAGAATGGTTAGGATTGGAAAGGACCTTAAGATCATCTAGTTCGAACCCCCCTGCCGTTGGCAGGGACACCTTACCCTAAATTGTATCACCCAAGGCCTCGTCCAACCTGGTCTTGAACACTGTCTGTCATGTCTGTCTCTGGAGCACAGCTCTCTTACAGCCACCAGCAGCAGATGCACTCAAAGTATTTGTGGGTTGTACAAGCAAATGCTGACCTCTCGCAAAGCGGGAGGGCCTGAATGGCTTCCTCAGTGCAGTTAACAAAAATGTAACTTTTTTAACCCATTTCAGTCTTGGATTGTGCAAAGCCATTTTGATTTTTAAATTACACGGAAGGGAAAAACATGGATTTCTTCCCACTTGGTACATCAGATCCGGGAACCTCATTTAAAACCTGATAGTCCCCAGATAAAAATTCACTGAAGGAATGTCTCTGTGGTCACAAAAGATGTCCCAAGCATACAGAAGTAAAACCTGAGTGCTGTGTCCCTTCTGACCCTGCCAAGGGGAGTTCCATGAAACCACCTCTGCAGAGTCTTTTTGATGACACTTTAAAAGCGGAGGTTCTCTCCCTGTGCATGGGCATGAACTCTCTGCCACACCTTCCTGTGAGAGCAAGGGGCCATCCCAGTGTTCCCAGCCAGCCTGTCACTCCCTGTGCCTCCCTCCTTCTCTTTTTATGGCCCTGGCCGGTTCTCTCTGGTTGCTGCTTCCCAGCCTGAGGAAGCTGCTGTTTAGTCAGCGGGATCCTGCAGGGAAAAAGCCGCAAGGTAACTGTTCAGATAAAGGGCAGTACAGTGCAAGGTGGAATGCAAGGCTGTGTGATGTGCTCTTGTGTGCTTTTTCAACTTAGTAACGCTTACACAAGCACCACATTATGGCAAGGCAGGATTAGGTACCCGCAGGACATGTTTTTACTATGTGCACAGGCTGTGAAGCCCCTGGTGTGCCTGTGTGGAATGGAAGCATGACCATGGATGCCAGTGCAGACCCCAGCCAGTCCCCCATGGGCCAGCTCCTCCTCTGCTCTCAACCCAGTCACAGGCAAAGCAGGAGAACCCATGTCAAAATGCCCACTGTCCTCACCTGCCGAGGGCAAAACCAGTCACTTGTGCCAGTGCAGCTGGTGATGCACACACAGACCAAATAGCAGCTCCAATAGCAGCAGGTGGCAAATGACTTGAGCATCCTCACTGGATGTAGCTACAGCTTTTACCTTGCCCCAGAAAAGGGGAAGTGGGGGCATTTTCTGTTTTCCCCAGTCTCCAAACTTGCCATTTAGACCTTTTCTGAAAAAAAACTTTCATTTAAAAAAACTACTTCTCTAAACAAAGTATTTTATCTAGAAAAGATCTTCTGTCCCTCCAGTACCCATCTAAAGCTGGGTTTAATTTGAGGTTGAAAAGATCACCATTTCTTGCTGTCTGGTCACTGAAGGGAAGAACCTTAGTTTTCAATGTGGCCTCACTTGGAGCACACGCTGCTTCAGGAGGTAGCCAGGAAGGGTGGCTGGGTTATTCTGTAACTGCAGTGCCCAGAAAACACAATTCTTTCAGGGGTTAGGGTTATTTGCAGCCTCTTTACAAGAGACCTCCATGCTCTGCGTCACATCAGATAGCCCACAAGATTCTTCTGCAACGGATTACCTCTGGCAATGTTTTCCAGAGAGCTCATTTATTGCAAAAAGACCAAAGGTAATGTCTTTTCTGTGCTCACACTGACACCAGTTGTGTCTTTGAAAGGTTTAGCTCCAAAATAAGCATTCCAAAAAGCCTTATTCTCACCTGAATGTCTGAATAGGGGTGAAGTTTCCTTCACGACTGTGTTCTGGGGGTGCATGGCCCCAGCCTGGGCCATGTGGCTCTGTGCACTGCCCTGGCTTTGGGAAGGAGCAGGTAAAGGAGGGACTGAAATTCCCATGGACTTTTCCTCTTTCAGTAAATCTGCACTCACATAGTGTCCTAAACACCCAGCCAGCATTCAGGAATCACCATGGAGCAGAAGCTGTTCACTGCTCTTGGCTCTTTTAATGGTAAAGCAGCTGCATGAGGAGCTGGAGCTAGCAAGAAAAAGGTTTTTAGGGCTGGGGGTGGTGTGGAGACTAACCACAGGTTCCCAGAGGACACAGACAGTCTGTATCAGACAGCATCTAATGTAAAATGCCATAGCTGTCATTGCTTACACCTGATTCAGCAAGGCACATGCTGACACAGACGAGCAGAGTTTAAGCACAAGACATGAAATCAGATCAGAAACAAAAGTATAAAACCACAGCAGGATCACTGAGAGATGGGTTGACAGCACTTCTGAAGATAAGCGTGAATTAAAACTAACAATAAATTGCTCACCTTTTTTTATACCCCTATTATTCACACTTGGAGAGCAATCAGGTGCTGGGCATTCTTAGGCGTGGGGCAGGACCCAATCAGCGTCCTTGCGCAGGGTGCTTACCGCAGCCCATTGGTGTCCCCTGCCACCGGGCGCATATAAGCTCAGTGCTGGAGTGCAGCGAAGGCACTTGGCTGATAACACTGGAGGTGGTAAGTATGGCTTAGCTATTACAGAACACTGCTTTTCCAATGGCGGAGTGCATGGGAGCCATGCCTACTAAGCAGGTAACTTTGCTGTGGAAAAGCATGCAAGGAGGAGGAATCTGGTAGCCTTTGCTTCTCAGCCTGTTCAAAGGTTGACGCTGATCCAGGGAGTGTCTGTGCTTTCAGAAAGGTCTGAATGAAGCTGAAACGTGGGGATGTTCTGGCTTTGGCTACAAGGCCAGACGGGTGGTGGAGACGGTTGTCTGGGGAGCTTGTGCAGCCTCCATCCATGGAGGTTTTCAAGGGAACAAAGCCCTGAGCAGCCTGGGCTGAAGGTAGCGCTGACCCTACTCTGAGCAGGAGGCTGGACTGGGCACCTCACAAGATCCCTTCCAGCCTGGGTCACTCCATGATTCTGTTAAACTGATGTTGCATTTGTCCTGCTCAGTGACAGCAGTGCTGGGGTTTTCTTTAAACAGAGCAAGAAAATGTCATTTTGCTTTGGATGGGGCGTGTAACTCTGTGCCCTGCTGAGTTAATCTTACTTCCCCTGCATTTGAATTAATGAGTGTCTTGATTTTCTTCCTTTTGATGTTATCAGTGGAGTCTGATAACCTAATAATTACTATCTGCTATCTGCAAAGTACTGTATAAACATTAGCCTATGCTCTTTGTCATATAGTTTCAGTGAGCGGCAACAACTACAGGACTGTTACATGACTGGTATCTTGGCTTGCCTCCCAGCTCCAGTAGATATTTCCATTTATCCTTTGTCCAGTGCCACATCAAGCTTCTCTATCTAGAAAAGTAACAAGGCCATTGCAGGGTACCTACCACAGGTCAGATGTATTTGACAGCCTGATAAGATGATCAGTTTCATCAGATGAAGTTTCAGGCAGGGGTTAGGAGTTGTACTGGGACAGGGGGTTTGGAACTAGGTATCTTAAGGTCCTTTCCAACCCTAACTATTCTATGATTCTATGGTAGGTGAGAGTTTTGGTAATCAAGAGAGGACGTATCTTCGATTTATGACATAAACTGACTGAAAACTGCGCTGGAGGCAGTGTGGGGAGATGTTTGCACCGGGTATTGCTCCTTTCAGTCATTCCTGGCTGCAGTCAGATTGTCCATGCCCCTTTCTGTCCACATTTGCTACCCAGCCTGCATGTTTATGGAAGTGACTGCTGAGACCATTAGCAGGGGAGCAGCTCACTGGTGTCATGTCAAGGCCTTCAAAAGATAGGGGAAAGTCAGATTCTTGCCATTGGTACTGTACCAGGTCATCTGCCATCTCATACAGACAGTATTGGGGTTCCTACAGTTCAGGTAATTTCTAAGGTTCCCTTCGGAACCAGTGGTTTCAGACATATCTTAATTTAAATCCAGACCCTGGGCACAGTGATGCAGACATTTTTTAAGTGATTCATAACTAGGAGGAGATCTGTGCAGTGCTGCAGCACCACACCAGGAATTAACCAACCCTTGAGAAGATACATGAGAAATCCTCCAGCAGAGAGGAATGTAGATGTTGGCAAGGGCCAGGACTTGTTTCTTTGCTCTCCAGGCATCTAAGAAAGCACATCTGGATCTGCTTTGGGTGAGCAAACAAATGAGATGCCCATTCTTGCCATTTTTTTTATACCAGATGTTAAGGGAACTGAACACAATGAGCAGAATACAATCGTTATTTTAGAAGGCAGAAAGCCAGTAATACTCTTCCTTCCATGCAGTCCTCCAGCACCAGCCACCTCAGCATGTCATGTTGCCTTCAACTCTTGGCTTGAAGGCCAGGTTGGCTGCTCCAGGCAGGGGCGATGCTGCAGCTTGTGGCACTTCTTGGTGGCAGCAAGGTAGGAGCTTGGATCCAGCTGTCTTCAGGTGGGTGCCTGAAGGGCTTCAGTGTGCTCCTGAGCCCCCAGGGGAAGATGGGACACAGGCAGCATGCCCACATAGTTGGGGCTGGAGGGAAAAGGGGGCTTATGTGGGGCTCCACAGACAATGTCAGCCTCCCTTGGGCTGATAATGTCAGCAACATGCTGGCAAAGAAGGAAAAGACCCACAAAAGGAGCTCTAATAATTTCAGCCCTCTGCCTTTCCTCTCCTTCCACCTCATTGTGAAACGGTCAAGATGGGCATCACCAGGAAAAGAAAACAAGAGAAAGAAAGATGCTTGTAAACCAGCTTGCCTCCAGTTTGGTTGGTAACCAGTGACCTCAGTTGTGAAAGTGTGCAGGCGCCTCTGGTACTCTGCAGCTTATCTCTTCTTTACCCACAGATGACTTTTGCTCCTTCCCAGTTAATTCATTAGGTAAATACAGATTTGCTGGGGGAGACACACTGAAGGCCAACACAAATCCTGGCTTGCAAGGAAATAATATTTTTATTCTTTTTCCCTTAATCGTCCCAAGAAAGAGCAGATTTTGGGGGGAAGAGCACTGAGAGATAAAGTTTGCTGGAAGAGTTGTTGGCTGCAGAGTCCAAGCCATTTTGGCAAGACCATCCTTGCACCTTCATGGTCTCTCTCTGCTTTGTGAGACTGGGGTTGGTATGTCCGGAGGAGAAAAGGCAGCTCAGTGTCTGATGTGAAGGCAATCCAGTGTCTGCTGCCCGCTGCCCTGCTTCAAGCTGCAGTCGTGGGGCCAGGCTGCAACATGAGGTTGTTGATGTCCATCCTCAGAGATTCCCTAGGGCTTCTGGTGGAGAAGCAAGCCTGACCACACGCCGTGGTGCTGCTCGAACACCAGTGTGGTGTACTTCTGTGTTTCAGGGACAACCCAACACCCAGGAGAAAACCACAGCCACATCCTCCCGGCCAGTGTGGAAGCCACTGGGAAAGCACAACGTTGACCTCGGGTAGTCCTGACGTGCCGCTTCCAAGGAGCTCCAGCCAAGTGGGTGAAACGGGCAAGCGAGCAGGAGGAAGATGGCAGAAACGGTAATTCAGGCTGTCCTTGGGCTCACGTGTGGAGCCACAGATCAATTAGGTCATGAGGACCCAGCCACAACAGCGTGCTGGCTTCTGGTCTGGCCGCTCTGACTCAGCTGGGCTCTGCAGGCACAGCAGGCAGCCCGGGTAGACAGGAGCGGCAGAGCCTTGCCTTTATGGCCTAGGATGAAGATGATGCTCTGTGGACCTGTTGGCCTCCACTGTCTGAGCTGCGTGTGTTGGCTCCAGCATCTTCCTGTCAGTGGCCTGAATTTCCTCCTGCAGGGCAATAGCCAGAAGTGGCTTTCCCACATTCCCTCCACTTCAAGTGGCTGCAGACCTGATCCTTCTGCAGGCAATCCTCTGCGTTTAGAACTCGTTTAATCCTATTCTTTTTCCAGTTTTACCTGCTTTGCTCCTATAGTTGTTCCTGATAATTTTATTTTGCCTTATTATTTGATGCTGAGAACCAAAAAAGTGTTTCTCAGTCACCCAAAAATTCCCGCAGGATTTACAGCCTGCTATCACCACCAGAATCGTTCTCTAAGCTGTTTTACTGTGGAACTTGCTCTGTACCCCTGAGAACCTTTGCTGCCCTTTCCTGAAGTTTTGTTCCTATCAATTCTCTCTTTTCATTTTTAACACACTAAGATGCCAGAGTATAGGTGTCCTCTGCTGCTTTGAGGCCATTCACTACCACCACACAAGTATTCCCAAATGATTGCTGGGTAGACTTACCTGCAGTTTTTTCACTGTTAGAGTGACAAATACTGCTCTTGACAGAATAATTAATTACAAAGTATTAAATTTTCTAGTGGGAGGGATGCTTCAACATCAACAGCAGGGGAAGATTGACTGGAGATGGTGGCCAGATGATTATTTACCATGTACATGGTCTAGTATACCACTCCGAAAGAGCAATTCTACGCATCTGTTAGAATCAGGTGTTTGAAATGCCAGTAGGGATGCCCTGTGCAGGCTGCCTTCACACCCAAGTGTCACTTCTTGCCTTCCACAATGATTGCCAAGGTGCCTGCCTGCTTTTCCTGCCTGCTTGTCCTCCCAGGTGATGGTGGGTCTCTATTTCCACAACACAGGAGCTGACCAAGCTGTGTCCGCTCATGAACGGCAACTGTGTGGGAAATCATGAAAACAAAGCTGACAGCTCCTGGGTTCTTCCCAACTTGCCCAGTAAGTGCACGTGGACACCTACAATGCCTGCCTCCAAGTCTCCACACTCCTGCGTGCCCTTGTAAGTAATTCTTTCATGCTGGTTATTTCAGAGTGCAGACTATCTTTTTCTGAAGAGGAAGTAAATAGTACTTCCAGTTACACCAGGATGGTCATGACCTGAAGTCAGCAGTTACTTGTCAGTACGAAGCAGTTTGGAGCATCTTATTTTAGAAGAATTCAGAAGAACATATTTCAGAGGTAGATTTCAACCAGGGTCTTGTACACATCCGCAAAGTGGACTCTGCGAGGTCTGGTGTTGCACAGCACAAGTGAAGGCACTTCCAACATGCTGGAGGATCTGCAGTAATGGCTCTCCTGGCTGCAGTGTAATGCATGCTTACATCCCAAAGCTGTGCACCCATCCTACTCTACAGCACAGTCAGTAGTAGTCACGCAGTCATCAGCTGAAGGGTTGTGGTTTGGCTACCCTTCTTCATTCGAACAGTCTGAAGCTGTGTGTAAGAAGATTTCAGATCACTAGCAATGTCTTTACTGATAGCTAAGAGACTTTCATGAAAACCAGGGCCTGGGCTTTAAAATAGGCAGAAAATGGTCCACACGGAGGATGCCCACTATGTGTAAGCAACACAAGAGTGCAGTGCAAAGCAAAGTCATTGCTCTGAGTGGTTCTTGTCCTCACAGCAGCGTGTTTCCTCCCAGGGTGAGATAAGCCTGCCAAAGTGCTCAGACTAGACTCAATGAGAGGCGCTTTAATAGCCTGCCAGAGCAGGCACAGACAAGCTATTAAAGATAAGGCTGTCCTATAAATGTCAGGGGAGCTGCAGACACGTCCCTGCGGTGCCGAAGATGTAAAACATGACTTAGCTCAAGCATGTGAGGAACTGGAGCCCATGGGAGGTGCGGCACTGCTCTGCATGGATGCCTGCCAGCCGGGAGCCAGCTGGAGGAGCGTCACACCACGTGCCTGGCAGGACATGGCCAGAGCACAGCCACTGGTGTGTGTGGAACCCAGAACCACCTCTGGCTCTGGCTCAGGAACTGCCAAAGTGGAATCCACAGCCTTATTGCTGACCTGGCAAATATGCATCCAGGCATGCACTCAGTGCAACCCCTGTAGCTGCTGCCTGAGGATAGGACCAGCTCTTTTCAGTCAGACTGGGGTTTTTCTCTCAACCAGCCAGGATAGTATTTCTGGCTTTTAACAGTTTAGCATTAGGGTGCCAGGAGATGGGCAGCTGGAGTAGGAGGGCACTGGGGCAGCCTCACATCCAGGAATCAGGTACTGGGGTCTGGATGAGGGGCCTGTGCAGCATCGCTGGGGCAGGGAATGAAACATAATCCACTGTACAGCAGTGAAGAAAATACACCAGGACACATCTCACCATTTGTTTTATGTTACAGCAATGAATGGAAGGGGTGGTTTGGTTTCTCCTCTCTTGGTAAACCACAGGTAGCACTGAAGTAGCAAAAATCTCTGGATTTTCTGAGATTCCTGTGTGCAACTTGTTTGATTTTGGGGGGTAAAAGCAGAGGATGGGGGCAGAGGGAGATGTTATTTCAGTTAAGAAGACAAGATGTTATTTTAACTAAGAGTATTAATTATTTATTTTTTTTTTCCAAATATACAGAGCTAGAGTGGCTCTGAAACCCTTTGAGCCAATTCTGACCCGCCATAATCTCAACAACAATCACTTTTTTTGTCAGGATTGATTTTTTTCCCTGGACATATTACGGAATAACATGCCATGAGTAAAAGCAGGAATCCTGGCAAAATAACATCCTTGTCCTCTGCAATCCTGAACAGAATCAGCAGCTGCAGGACTGGAGTGTCCGCACTGCGTCCTTTAGGAGCACCAAAGGCGTTTGTCACAGACAAACACAGTATTCCCATAGACCTGCTGCCTCCCAGGGACATGCAGCTGGGGAAGGAAGCTGATCATGCTATGATTATTTATCTAGTAAAATATGGTGGTGATTAGGAAAGGTATTTGACGGGAGCCATAGAAAATCTGTTGGTGGCAATGCAAAAGAGCAGGTCAGTTTCTGGTTCCCACCTCCACCCTCCCAGCAAGGCTTACACCGGCATGCATCCCCTTCTCCATCCCCTTGCTAGGGTCCACCACTGCAGACCCTGGAGCTACACAAGCGTCTCACTGTGCTGTATCAATCACCTCTTGCTGGGGTTCACATCTTATTCACCACAGTTATTAGGTGAAGGCAAATAAATGGCCTTGCTTTCTTCTCTCAAGCTGTCTTCCTGCAATATAGATGTGTAGCGTAATACACAGATCACTCTTTTGAAAGGCAGTGTTTAACTCTCCAGTTAAACATAGCCTGAAGGAGCTGGAGTCTCCCTCTGCTGTGGCTCAGCCCCACTGAAATCGCTGAGTATTTGGTGGCTTTTAGAACAGATGGGAAATGGCTGCAGCAGTGGGGGAAGCTCATTTACTGAGTTATTGCCTCACATTTATCAGCACTCAGTAGAGGTTGCAATGTGTGCAGTAATACTTTTCATGGAGGGAGAGGTAACAGCACACGAGTAATATTCCATCTTTTCTGGGCTTGCGGTGTAAGAAGGCTGGCTCCTTTTGGTGGTAAAGACCTGCACTAAGCCACTACCCCTGTACTCTTGCAAAGCAAGAAGTGTTTGTTTCATTCACTCTTGCAAAACCCAGAGGGAGGTGTGTGTGTCTTTAAGTAAATCTGCACGTCATTCCTGCACCACATGGACTTTCTGTCAGCAGACAGCCATCTGCCTGGCTGTGATAGCTGACCAGGATAACTTGGGTTCAAGGTTCAAAGGATGATAGTAGGCAAGAGCTGTGCAAAGGAGAGCTGAGCAGTGAGGGAGTGGGGCTTTGCCACCCCACTGAGAGAGAGACGTGCTGGCTCCCAACTAGGGGCAACACTTTTGTGGCCCCAATAAAAGCAGCCCTCATCAATCTTTCCCCTTTGTCTTTTAAAAAGCTCAAGGACATGAGTCCTCTCACTGCATGGCAAGATGCATTGGCTTTGGGCATACAAGTCCTTCATTCTGGTTTCAATTGCTTTGACATGGTTCTTGGCTTCTGCTGGACCCTGAGACTAGCAGAACGGGAAGGCTGGATTCCACTGATCCAAGGGTTTGGTTTAATTATTTGCAGAAAGCACCCTCCAGAGTGTTTTGTGTCTTGGGCCTGTCAGATGCCTGGGAGCCATCCACGCATGTGGCCAGGCAAGCAACAGATGGCCCTGAGGTAGCTGAAAATGTGAAGAGCAGAGATGGCGATGGGTAGGGTGGAGAAAAGAGGAGGAGCCTTACACTGTGCCTGGCCTTCTGGCTATCTCACACACTGTATCGAATCCCAAGGCTTGTCAGCTCTTCTCACTGCACTTAATTACAGGCCTGGCCCATGACCTTGCAGAACAAGACATTTCAGAACAGCCCTGAAAATAAATTACCTTATTTTTTATGCAGAAGAATTAATAACTCATTGTAGGAGTGATGGAAAACCGTCACTGGCTCCTGTTGCCACTAATTGTCAATGGGGACGTTTTCCCTTGGAGTCGGGTTGTCTGTCAGCGGCCTTGCTAAAGTTGCAGAAATCTCACTCAAATTTTATATTGGTTCATGTTGCATAACAGTTGTTTTGATTTGATGTATTTCTCTTTTCTCCACTTCATTTCAGACCAGAAGAAAAAAAGATCTTGCCCAACATCCTGAAGAGAATTGGCTGCACCCCAATGGTCCAAGTCAACAAGATTGGGAAGTCCTATGGGCTCAAGTGTGAGCTCTGTGAGTGTCCCCTTTCCACCAGGTTTTTCCATGCCATAAGGTGAGGGTAAGGGGTGGTGTTGGAAGAGGGCTTCAGAAGAGGCTCTGTCGAGAGCAGGCACAGATAGATGGGGAAGGCCAGAGGTGGCATGTGTTGGGTTCTCCCACTAATTAGGTTACACCACAGTCATCTCTCAGACCAGATAGGATGGTTTCAAGCTGCAATGAATAGGGCTAATGGTAATAGAGGCATCTCTCTTCCCACATGACTGAAGCATAAGCTCAGAGCAGAGCTGGGATGAACTTGCGGATGGGTGGATGTCATCCTGGCATCGGGCAGGGATGCTGCAGCACCTGCAGTAGTGTGCTGTGTGCACAGAAGACTGGCCAAGCCTTCATGAAACATGGTGCCTGGGACGGGGTGAAGGGCACGGTAGGATCCTTCCCACAGCCTAGCCGGGCAGAGGGAGCATCTCAGGTTGCAGGGACGCACACCAGCACAGCCCCTGGCTGCCAGACTGAGATCCCATGCAGCAGGGACTCTGCTCTGCTGTGGAATCATCTCCACCAGGTCAGCTGGAGCTGGGCCAGGCGCTGCCCTGCTGCATCTCTCTCTGTGGAGCAGTGACAGCTTCCCTCGGGGGCCTTCCCACAGTGCAGCCAAGGGGCTGGTTGCAAGGCCAGGTTTTCCAGCAGGACCCAAGTCTTCCCTCTGTTGGGATGTTAGCACAATGCTGGTCTTATCTCATGTAAGAGTTGGTTTTAACCTTCAGAGATTAGGAGAGTAAGATTAGGCTCTCTTTGTGCATACAGACCTCTCAGTCTCCTTTCTTACAACTTTTAATGCTATTAAATCATTTCAGACAAGTTAGGCAAAAATATGTTTTGGAGGCAGATTCATGAGCATTACATAGCTGGGTATGAAGGGGTGACTTGATGAGTGCTCGCAGTAAAATTGCACAGTAGGACTTTGCAGTCCTGTTTGGCAGCTGGAAATCCACACACCAGCCCATTGCCACCAGACACATGGCTGTGTGAAGCGTGTTGTGCTCTTTGACCAGATCCTCTCTCAGGATCTGGGATCTTCGGACCCATAACCCTGCAACCTCCCCATTGCACCAGAATGAGACCTCAGGGGATGTTAGGGGACCGTGGAACAGAGGTGGTAGAGGCAGGAGGACAGGTCTGCAGTGTCTGGCCCACCTCTGGAGCAGTCTCTCCCTTGGAGGATGTCGGCTTAGGGACATGGGAAGATTTGGTGCCAGCAGTAGCCGGGCAGCCAGGGAGACCCTGTTTGCTGGGACGGTGTCTCCCTCCCCTGGCGCAGGAGGGGAAGGAGAGCAGGGCAGGCAGAGCAGCTGCATGGTCCTCCCGGAGCTGCAGGTCAGCACACTCTTACCAACCAAACGCACGAATGCAGCACTGCCTCATCGAGGGAGCAGTTGTGGTTGGAGGCGATTACCTGGTAATCCCTGTGCCTCCAGGGATCCCTGTGTGTAGCTGGAGTTCTGGCACTTTGCATTATAACATGTAACAATGAGCACAAGGGGGTTTATCCCCATTCTGTCTGCTGAGGTATTGGGTTGATTTCTCAGCCTCAAGTAGCTGTCTCTGCTGGATGAAGTGAAAGACACAAAAAAAGTACCCATTTCTCCCTGTTGTCTGTAAAACAGAGCTTGGTATCACCCGTTCAGATGTAGATGCTCATCAAAACCTTGGTAAGAAAAGCCCTGCCCCAAGCATCAGCTGTGTGTGGCGCCTGAATGGGAGCTGAGGTGTGCCTTGTGGTTTGAGTGTGCCATGGCAAGTCTCCCTTTCTTGTTGGTAGCTTAGTGAAGAAGTTATCATTTTGACTGACACTTGAAGGTGCTCTTTCTGTTGTTCGTTTTTCTTTATGGCTCCCCATTCAGGAATACAGATCATCCTTACAGAAGGGCACCTTTTCAGCCATGCCCCAAGAAAGACCCTGAAACCTTACTGTTAACCCTGACAATACCATGCTCACCTTATGTTCAGCTGATTTTAAACCCATCCTAGACTTACCAGCACTGCCCGCTGCCTTCAGAGTGCTGCAGGTATATGAAATGTAGGGGAAAGATGGACTTTTAGCATCCCGTAGTGGGTGATTTAATGGTGGATAATGCTATGACAAGCTGGCACCCTGTATGCAGATGGTCAATGTGCTCACCTGGGCAAAGGATCATCCTGCAGGGGAAAAATGGGTATCTTCAAATGACTGCAGCAAGAGCTGGGGGAGCAAGTAGCTGGTGCTCCCGGCAGCAGCTTGTCCCTGATGGAGCCTGCCCTTTCATTTCCAGTGGCAAAATGTGAGTACTTCAATCCAGGGGGCAGTGTAAAGGACCGCATCGGCCTGAGGATGGTGGAAGATGCAGAGCGAGCTGGGATTATAAAACCAGGAGACACGCTCATTGAACCCACTTCAGGAAACACAGGTGGGAACAGCAGGGATGCTCCCAACAGCTGGATACCCAGCAGGGTGGCATGTCAGAGGGGCCGCAGAGGGGCAGGTATTCAAGGAGGTCTTGCACTTGGAGTTACGTGGTCAGCTTGGGACCGCACAGCTGTGGCTCCATCCTCCCCTGGGCTCCTTTCCCAGTGGCCATGAGCATCCTGGAGTGCCTCGCTGCTGAAATTTGCAAGCACGCTTGCACACGTGTGCCTGTTGGGCTACCTGTGGCAAGGCAAACATCTTCAGAAGCTGGAGGAGCTCAGGCAACCCTGGGTGTTTTCAGGCTGGGAAGCTCTTGAATACCCAGAGGTTCCCAGGGAGTGTTTCCCTGATGGGCTGGAAGATAAATCATCCAGATTGTTTCACTGCCATCCTATTCAGGCACCAGATTATGGTGGGGTGCAAAATGAGGGGGGACAACAGAGGAGCCTCCCCTCTATTCTGTAGCCTGTGCAGGACCATTGGTGCAAGTTTCCATGTCTCTGCTGCACCAGCATCCTCACCATGGTGGGGACACGTATGTGCACAGCATGCTTTCCTGCAAAAATGCCCAGTGGAGGCAGTCAAGGTGCTCTGGACAGAGTGGAGAGCATGTCCCCCTCTGCACTCCGCACCTCCTGCTCACTGGCCATGCAGAACAGGGTTCATCTATAGCCATTTTGCTCCTTACTGGCCCATCTTGCCCTAGCCACCCCAAGCCATGGTGTGAGGAGACCTGTGTGTCCCAGAGCTGTTCCCTGGTGGCTTCCTGCCCAGCCAGGGCAGGCGGGGTTGCACCATGTCCCCTATAGCCTCCCACAGGGACACGCTCCTCCAGCCTCACCTTTCTGCTCTATGTGGGGAGCAGTTGGCTCCATCCATCACCCACAGCGAAACTGAAGCAGAGGTCCCCTTCACCTGCTTGCCATGGGGTGAAATATGCAGCTTTGTGTGTGTGTGTCCCAGCCGAGAGCATCTGGGGAAGGGGGAAAGGCATTCCTGTGTTTTGGAAAACAGAGGAAGAGGCCTGAGCCTCGAGGGGGGGGCTGCAGGAAAGCTCTCCCCAGCTTTGCTATTCTTTCTGTGCCATGCTAATAGACGTCTGTGAGGAGGAGTGATGCTGCAGCTCAGCCTGCTTGTTCCACATTCGCCCATGCTCCCTAGCAGTGCTGGCACATGCTGAGAGGCTCATGAAGGATGCTCTTGCTTGTAGTTCATCAGGGAACATACCTGGTTATGTTCACCGGCAGCAGAGATGAACATAAGAGCAATGAATGTCAGTTAGCCTTGCCAAATGCTGTTGTCAACCATTTCCCTTTCCTCCCCACCACCTAGGAATCGGGCTGGCAATGGTGGCTGCAGTGAAAGGTTACCGCTGCATCATTGTCCTGCCGGAGAAGATGAGCACAGAGAAGGTCAGAGCTCTGTATGGTATTACCCTGCAGGCAGGGAACATCTTCTGCCCTGTCTCTCTCTGCCTCTCCCTCTGTAGGGCTGGAGTACTCTCTCCTTTAAAGGGTAACAAGCCTTACTGCACACACTGACATAGCTCTGTAGTTATTCAGAAGATTTCCTCTTGAGGGCAAAAAAAAGCACACTGTGATGGCCTGGCTGATTATCCGGTGCATGTGGTCATGTCTTAGCCAAACACCGTGTCTGGCTGCAGAGACATGAAGCAGTATCTGCAGTCTGTGAGGGCAAGGGCTGGATGGGGAGGAGGAGAGGCAGGCAGGTCCTGCTGACCTCCCCTCTGACACCTGATGTGTCCTTTGTGTCTCTGTGTTTCTGTGGTTTTCTGAAACCTGGAGACACCCATGGTTGTCTGAGCCGCTTTCTCGAAATGGTGGAAATGAAGTCACTTGCCTGAGAGCTGCTGATCAGGTGAAACTGCTTTCCTGGAGACGGCAGAAACACCCGCCATGGGGAGCCAGAACTCTCACAAGCTGCTCAGCTGAACTCCTGCCAGTGGAGCCAGACCCAGACCCTGCCTTAGCTCAAAACTGAGCCTTTCTCCAAAGCACCACCCTCGTTTCAACCTAAATCTCACTTAAGCTAGTCTGGATCAGATGCCACCTCCAGCTGCCGTGGGCTTTATCTCCAGGTGCCCCAGCACTTACCCACCCTTCTCTTTTGATCACTTCTCCCCAGCAGCTGCATCTCCCAGTGGATTAATACCCTGGGGATGATTTGTAGTTGCTCCTTCCCTGTTCTTAGTGAGCAGACAGAGGGATCTGGGGCAAAGACAACTTTAAGACCTCCCTCCTCCTTGCATGCAAGGGCTCAGACCACAGCATATAGGAGACACTGTTCCCTATCCTGGTTCCTTCTATCAAGGAGCAGCACAGTGCTAACCCACCTCTGCCATTTCCAGCCTGCCCTCTGAGTAGGACAGGGCACAAAGCCAGGCTTGATATCTGTGCCAGCTTTAGGCAGAAGTCCCTGGCTGCCATGAGGATGTCAGAGATAGTATAACTGAGAATTGGACATCGTATCTCCAAATGCTAGACACCTCTTGCACGCAAAGCTCCTCTGGCACCCAGTGCTGCCGTGAGCCCGCAGGTTCAGATTACTGCCTCTATGTGGGATCAGTTGTGTTACATCTGCTTTCTTCCCTCCCAAAGGTCGATATTCTGAAGGCACTAGGTGTTGAAATTGTGAGGACCCCATGCACCAGCTTTGATGCTCCAGAGTCTAACATTCGTGTGGCCTGGAAGTTGAAAAGTGAAATCCCAAACTCTCACATCCTGGACCAGGTAAATGCCATTCCTCCAATGTCTCTCTTTCCAAACATGGCTTACAGCATATGCTCCTACGAGTGTGCCTCTGTTTGGGGACTTCATTCAAACTGGCAACAGAGAAGATTTTGCCAGTGTTTTATGGTGTTTGAAATGTAATTGTAAAGCATGGGGTGGCAGGGACCCTTCCAAACCTGTAGTACTTCTACCAGTGCCTGGATGTGGGTAAGGCTGGGGTTTCCTGCACAATTCAGAGACTATTTCAGGTGTACTTTGCTTCAGATTTAACTTTGACCTGAAAAAAGTCAGTTCCTGCAGTGCTGGGTCTTGTACAAGAGGGCACTTCTGCTTTCGGTCTGACCCCGCTGCGAGAAGGCATTCCCAGAGCAAGCAGGGATCTCCTGTAGTGCAAAAGAGTCAGGGAAGCTCCTTCCTTTTAAGAAAAAGGGAGCTCAGTGTCTGAATACACTTTTCAGAAGCAGCCTGCTCTATGGGTGTGAACATGAGGCTGCACACATTTCAGTGCTGTACCTGGGTACCCCTGTGGTAAATCGCTCCGTACAGGTAGGACAGCTACACTGCCCCACAGCTCCCAGCCACCTAAGTTGATGCACTGCCAACCACAAACGCCTCTAAGTGACAAAGCAGTTCTCAGAATTGCATATGCATGTATGATACTTGAAAGAAGGTTTTCCAATATGGCTTTTGTGCAGGGATATTTTTTCCCCCCAAGTTTTTTAGCGGTGTTGTGGGGCTGTGTTTTAAACCTTTTCAAGACAACAGAAAAGGTTAAAATGCTTCTGTCTAAGCAATAGCTAAAATACCAAAGAGCTCTCTTCCCTCTGGCAGCTAGGGCCATGACAAAACCACCAGAGCCCACAAAACCTGGGACAGCCACATTGAATAGGCACCACGGGTCCCAGAGTGAGCGTTTGTGAGCACATTTAATCTTCCAATGTGGACAAATCCCAAGTGTCCTTGGAGATCTGTCAGAGTGACAACCAGGAGCAACACCAGTGACGTGGCCTGGCCAGGCTGCAGTTCACCCCCTGCCAGGGAGAGGAGGGGGCAGTCGCATGCTTTGGGTACAGCTCGTCAGGAGCTATTGCTGGTTTGGTATGTGACCTGTGCTTCACACCACGGTAACTCATGCTGTTCTCTGTTGAAATAAACAGTACCGAAATCCAAGCAACCCCCTGGCTCATTACGACACCACGGCTGAGGAGATACTGGAGCAGTGTGAAGGTACTGTCTGTGCTGTTGTTTGTACATTGTATGTGCTGAGGATGTGCAGAAGGCTATAGCCCCCTGGAGAGGCTTATTTTACGTCATTTATTGACCCAAATGTCCAGAAACAGCCAAAAGGGCCTCTGTAGGTGAAGGCACCCTCAGCAATACTGACATGCAACTTCTCATAGCCCACTGCAGATACACCTGAGCCTGCAGGGCTTCCCTGCTATGGCCTCCCATTTCACAACCCTGAGGGAGGAGACCAGACAAATTCAGGCTGTTCCCAAGGAGGAAGAACCAGTCTTTGTGGCTACAAAATCTCTGTGACCTGTCAGCTGCAAACACAAGATGGCCCAAGAGGCCTCACAGGGGAGCATTAATGCATCAGGGCATGGCGGGCTGCATCTGATCCAGCACATTCATCTGCAAACCAAAACAGACTGAAACTTCACAGACTAATGATGTTTGATGTGATAGCTGGTGGAGGATGAAGGAGCCCATGTCTATGTAGATAGGAGTGAAATTTATTGCCAGTACTGGGAGCACTGCAGAATGTAAACAGGACTCAAGGGTTTTAACTGGAGAGCAGTTATCATAACACTAAAGCAGTTGGGTAGCAACAGGAACAAAGGAGTCCCAGCCTCCCCTTCTGCACATTTAAATTTGCTCCTGCTGGCTGCCAGCAGTAGTGAATTACAAGCCCTTTTCCCAGTGCAGATGAAGCACAAGTCTCTGACTGATTCTGCTCCTACCAGTCTTAAATCAGCACAATTTCACTGATGCCACCGGGGCTACATCCTACCAACACAGGTGCCAGGGCAGAGCTCTGCCATCTCTCCGCTGTGGATGCTAACACTAGCAGAGAAGTAGTGCTTGTTATTGATATGTGTTGTTACTAATGTAGATGCTTTGCTTCAATGTGGTGTGGTTTGAAAGGGCTGGAAGTACTGAGATACTCCATCCCCCTTAAGCCAGTGGACAACAAAGACACAGAAATCATGAAGACCAGTGGGAGATCTGGAGGTCACCTTCAGCCTCCTGCCCTGCAAGCTCTTCTGAGCTTCTGCACAGGACCTTGCTTTGACCACTAGCACCACTGTTGCCTATCCTAGAACACACGGGGTTCTAGCAGCTGAGGGGCACGGGCTCTGCCTCTGTGCAGGGTCCTGAATAGAGGGAAGACCATGCTGGAGGCCATGCTGAGCCCCTGCAAGCTTCTCTCTTCCCTGACCCACAGGCAAGGTCCACATGGTGGTGGTTGGGTCTGGCACAGGAGGCACCGTCACTGGCATCGCCAGGAAGCTGAAGGAGAAATGCCCAGAATGCAAGGTAAGCTGGGTGGCAGGGCTGCCTGCTGGGAACTGCATCTCCATGGGTTTTCCTGCCTGTGATTGAATCAAACCTAACCCCACGGCCCACCTGAGCTAGCAGCTGTGGTCTTCACCTATGTGTTTTTCCACAGCGAGCTTGACTTTTGTTGGAAGCAATTTGCCTCCCTGCTCTATGGTTGACACCAGTCATAGATGCTCATTCTGCAGAGTCTGTGATTCAAAGCAGACTGGAGGGTTGACAGTTACTGCCCCTCTGTGAAGCCAGTGTGTGAGAGATACTTGATTCAACAGAGACAAGTTGAGATAGCATGCACCCAGCTGCTGGAGGAGCTGGGGATGAAGTTACCTCGCTGACAGCTTTCACCAGCCCTTGTTATGCCATGTGCTGAGGGAGGAGACCTCAGCACAGACGTAAAGTTATAAGCAACCAGGGAGGTGTCACTGGCAGCACAACTAGATCCAGAAAGGATGTTGTAGCCATGGGTTTCCAGAGGTTTGAGCTATCTGGCACTGCAGCAGATTAAAGAGCACTCACACTATCCTAAGGGAAGTAGCAGTCACTGCCAAAGAAGTGAGGACAAACACCTTAAGAGTGATAACATTTTAAGCCACCAGTCACTTCAGCAGCTGAACACTACCTAGGATCTATTTAAAAGGTCAGTGCAAAACAGTGTCCTTTTATCCTGTAAGCTCTCCTTGCTGCCAGTGGGTGGAATATTAATGGATGTTATGGGAAGGAAAACATTGCTGATAAGGCTGTGGGTAATTTTGCCTGTGAGTGGTTTAATAAAACTCCCTTCCCTCAAAGGTAATTGGTGTGGATCCTGAAGGCTCCATCGTTGCTCTGCCCAGTGAGATGAACACAACAAACACCACAAACATTGAAGTGGAGGGCATTGGGCATGACTTTATCCCTACTGTCCTTGACAGATCAGTAAGTAGCCATGTGATGAAAGGCCTCTGTCCCATCTTTGGCTTTGCATCCAGCCTACCCCCAAGGTCAGATGTAGCCAGCTCTTGCACCCAGTTATATCTAAGGCTACCTGTGTGCCTTCCCAGTGCAGAACAAGCTGTTGTGGGGGGCCTGGGACCCCAGCACTAAAGCATCTGAGTAAATCTGTAACTGACCTACAATGAGAAGGTAAATACAGGGGTAAATGAGGAATATGTCACAGTACCACTTCTCAGCAGCCTCTTTCACTGTGATCACACAGAATAGGTCAGTCCTAAGGCTGCTCTTCATCACCCTAGCATTTCCTGAGCCATATAATGGAACAGACTATGAATGTCATTCTGCTTCTTATGTTTCTTCTCGGTGTATCTGTGGCACCAGGTACAGAGCTTTAAAGCCCTAACTCAAGCTGCCTGTGTTCCCTAGTCCTCGTTCTCAGAAAGGTCCCCCACAGACTCAGGCCTCAGATTCTTTCTGCTTTCAGGTATTGTGCTAACTACCTCTCTGTTGTTGGCACATGGCCTTAGAACTGGGACCTGTAATAACCTCAAACTCTTTTTGTAGTTGGGTCTGATTTTGCCTTGCAAATATTGACCATTAGTGTAGCACAGCCTAGGGCATCATGGACATCATTCCCTCTACAGCACCCTGATTCTGGACCTTTCAGACATCCCTAACTCTCCAAGGAAAGGGTGCTGACTGGACAGGCTAGAGTGGGTGCCTGCAAAGCAAAGGCATGCCCTGCAGACCAAGGATGTCCTGACAAATGTATTTGCTTTCAACAAGTATGGAAAGCAGCTCAAAGCTGCCAGACATTATAGGCATCAGGACCACGGAATACCTCAGAGGGTAGAAAGAGCCTGAAATAACACTGCCAAGACCCAACCTTCTTGCTTTTGTCTTTAGGTGGTCGATCAGTGGTATAAATGCAACGACAGAGACTCGTTCCTCATGTCGCGCAGGCTGATCAGGGAGGAGGGACTATTGTGCGGTAAGCACCAACAGCAGCTGCTTCTCTTAATGGATTTTCTGAATCTCATCCTTTTGAGACCAAAACTCTTTGGTGCGGGTGCTCTCTGCATTTAGTGCCTGCTGGATGGCTGACCCCTGAGCTGGTGTGTAGGGCTGCGTCTACTGCAGAGGTATGGCAGTGCGCCTTTGCTCTGGGATCTGACTCATTGGCCACAGTAATTATAGAAGCAATAACTCTCCTCTTACCGGGGCACTTCTGCACATGGAACTGGATCTTCAGGCCTAACCCTGTGTGGTGTAGTGTTACAGGGGCTCAAGAGAGGATTAATGGGGCTCGGGGCAGGACAGGTGGGCTAGAACTGCTGCTCCACTGACAACTCTCTGAGGCAGTACACTTGTTGAACCATTGCCACACACACAAGAGGTGCCAGCTTTGGAGCAAGGAAAGCTTGGAAGTAAAGAAAGTGTAAGATGTTCTTACTGAGCGTTTCTCCCTGTGCCAACAAGCTGTAAGTGATCCCACCAGCTTTCCAAAATGAAAGGATGCCCTCAAACAAACCCTGCCTGTGCCCTAAGAGCCTCTACAGAGCATCAGCGTTTTAGTCAGCTTTCCCTGCCACCGAGCAGCTAGCCACAGGTTCCCATCCAGGATCAGGCAACACGTAGGCTTATAGTTACAGCTGATAAAAGCCCTGAGTGCTCACATCCAGGGAGTTTTGGAAAAGATCAGGCCATTTGTAATGAAACACTTAAATGTTGATTTAACCCAGCAGGCAGAGAGTCATTGTGTTTCACCACAAACCACTTACTGACCCCAACTATAATTTGTGAATAGCTCCATGTTCCCTGAACTGCATTTTTCAGGGCCTTTCCCCATTTGTTTGAAAAATGTGCTAATTAACCTGCTGTAAAATACGTGCTGCCTTGAATGCAGTGTGTAATTGGCACACAGATAGTGGAATGTGTTTGACTTCCAGTACTTGAACTACTGGTGGAAGAATTGCCTCTGTAAAGCAGGGACCTGCTTCCTTACGTGCAGCAAACCACATGTGTGCACACAGGCACAGGAAGCATTCAAGTCTTCCATCACGTTGGCTTGGTATTCTAAGCACGAGTGTAATGTTTATGGATTTTTTCAGTCTTTACGATGCATTTAAAGCCAATCTTTGGTTGCCAGATATGTCAGTTAGAAGGTCTAGTTTTGGTGTGGTCTTCTCATCACCCAAAGGAAGGGTATGGTGTGGGCAGCAGAATGTCCCTGTGTTGAACCTGTCAGACCTTGGCCTGCCCACAGACTCACCACAAGAAATGGTTCATGAAGTTCATAAGATGACTCTTAACGCTGCCATGAATGCCAATTGCCAAGAGCCATCATATGAACATATCCCTTCAAACCCCTACCTCTTCCTTATCCTAAAGCCTATGGGGCTGTGGGGCTGATTGTTCTCCTATTCCCAGTGTCTTGAGCCTGGTGTAGGAGGTGCCACCTCTGCTACTGCTTTTCCTGGGTGCCTCTGTGCCATTAGCCATGGCAGTGCTGTGCCCCATTCACTGGGACTGTGGTCCTACACCCTGGGGCAGCCCCGATGCTTGTCTCTCTCTTCTTGGTACCCACCCAGGAGGCAGCTCGGGCAGTGCCATGTCTGTTGCCGTGCAGGCAGCCAAGGACCTGAAGGAAGGTCAGCGCTGTGTTGTCATCCTGCCCGACTCTGTCAGGAACTACATGTGAGTTTCATGCTTCCTCACCTGCTTTCTGGTGTTGGGTGGGAGCTTCCACAGTCTTCTCCCCAACTCTGCATATGCCATGGCTTGTGGCCATGGGGCCCTTCAGGGACATGAGCTTAGCACTGCTGAGCCCTGGTGGCATGGGTTGCTGGAGAACACCCCAGTACGTCTCATTGGATGGCACCCAGTGTGAGCCCAGAGCTGGGAGTCCCCCTGGAGCAGCTCATAGGAAAAACAAAGCAAACAACAGGGGTAAATAACATACTGCTGTGGCAAGCACCACGGGCTGGCTCCTGGGAGGCTTGGGGTTTATTTCCTCTTGTCACTGACTGACTGCACGGAGCAGGAATCAGTCAAGCTACGGTTTTTGAACTTGCATGCCTAAAGTTAGGAAGGCAAATAGCTGACATGCTTCCAGGAGTTACTGAGCACCCGCAGCTCCTGCTGACCTTAAAAGGGGCTAAGAGCAGCCAGCTGCAAAAATCATGGGAGCCCCGGGGCAGTGCTGCGGTCTAGTGCATGAAACAAAGCACGACTTCTTCTGGAGGGCTCAGACTCGCTCTTTGTTGGTCATTTCTAGGTCCAAATTTCTGAATGATAAGTGGATGATAAAAAACGGTTTCCTAAACGATGCCCAGGAGCACAAGCCTTGGTAAGACAGCTTCCAGTGGTACAAACTGTGCTAAGAAGCCAGCTTTCTGAGCCTGGAAATTAACAACTTCAAAGGAAAGCATTATCTGTTAGTATTTAGAAAAACTGCAGTTAAGGCTGGATCCCTCTGGGGGGGCTGCAATGTCAGCTCCTCTCTTCTGAGTGATCGGAAATCCCTGTTCTGCAATCAAAGTCTATGAAGGAGATGTTTACATCCTGAAGTTGCTGATCTGCTCCCACATGGCAATCATTGTCCAGACCACCTAAGCCCTGCTGGGCAAAACAGTTGAGGGGTACATCTAGCTCCACTCACAACCTCCTGTCCTATTCCACAGCTGTGTTCAAAGGAACATGGGGCTGGCGGGGAGATGGGTCTCTCCCGTAGCAAGCACCCTTTCAAACAGCTCTGAAGGTCTTTTCAGGAAGGGAACAGTATATTTTCACTTTCCAGAGCTTCAGGCCAGCAGAGATGAGCAACTGACCTGTCTCTTGGATGCCATGGAGAAAGAGTCCCCTCAAGGGAGGGAATCACACTGCTGATGCCAATTGACATGCAGCTGAGCTGATGCCAGTTGACATGTGGCTGGGCAAATGCCAGTTGTTTAGAAAGCACCTAGTCTCACTTTGAAGACAGCAGGTATTACTGATGTCACCTGCTCCTGCAGGTTACTATAACCAAGGGTTATTGCCAAATATTTCCTAAAACCTCAATACATTTCCAAGGCATCTTGTGCCTGTTTAGAATTCGTCTTCCAGCCTCTAGCAAGGATGAAGGGCTGAGATGAGCTGGGAGTTGCCTGTGGTCCCCAGCAAGCAAACGTAACTTGTCCTGTATAAATCACACGAGCATCTCTGCCAGGCTGTCTCCTGGAGGACCTGCAGATGCTGCATTTTGAGGACCAAAGATGCAGACCAAAGAAGTAAAACTGGCAGTCCTCACCGCTCATGAGCTTGGAGCAAAGCCCTCAGTAACTTCCTTGGATTCAGGACAGCTCCACACTTTGCCAGCTGCTGGTCTCAGCCCTGCCTCAGGAGTTGTATGAACACTGGGCTTGGCTTCAACAAGACCTGGCCATGGTGGACTTGTAGCATCACTGCTTTGGGGATAGAAGCGGGGTGATCTTTGCAGGCAGGCAGAATGTCTCTGTGTGGCTGGTCTCATCTCTGCTGGTCTTGCCTCCCTGAGCAAGGCCCACAGCAGAGGGTAACAGCTTGGTGCTGCCATTTGTCTTTCAACAGGTGGTGGAACATCAAGGTGCAGAAACTGAATCTCTCGGCCCCTCTCATTCTCCTCCCTGAAGTCAGCTGTCAAAAAGCAATTGAGATCCTCCAGGAGAAGGGATATGACCAAGCTCCTGTTGTTGCTGAATCAGGGTAACTATTTTTTACAAAGATAGCCATTCACATAGGAAAAGCAGCCACAAGGAAGCTAAAGAGAAAGTGCCTTTACTGATCCCATGATGGGGCTCTTGCACTGGACTCTGTGATGCATAAGCGTGTCTCTGTAAATGAGCCAGTTAAAGTCAAAACCAAATTCAGTGCCCGCCAGACTCAGCAGAGGTTGGATCAGTGCAAAGGGAGGCCAGAGGAGAGGTGAGGGCTGGGTGGAAAACCCACGCAAATAAGCAACTGGAGAGACTGCAAGCTTTCCTTCTCCCATCTGCTAAATCCTGCTCTGCAATAGCAGACTTTAACCACTCTTACACCAACAGCTTGGGGAGGACAAGAATCTTCCTGTCCCACTAAGATGAGGAAAAAGTTGGTGCCTCCTGTTGACAGCAGCAGTGATTTAGTCACTGACTTTGAGGGGAGCTGTTCAGCCCCTACATAAATCATGTGCTCTGTCTCAGCCCTAACCTTTTGGAAAACTCCCTGTTCCCTTACAGGCTTATTTTGGGAATGGTGACCCTCAGCAACACCCTCACCTCAGTGCTAGCTGGAAACGCGCAGTTCTCAGACTCCGTTACGAAGGTCATCTATGACCAGTTCTCAAAGGTACTGCTGTGCCTGGTGGCATCCGCTGCCCAGGGATGGGGACATGGGGAGAGAAGCATGATCACCCTGAGGTGTGACAGGTGGGAGAGAAGGTTAATGAAAAAACAGAAAGGTGAAAGAAGAGAGGTGGGAGGGTGTTGGCAACATCATGGAGATGAGAGTAAGGACAGGCACCAGCAAAAATGCTGCTGAGCCTGTAGGGTTCAGACATGGGAGTTTTCACGCCAGGAGCAAAGTGTGTGAATGTCCACCTCCAGTCTTACACTGTCAGAGGGTTTTGTCTAGCTGGGGATTCAGCACCCTCTGAATTCAGAGCCCAGGCATTGCCTGGGCTCAGCAGGGCTGGGACAACAGGCACGGGCTCTGGTGGGTGTGCAGGAAAGGGATGCCTGTGTTGGATGTCCATCAATGGTCCAGAGAGGGAGTGAGGTAAATGTATGGTGTTTTAGGGGAGCTGGAGCCACCTCCTCATGCTAGCCCATGGAGGCCCTTTGGGCTGGGGGGAGGCTTAAAGGTTGGACTTGATGATCTTAAAGGTCTTTTCCAACCTAGCTGATTCTACAGAAAAGCCTGGTTTGCAGGTGGCCGGCATCCCCTCCCATCTCCGCAGAACAGTGTGAATGGGTGAGGTACACCTGATCTTGATCCAGCTGTGTGGCACCTTGGCATCTCATGGCGTAGAGGCAGGAACCAGGCTCTGCTACCACTCTCCTTTAAATGTGGAGTGAAACTTAAAATGTCTCTTTCTGTCCTGTTCAGATTGGCCTGGAGGACAGCCTCGGCAAGCTTTCCGGCATCCTGGAGAACGACCACTTTGCTATTGTTGTACATGAGCAAATGCAGTGTAGGTATCTTCAGCAGCACTGTGTGGGCTTTGCATGAATGTCTGAGAGGGGAAAGGCAAATTCTCAAACTGAGCTTGGTAGGTATAAGCCCCTACAGGAAAGATTTCTGCCCTTTGGCCCTGCAAAGCCCTGGAACTGCCAACTATTCACCCATTTCCTTTCCTGACACCACAGAGATGAGGGGAGAGAAGGGAAGCCTTAATCAAAGGAGTCCAGGACTAGCACCAGGATGTGCATCCTGCAGGAGCCCTTCCCAGATCCTGGCCATGGGAGCTGTGTTGTCCTCTCCATGCAGGGGTGATGCTGAAGCACTCATCATCTCAATCCCCTCCCTTCATCTCATGGTTTCTCATAGATATCCACTTCTGGGGCTGAGAAGTACTCATTAAGGGATTTCATTTGGTCCCCTCTGACAGCCAAGGTGGACTGTAAGTAGCACCTTCGGGTGCAGTGCATTTGCTTCACAGCTGTAGGCTCAGGCCTCTAGTTCTTGTTTAGCCTTTTGGCCTTGAATTCAAATCACTGCCTTACTGGTTGTGAGCAACAGGGGAAACAAGGGAAATGAGAGATCTCCGCAGGCTTAGTACCCAAGGCACGGTTGAAAGGATGCCTACAAGAAATCTGGAGAAGGCCTTTTTACAAGGGCATATAGTGGTAGGGCAAGGGGGGAATGGTTTTAAATTGTAGATAGATTTAGACTGGACATTAGGAAGAAATTCTTTACTAGGAGGGTGGCGAGGCACTGGCACAGGTTGCCCAGAGAAGTTGAGGCTGCCCCATCCCTGGCAGTGTTCAAGGCCAGGCTGGATGGGGCTTTGAGCAGCCTGGTCTAGTGGAAGGTGCCCCTGCCCATGGCAGAAAGGTTGGAACTGGATGATATTTAAGGTCCCTTCCAACCCAAACCATTCTGTGATTCCATGATTCTATGAAAGGAGCATTTGTGCACATCCGATAAAACTTAGGTGGAATTCAGGCATCTAAGTGCAAGGAAATAAACTATACAGTCTGCATCCTATTGCTCAAAGACCTTCCGCTGTGCATGTCCAGAGGCTGTACCATCTTCTGAACACCCCTGTTCCCACTTGCCACTCCTAGAGATGCAGCCAAGAGACATTCTTATGCCTGTGTGCCCCAAGGAGCCTAGGTAAATTGATATGCTGAGGGACCTTAGGGTGCTATCTGATGCTGGTGCTATCAGACACCTACCCTGGAGGTCCAGGGTAAGTTGAGAAAGATGAAAACAAATGTGTTGGACCATGAGCAAGCCCTGCATCAGAGGCACATGACTCAAGAGGCACAATATACACTGAAGGGTACAGCCTGGGGCATCTGTGTGTGAGCCTTACCTGGACCACAGCTGGCTGTAGGGATGCTCTGCCAATTCAGGAGCACCACTAGACCGGTCCAATAAAGCAGCTGTACCAGCAGCTTTGGTTTATTCTCCAACCACTGTACAGCCACCCCCTCCTCAGTGAAGCAAACCACTCAGAAGTCACATGCAGTGGGACCACATGAGGGCTGCTGACACATCCGTAACAGAGGTATCACACCTTTCTGCTCCTCTGACCACAATCGATACGGTGGCAGGCGCTGTTCTGCAAATCTGACCTAACACACCCTTCCAGGGCAATTATACTGTAAAACCTCTAGAAGTACAAATCTGGCCTTATCTCCGGGGAGTTGCTTTGTTTAAAATGTTAACAGCATGAAAAAGCAGCCAGAAGACTCATGCTTAGGTCTTCTAAATTAGAGCTGAAGGGTGTAACTGTACTAATTTTATGGGATTACACATGCTACATGCAGAGCATTCCTACAATATTGTGCTGTGTTGACTGCCAGCAAAGGGCTGCCTGTTGAACCCAGGGTCTCTGAAACCAACCACATGCAAACATCCCAACTCCTTTGCTTCCTTCTCTATAGCCTGCTGCCCCAAAGCCGGCTCTAAAGCTGGCTTACAAGTCTAGACATGTTCCCGCAAAATGCTGCAAGCAAAAGTCTGTCATTCAAAGCTGCCTTTGATGCACATTTTCAATTCACTCACTGAGAATAACGCTGGGTAGAATCTCCTTTCTCAGCTTTGTTATCACAAAATAGTGAAGATCTGTTTTGTATCACATTTCAACATAAATTAAATGGTACCCACAAATTAAATGGTACCCACTGAAAAACATCTGCCAGCTGCATGCGGTGCCTCTTGTTCTGGTTTTCAGACAACACCCATTTGCTTTTACAGAGCTGCTGTTTTAATGCCGTCACAGTTACCCCCGTATTTATTGCCTTATCCCCACACCTTCAGAGCCTGCATTTTATCTCGTGTTTGGGCTCTGGTGGCTAGTTCTATTTTATTTAAGAAAACATTTATCAGATAGTCAAAGCAATTCTTGCAATGATGTTTTATTAATGGTGGTGTAGGACATTATGCGGGCAGAGTAGAAAGTGCCTCAGTGCTGCTTTTACAGTCTCATTAGTTTGGCCTGAAAAGCTTTGAGGTGATAGAAGCAAGACTGGAACAGAGGTTGGATAAAAACAGCTGGGGAATTAAGCTTCCTGCTCTGGTAAAAGGTACATTATTTGCAGCTAAAACCTCCCTGATATGATCCCAGTGACCTGATCGAGGCTCCATCAGTCTTTCCTGTTGAGGCAGAGCAGAGACAGCTGCTGTTCCATTAAGGATTTTGTTTCATAAACAAAAGGCAGCCCCTGCACAGCTGGGTGGGGGGGTTCTTCTGGTTGTATTTCCACTAAACTGGCGTTTCCTGTGCTTGCAGTCAATGGGAACGGCAGCTCCTTCATGAAGCAGATGGTGTTCGGTGTGGTCACAGCCACGGACCTCCTCACCTTTGTCAGCAGAAATGAGAAGAAGTATCAGAGCAGCTTGGCTGTACCCTCCTCTGCTCCTCCAGCACAGCCAGCTGCCCCCCAAGCCTCTACCTCCCAGTGAGGTGCTTTCTAGTCTGATCCAGCTGATCATTTCTCATAATGACTAGGTGAAAATTGTACTGTAATGACCATTTGTCCGCTAAACGCCATCCCAGAATACCACTAACAACAAGATAACTAATGAAATTGTGTTTAATAGCCATGCGTGGTTACATGGAGCTTCCCAGGTATGAAGGGGTAACACAGGGAGGGGTGGGGATGGGAAAGGAGAGGTTGTTATTGCACAGATTTTAGCAGGTGGGGGTTTGGTGCTGGGAGGATGGTGCCAGACTCGTTTCAGTGGTGCCCAGTGACAGGACAATGGCCATAAACTAAAACACAAGAAGTTTCACCTCAGCACGAGGAAGAGCTTCTTTATGTTGAGGGTGGCAGAGCAGCGGAACACGCTCCTTACAGGGGTCGTGGAGTCTCCCCCTCTGGAGACATTGAGGGCCCGCCTGGACACGTTCCTGTGTCACCTGCTCTGGGTGGCCCTGGCTTGGCAGGGCTTGGACCAGATGATCTCCAGAGGTCCCTTACAACACCAATGATTCTGTGATTCTGCCGTGTATCTGCTACCCATAGGTACCAATGCACTGCTGGTGCTGCCACGAGTCACCCTGGCCACACCAGTACCGGAGCCCATCTCTGCTGTGAGAGAAGCAGGGCTGGGGCAAGCCACATCATGGCTGCACCCTTCTGCCCCTCTCCACCCTTCACAGGACAGCTGCAGGCACCCCTGGGAGACCCTCCTGCTTATCCCCAGCTCTGTCTGTGGACCAAGGAGGCAGCAGGAAAGGCAGGGCCCCAGAGGAGTGGTGAAGAGTGAGGAATGGGTGGGACATTGCACCCCGGTATGTGGAAGGTGGGGACCTGGGCAGGAGAGATGTGAAGGGAGAGCCAAAGGCTGCGATGGGTGGGGAAAGGATGGCTCCCATAGTTGCAACCGGCCTTTTGAAAACACTTTCCTTACCTCTGAGGGAGCTGGCAGCACTGGGTGTCTCTAGCACAGTCCCTCAGGATGGGGCAGTGAACCAAACCTGTTCAAGAAGTAAAGACTCATTCTCACAGTACAGTAACTGGGAGAAGGAATATGGCTTCATCCCTGTGTCCTGTAACAGTCATCTCATGGATATGCATCCTGGGAGCTCGTTGTTGAGGGGAAGGAGAGGTTGATCTTAGTTTTGCTGTGAAGGCATTGTGTTCCATGAACTGATAATGAAGGTCATAAGAGCCATTTGCCATGCCAGCACTAAACATAAATGAAAGCAAAAGTGAAAGGAGGGTGGGCCGTGGGATCAAACTGAAGCACCATTGAAACCTGGTTTGGGGGAGTTGCTCTCAAAGACACTCTGAGCTTTGCCATTAGTCTTTCCATAAGTCTTGGGAGCTGCTCCAAGGTGACAACAGCCAATTCCAATTCTGTTTTGCTGCCAAGTGTTTAGTCCATACTTTCAGCCTAATCTAGTTTATACAAGACTTTTATTAAATTATAGAATGCTGAAGTATTTATATTTAGGAAGAATGTCTCTGTTGTCTTTTGCTTCCTGAACACAAGCTGTATCAAATCTTCTGCAAGTTTTTGCTTGAGTAATAACCATATTTGTTGAGAAAAAAGTAAAAACTGATTAGCTCAACCTCATCGTGTTGTATTTATTTTAACAGCTCTGTTGCAAACCGAAGGATCTTAGTCTGGGTATGTATTCCAAACTCACATGAGTAAAAGTGCCCTGTAACTCCATGGAGCCCAGACCTGAGCGTGAATCTGGACCACCTTGAAGCCCAAGGCTGTGGGGAACAAGCCTCGCTAAAGGGCTGTCCTCTCAGGAACTGCATCTGTTTATGTAAAACATGTGCCATTACTGTGAGTGTGAACAGAAACAAATACACTATTTGATGCATTTGAGCTGATGCTCGCTTGCAGAGCAGGCTCCTGCCCAGCACGCTGAGCATGGGCGTGCAGAATGTGTCAGCTCTCAAAACCAACCACCTGAAAGCCCAGATGATGGGCTCACAGCACGTAACAACAGTCCAGGTATCAGCTGCCCTGAACCTCTCTGCAGTCTGCACGGGCCCTATGGATTAGCCCCTGTGCCCCCAGCAGCAGCAGCGCTACAGGACAGGCAGCTGCACTCAGCAGAGGTGAAGTAACTGCTGAGTATTAGTCACAAACACAATGGCTTTTGTGTGCTAACTGTGAGTGTGGGAACCAATAAAGTTGGGTGTGAGCCCTGGACATTCCGGGATTGCTCCACATCCACATTGCAGACACATCCAGCAGTGGCATTTCCCTGGCTGGCAATGTCGGTGTTGCATCTGTGGTGTTTTGCCACAGACTGCGATCCTGAGGATGCAAATACACTCCACAGCACGCACCAGGGCAGAGCAGTGGCACCGCAGGGTGCTGGGTTGGGTGCAGGAGGTGGTGAGAGGGAATGGCTGGTGCTGTTCTGCCCACACATCTCTGGGGAAGAAAAGGCTTCAGGAAGCAGGGGATGGGGTTTCACTTGCTTTGTCTGCAGTAATCACTGAGGGACCTGTAGAGACATGTCTGTACACAGCGTTCATGGTAGAGCAGGGCCAAGAGCCCAGTGTGTAACCTGTCACCCATCACCCACTGTCCCTTCTACCGAAGTCCTCAGGGCTGCCCTTGACAGTGACAACCCCTTCCAGATAACTGGTCTTTCAAGTTCATTTCCCTCCCCTTGCCACCAAGGCCATACCAGTATTTTACATGTGCAGTGAGACACAGCCACCCAGCTCAGTGTATCTGAGTGATCTCGGGCTTTGTGGGGCATGGTGGTCACACATATCTCCCAGAGGAATGGGGATTTTCATCTTAAGGAGCTGTGAGAGGGTGGCAGGAAGAGGGTGAGGGCTGGGCAGTATCCCACCTCAGCATGCTGTGCTCACTGCACTGAGCACAGCATAGCTCCATTGCAGGAGACAGACTGTGGTCCAGCAGCCCATGCTCTTCTGCAGCACCTCCTGCTCTGAGGGGCACACACATGTACATGAGGGAGCTACTCTCCACAGTCCCATCTGCTGCAAGGTATTTCTGTTTTTCATCATCCCATTCCTCTGCAAGGTCGGGGGGCATGTTTCCAATGAGCTCATTAGTACATCAGGCTAAGATTATTTCACACCAGAGAGCAGAGGGGACCCACAGAAGCCTGGGGGAAGCTTGGGCTGCCTGTGCTGGTCAGGGCACCCGGATTATGCCTGCATGTGAAATTCATGCCTACCTCCTCCGCTGAGATACATGGCCCTGGCTCCAGGTGTCTTAATCCAGAGGAAAACAGCCATGCAGAGCCTAAAGCACTTTAAATGGTCTGTGTCAAGCATGCCCCAGGAAGCTGCATGGAGACAAGGATAAAACGTGTGCCCTGAGAAGGTCCATACCCATGTCCGGCTCCTGAGCGGGAGCACTGTGGGGTGCATCACCCCAGAGCTGGCTACCCTCCACCCGTGCTGCCTCACTAGACTTTTCAAATCAGTTGATTTCCCTCTGGACACTGTTACCCATGCTCCCGGCAGCCTGCGAAGCGCAGGGAGATGCTGACGCTTCAGAAACCTTGTCTGAAGCCTGCAAGGAAGGGGGTGGGGAGATAGCACAGACCTGCAGACAGCTGGGAGATGCCGGACTAGTCTGCAGCCAGACAGACTAAGCCACCAGCAGCAGCAAGATAAGCATCTCCCTGGCCCTGCCCACCCACCTTTTGTGCTACGGAGCCTTCCCCGCCTCCTCCGTCTCTCCCCACCAGTGTTTCATCGTGGAGCCACCACCAGCAGCACATAAATAGAGGATCCAGGGCAGGCTGTGGGGCAAAGACCAGAGACACCACTTGGGGTCCTGCTCTGCACCCTAGCATCCGTCCCGCCTGCCCAACCACCCTGCAGCAGGTAACCGGCGCCTCGGGAGGCTGAGACCCCAGGGACTTGGCTTGGGGCAGAGGGGAGCACCTTGTCCAGCCTGCATCCCGGCTGTCCAGAACTGAGGGGGGATGAACTAGGAGAGGTGGTCGGGCACGCGCAGGAGGCTGTTCCCGCTGCAGCTGCTGAGGGCCAGACTCCATGTAGTGGTTTTGTGGGAAATAGGCTCTGTTGGAGAAGCCCAGTTCCATTCATAGGTGGGGTTGGAGGTTTCAGCAGGGAATGGGTCTGCAGGGGCAAAGCCTTTGGTAATGCCAGTTGACAGTAACTTAAGCAAGAGTTTACCTTAAACCCAGGAAAGCTTCAAAGGCTTTCTTTTTTCGAACTGGAGTTTGTGCTTTCAAGCTTTGTCTTCAGTGTCATGCAATTTTTAAATATTATTGCTTAAAGAAATGTTAAGAAGCAATTACAAGTAGTTGCATGTCTGCAAGAGTAGGAAATTTGGGCTATCAAATGCACAGCGTGAAGGTAATGATGTAATTGCAATCAAAGGTGGCACTAGGGCAACTGGAGAAGAGACCCAGCCTGGAAGGACCCAGTGCAGGAAGGGATCAAGTGTATTTAATGCAGCAGCACCTAAGGTCAATCAGAGGGAAGGGATCCAGAACTGTGGCTGCACTTAAGGAAATGTCGGGTCTTGAAAAGCTGGCAAAGAGTCCTTAAAACAGAGAGGGGAGTCAGCATGAGCTGCCAGGCGCTGCTGTGCATCCTTGGAGCTGCAGGTGGAGAAGGAGGGAGCTGGCACAGGGAGGGGATTTCATCCTGTGAGAGATTCTCTACTTGAGAGCATTGGAGAAGGTGAAGGGCGGTGTCCCACAGGGCCACCTGACACTGGAAACACCTTCCTTAGAGAAGCAGGGTCCCAACTGCAGCAGCAGCCACAGGGATGTGCCAGCAAAGCAGAGAGTGCTTCTTTGAGTCCTTCAAGTGCCCATGCCTGAATGCCTCCCAGGGACAATTAGTCACTGAAACATAAAATATCAGTATCATTATAGGGGTGAACATGTGCTGTTTGCTGGCCAGGGCAACCATGGCAAAGCTCAGCGTGTGCTGCAGTGCGGACTTTGCTGCCACAGTGCCCATCCTGTGCTGTCTGAAGGGGACAGCCACAGCTGGTGGCTGGAGGACACCTCGGTAGAGCCAGGGTGGGCTTTTGGGCGCAAGACTTCATGTTTTAAGGCAAACAATGCTGGTCCCAGCACACTGCAGATGACCAAAACTGTGGGAATGGGTTATGGGAATGTTGTAGGGGTGCAGACCTTGTGGGTTTGGTGTGCCCATGCCCAGGCTGACACCTGCGCTGGCCTCCCCTTTCTCTCCCCAGAAGCATGGCTCTCACCAGTGCCCTTCGCCTGTTGCTTGCCTGCCTCCTGCTCGGTGGTGTGGCCCCAAAACCTACGTGTGACCCTGGCACCTGCACCCCGTGCCCTGACAGGGACATGGAGGAGCCAACCACTGCTGAGGGCTGCTGCCCGCCCTGCCCCGCACCCTGCGCCTGCCCCCCTTACCTGCAGAGCGACTGTGAGATGCAAGGCTTCGCCAGCGGCCACGTCCCCGTCGGCCGCTCCTTCTACATCGACTTTGCCCGCAAGCTGTGTACCTGCCACCCCGGTGGGGACATCACCTGCACCCCGCTGTGCCCCAGCCTGCCCCCCACCTGCCAGGCTGTGGGCAGCCCTGTGGCTGACGGCTGCCCACAATGCGTGTGCTATGACGAGGAGGAGATGGCAGTGTCCGCTGGTACCACCACCGCCCGGGGGGACCAGGTTTGTACCTGCCCAGCCCAGGGAGGCCGGCTGCAGTGCAAGAACAAGGAGTGAACTGCGCTGTTCCCTCTGCTGGCAAGGGCAGGGGGACAGGGGAGCCCCTCCAGCAGCAGGAGGGCATCCTCATTGGGAGGTATTAAGTGCTTCAAACTGGTTTAGAGGACTTGGCGATGGCTGTGGCTGTGCCAAAGAGCACTAGAGAGGTGCCTCATTGTATGTCATGTATACACCAGGGCAAAGCGTCTATAGCGGGTGAGCTTGCTTCGTTTAAGTTTTGTTCCATGGCGGTGGTCTATGAGAGCTTAGACTGGCTGCTGCTAGCATGTAACTGGAGCAAAGGCAGTTATTTATTTATTTGTAAGATGGTTGTGCTTTTGTATGTGTTTATGCAGCCTGTCTATATAACTCGCTGGATAAACTTCCTCCCAGGAGCCAGGGTTTTGCTTCCTGTAATTCCATCAAGTTCAAGGTGATGGGACCAAACTCAGAAGGCTGGCTGGCATCCCTCTCTCCAGGCTTGTTTTGAGGTGGGAGGAGTAGGTGGGTTAGCACAGGGCTGTGTTCTTAGAAGGAAGCAAATTCCTCTTGTGCCTGCATCCTCCAGAGCAAAGCCTTGAAGACTCACGTAAGGATGTTGGCAGTCTAGGGTCAGTCCTTCACAGCCACCTCAATGGACTAGTCACCCAGGGCCGATACCATTGTCAGTCCTTGACATGTCCCAATACCTCAGACTGCATGTCAGTGACTGTGTCCTCACTTGTGCTCTCCTGTTACCACTGGAGACAGACACAGGGTACAGCAGAACTGCGTCTTCTGAATGCTTTGATGTATATAGATATATTACACACACACACACACACACACACATATATATATATGCAGAGATACTTCAATAAACACCACAGCTTCCTCAGGCTGAGATGTTAACCAGTGTTAATTGTGTTCTTTCAAGAGGTGTAATAAAATCAGTTTTACCAATAAACTTCTGAAACCTACTGATAAGCGCGCATGTAATTTCCTATGTGTCAGCTGGTGTTACTCGGGCCAGGCGAGCCTTTCTTCAGCCACCTTGCCCCATGTATGCCTGAAAACATTATATGTGCCCTCTGGATTTTTTCATATTCCTCTCTACTGCTCTGACTGCAATAAAAACAGTGAGACGATCAGATTCAGGGCGAGGGTTAGAAGAATGTTGGAGGAAGGAGGGGAATTTGCCTTTCAGGATGAAACACGTGTCTCTCAATCAGGGCTGTCAGAGGCTGACCCTGCCCAGGGCTCTAGTGAGCCTCAGCCAGGGATGTAACAGCTCAGCATACCCCAAACCACTGTACCTCAAAGCGGGGCCTGCGGCATAAGAGCATCCGAGTGACTGCACTGTCCCCCTCAGCCCAGCCACCCCACTGATGGCTCTTGGCTGGTAGCTGCAGGGTGGGAGCAGGCTGGGATCCCCAGCCTGGACTCTTCCCATGTCTGGAGGGCTCTCAGGCATTAAAAGGGAAAAGGGTTTGTGGCCTTGCAGTGGACAGTTTGAGAGCACATGCTGGGGACATGAGGGGACATGTTCTGTGCGGAGCTGGCAGCGGGGATACTTCCTTGCACTGGCCCTGCACCACCTGCTGTGGGGACACAGAGGCAAGGGAGCAGGAGAGGAGACAGACACATTCAAGAGGGAAAACTCCCCCCCCCCATGTGCCTGGCCTGTGCCTTGCAAGCTCCCCAGTGGGGATGGGACAACCCTGGTGGCCATCACTCACCCTACAGAGCTGGAGCACTTGGCAGTTCTGCCTCCAGCCTGTGTGATTCATAGAAAACCACAGTGAAGCCGGGTTTGGTCTGGGTGAGGAAGAGCCCTCACTGCAAACCGAGACGTGATGCGGCCTCACAAAAGCTACCACAAGCACAGGAGGCACCGACTTGAGTTGTGTTTGGGCAGTCAGCAATTTCCGCAGGGCTTCCCAGGTCAGAGCTGAGAAACTTGTCACTTGCAACACCCAACAAGGTTAGGAAACACCACCTCTTCTTTTCCCTGGTTTTCTGACGTAGGTGTTATAAAGGAAGGTAGACGGTGACTAATACAACAGCAAAGGTACACCTCTTCCACCAGTGACTTTACTGCAGCTGAGCTGTGGAGAGGGGTCACAAATCACCCTCGCCAGGCAGTGAGGTTGCTCACGCCTCTCTGTCACAGGGAAGGGAGCCCCTGCCCCCTCTGCTCTTCTCCATTTGGTTGAAAACATCTTATTTTTCACTAAGGTCAAAGCTCAGTTGTCAACCCCCAGACCACACAGCGGACATCCTGTGCCGCTGCTGGAGCCAGCAGCGTGACAAATTCTGCCCACTACAGGGCAGTAATTACATCTGTCCAGGTATTAACAAATAGCTGAATTAATTCACATCCTGTATATAGAATCATAGAATCACAGAATGGCTTGGGTTGGAAAGGACCTTAAGATCATGTAGCTCCAACCCCCTGCCATAGGCAGGGACACCTTCCACTAGACCAGGTTGCTCAAGTCCCCCTTCAGCACTGCCCAGGTCCTCTGGGCAGCCTGTTCTAGGTAGGGCCACACCACCCTCACAAGGAATAATTTCTTCCTTGTAACTAACCTAAATCCCCCTTGTTTGCTTGATGCTTGCAAGGTGTGAGCATTTTAGTCCTTGGGGTTGGCTCTTTTGTGTCTGACAAGCATTGAAGGAAAGAATAATGGGTTTGCAAGAGGAGTGTTTGTTCAGAGGGAGTCATGAGTGATTTGGGCAGACTCCTTGCCTGGGCAGGGTGGTGGTCTGCTAGGGTTGCTTATCCTTTGTCACACATCTTATCTGTTGCACTACAGCCCCCTCCTCCTCCCCCTGCCTTGTGTGACTGATAACCTTTGAGGGAGAAAATGGCCAACAGACAGCAATGCCTGGGTTGCCACCATCTCTGATTTCAGGACAGCTTGCATGTGCAGGCTCTGCCTGGAAGTCTCACAGGATCTCTGTCTACGTTTCATCACCCTGAAGTAGCTGCATTGTGTTACGTCTTCCATGAACAGCACCAGCAGAGGGGAGAAAAGAAAGAAACCTGTTCAAACACAACACACTGTTCAGGCATCAGAATTTATTCACTCAAGTTTAATGTCTTGGGTTTTGCCATGCTTTATTTGAATGGGTGTTGCCCTGGATTCTCCATATTAACCACCCATGTGCTTGTCCGCATTTTGGACACAGTATTGCTGGCATCGTTACTTGTATTTTTCCAGCTCAGATTTTCCCCATGGACTGGACAACAGTGTAGTTTTGTTTGTATGGTCACTGTTGCTTTGCATCACAGCCAGGCACATTTGCAGGTTAGGAGGAGCTGTACTTGTTTCTGAAGTACAAAGCATCGCTCACCCTTGTGCATCCCTGAACTAGCCCTGAAAACTGAGTCAAAAGCTGAAATTTATAACTCCTAAAAGTAACTCATTTTACACATAGTGCAGTCAAGTTGGGGGGGGTGTCTGCGTTCTTCCTGTCCCATAACTTGTAAAAGATTGTCACCATTGCTTTATTTATGGAACAGACAGGGCCTTTCTTCATTGTGCTAATGATTCAGTCATTGATTTAAACAGAACCATGTTTTGGGCATCAATCCTTTTTGACATGCCCTCTTTGTTCCTGCCTCATGAGGCTGTAAAATAGTAAGCTAAAACATTTATTAGTGGAAGCCTGTTAGGAGATGTGGTTTCAGCACAACTATACCCAGTGCCAGGAAGTTAAAGTGTTTCCCCAAGTCCTTCTACCTTTACTGACAATCTGCCTGCATTAGTGAATTCCTTCACTAAACACCAAACAGCTTCAGCTTCACTAAACACCAAACAGCTTTAGCATCCCTGCTGCTCCATTCCCCCAGCCTGCATCTGCAAAGCCGGGGTGTAGGAGGTGGGTGCCTGTCATTTTGTCTGGGAATTATTACTGTGTCCCTGCCCATGGCAAGGGCGTTGGAACTAGATGATATTTAAGGTCCCTTCCAACCCAAACCATTCTATGCTTCTGTCACTATGCTTTTATCATAAATCCTGATCCTGTGGCAGTTTTGCACTTGTGATTTCTGATCAGGGTGAGAACAAGGTGACAGAGGTTTCCTAGAGGATGCCCTAGTTAAACTAAACCGTACCCACTCGATGTTAGTAACGCATTGGACTACATCACCCTAGAAATACTTTAACAGTTTGGGGGCAGGAAGGGAGTAATATTCGACAACCGTCTTTTGAACACGTTCCTCATCAGAAATTTTAAGCATATGTTGTTGCCCTGGATGCCTCCAGGCATACCAACATATTAACCAGCAAGTAGCACAAGGATGAGAACTAAACCCACATGCACAAACAGATCAACATAAAAATATTATGAAGTGAAAGCTGACCTACAACAGGATGCTGAGCTGAAACACATTTTTTTAATGCAACTTCTTTCCCTATCTCCTTGGTTCAGTATCACAGTGAAAAATCATGGAGGTATTTTAAAATAAATTGCAAGCAGTATCATATGGAATTAAGAGAATCCCCAAGTCTCAGATGTTCTCTGCTTTTACCTGTGTTACACAAGTAACAGCCTTCCCTTCTTTCGGGTAGGTGGGCAGGAGGGACCAGAAGTGTAGATTCAGCACTTAAAACAGACGTCCTCTGGGAAGAGCAGAGGAGCCAGCACTGGGTTTTTTTCAGTCAAAATTACAGAACAGCAAGCAAGGGGCTGTATAAGAAGAAGGATTTAGTGCTCAGGAGTTTCAGGGCAAACTCAATATATGCACACTTGATACAGTAGATGTTTTGCCTCCAAAATTGAAAACAGAAATGGACTTTTCTGACCATTAGGTATGATTTCTTTAAATTAAGAATTCACATGATTTAATCGGGAGGGGTTTTGCATGTTTCCCTAAGATGTGCGTATTTTGTGACACAGAGTATTACAATGTGCCTTTCTATGCCCAAGACCTTTCACTGGAGCAAACACATATTATTAAAAATAAAACAACAAAACCAAACCCCACAGAACAAAAAAAAACACACCAAAAAAACAACAAACCATGGAGACAAAATTGACACACATTGACTGGGGAAAATAACATACAAATTGCTTTAGGCTTCAAATGATTTAGCTTAATGTTGTGTATTTTTGCCAAAGACAGCTTATTTTCGGTTATCATTCCTATCCTGCATTCATAGCACATCCACAACTCAGTTCAGGAGGGTTGTTGGGCTTTTTCCAGCAAAGCTGGCTTTGAGTCTTGGAGCGATTCATGGAGTCATTATTCAATGCTATTCACAGTTCAAGAGACACAGAAAAAGCCTAGGGTGTGTAATCAAGGATTAATTGTTGCCAGTTTTTAAAGAAACGAAAGGGGAGGAAAACCAGAGCAGGAATACAAAACCAGTTGTTTGGAAGCAGACTGGAGGATCTCCGAGGAAATTCTTTCTGTAAGCGCTTAAAGTGTCACAGCCTTTACAAGCAGTATTGTTTTCCCCAGTATCTGAAAAGGCAGCCCAGGTATTACCTAACAATTGCTAGCCAGCTCGTAAAAATCCCTGGTTTTACAATTCCGAGTTTCATTTGATGATGCTTCTTAAAATTCTCAAGAGCTTTCAGGTCTCAATCCAGCTGTAGTACTGAGTTAAGCAAGTTAAATCAGAATCAGCTGTGTGAAACAGCCCTTCTGTGTGTTAAAGCAAAAACAACCACCCTCGTGTTCCAGTATCAAAATACAGAGAGACACCAGTAACAGAAATACTCTTCTCCCTCTTTCCTGGCTTTAATTCAGATCTCACCCATGGAGCCATATATGCTCTTATCTTAGAAAAATCAGTACCTGGGCAGTAACTGAGTTTGCTTACATCCTTGTAAGTCCCCTTGTCTTTTCTGTGTGCTAGCCCTGCTAAGAGTGGTCTAAATCTTAAAAACCAAATAAACTGAGCTATTTGGTTTATTTACTATTTACATGCAGAATTGTGTAGTAAATGTGATTTGATGATCCTTAAGACATTAAGGAGAGTCTCTGCACTCCACAGCTCATAGTGAACGGCTGCAGTGGGAGGGGGGAACAGCAAAACTGGCGTTTCAGTCAATCAATCATTAGCTTTTAAGTACGATCTGCATAATTTTCATGACTATTAAAAATCTAAGTTTAAAAATGCTTGAATCTTGACAAGAATGTCTCTAAATTAAATTTTATTTCCACATTCACATTTAGTATATGCATCAGTTTATATTTAGGATTCAGTGATCAACTTAGCAAAGTGTGCTAGGAATAAAAGTCAGTAGGTGCAAGGGCCTAATCTTCTGACTTGTGCTAATAGTAACACAAAAGTCCAAAGACCAACAGAGAAGATAAATACCCACAGATTCTCCCTAATCACTTCATAAGCTCTAGATCACATCTTAGCTGCATTGGGAAGATCAACCAACCCCAGCCTATGAAGGTCCCATTGCTTTCAGGTAGGGCATCTAAATGGTGGTTTCATATTGTGATTTTTAAATACACCACAGGCTTAATCCTGAATACCTTGCAGATGCTGAATTTGCATGATTTTAAATGTAGATTTTAAATAAATAATACAATACATAGTATGTGTCCTGGCCTAATCTGTTACTTTTTGCAGTATCCTCATTTTACACTACTTGTGGAATTAATTTTTCCTCATTTTAGTACTGAGAATAGTGCTCTGGTTTTCTACAAAGAGGGGTATCTAGGAACAGCCCTAAACTGCACACTAAAGCAAGTACTGAGGGAAAAAACTGTTCCCTGTCACTAGTGGAGTTAAAACTACTCCCAGTGATGTTACCAGGAGTTAACTCGCACTACTCTCGGGCACTCTTTTAACGTTAGACAAAGAAATGATCAATTACTCCTGTGTCTAGAACACGTACTACTCGGCTAATCGCAGATTAACCCCTTAAAAACAAAATACGATCCAAATCCTTGGGGACATGTTCTGGAATAAGTTAACAGCTATGAAAAGACCGTTTTCTAAGATCGTCAATTATACTTGGAACTGCATGTTCTTCAGGAAAATCCCGTAAAGGAAATACGCTGTACAGTCAGTGAGAAAGCTGACAGTGCCCCTGGCCTGATAACCTGAACATGGCCCATGAAACCCAAGGGAAGGTGCCCACACCCTGTCACCACCACATCCACCTGTTACTCAGGGGGATGTGCTGCCAGGTGAGGTACGGCATCACAAGGCTATACCTGTTGTAGTCAGTACAGTCACACACACAACCCCTGCAGCTCAGTGTACCGAACTCTGGGCTGCACTCTTTGCGACTGAACTTGGATGGCATCATGCCAGACACCAGGGAAGCAAGAGTAGGAATAAATAACATTTCAGTGCTAAGCATATTTTATCTATAAAGCACCCATGTCTGTCTTCACCTTTGCTCAGTAAGACTCACACACACTGGACGTGTTTCTTGCTACAGAGGAATCTATCTTGTAATAAAAAAGCAGCTAGTTTCCTGAAGATTTCTGATCTCGTGGAAGATGGCAATTTTAGAAATGCATTTCAATCTGTCTGGCTGAACAAGTTAACACATGGGACTTAACAGAGGACGTCTTTTTAAGTACAGTTATCATACATGCTTGGAACCATTACTGAAAGTTTCATGTCCACGCCATTTTAATTAACCATTTTGGAACAACAACAAAAAAAAACCCTAAAGAAACCCAACCCCAAGTCACATACATTATGGTCTATTTACCTGCTAATTCTTGGTTTCATTGAAGCTGCTTCTGAATTACAAAAGCATAATAAAAACTCCCATACTGGTAAGAACTAGTAAACATACTAACCAAACAAAAAGGCCCAGGATTGTTTCTGGCCAAGAACTGGTTAACTAGTTTGAAACCATGCTCAAGATTTCTCAAAAACATATGTCTTTCAGCCAAACAACACTGTTAACTTTAAAGTAACACAAATGCCTTGCTTTAAAAATATGCTTTTTTTCTGTTCACAGAGAACAGTAGTGTAAAAACAAATCATCCATGAAGCAGATTCTCACTTTGAATTTTATCCTTTCACAGATCAGTTGCTTCAAAATCCCTTAACAACCTAGGCAAAAAAAAGTTACAGGGTTCACATTTTAAAGACTATCAATCGTATAGACCAAATGCTGCTAACCCATGGGAAGATTTATGGACCATTTCTGCCATGGCCTGAAAACACTGGATGCTATTAGCATGAAACAAGTATCGTTATAGTAGTCTAGTAGGATTTTAAGGCATTTCACTGCTTTCTCACACCTTGCTTTCCTCTTGACAAAGACAGCTGTGATCACTCAGCAGGTCCTAAAGAGCTAAGTCACAGAAAAGGAACAGATTTTATATTGCCAGGTGACAAGAATGAACAAATAACATGACCTGGGCAATCGCTTAAAAGCACGTTAGTGCCAATTTCGCTACACTTTACATGGGATGATCAAGTTACTTTAGGATTTGAAAATTAAACAACCCAAAACCTATTTGAAGGAACTTAGCAAATCAAGGGCAGGGAGGAAAAAATCCACACTGAACATGAGTTGGGCAAAATGAACCCAATCTATTATTCAGCTACACTGAACAGTAAAGAGCAAAGTGTACTCAGCATTAAGGCTAAAGATCTGATCATTTGCACGCTGCAATCAAATGTGCATTTTCATGGATATGCTCTGGTTTTAGCAGGTGGTGAGAGTTTGAATTATTAGGAAACCAACCATTTTACTTGTTTAACTTGACATTTTCATGAAGGAATGGAGGTTAGTTACATTTCCAACAGGGTTTCAAAACTACATTTTGCCTATTCAACTCCAAAAACTAAGCTGAATATATGGCTGAAAGGATTAAAAGTCTAATCAAGGAAGTCAGAAAACAGGTACCAGTACAGCACCTAAAAATGGGTAATTCACATATTTTTGACATCTGTGTCTTGCATAGACAAATAATGAACTGTTTTCTCTCAAGACGACTCAGCTTCAGAAAACAGATCTTAAATCAACTTCACAATTAAATGCATGTTCCAATTTTTCAAAATACCATGGTCTTCTGGTTTTCTGTTTAAACGCTACAAGACTAACGGCTTTATGAAACTACCACCCCTTGGAAAGGCTTTGTTTCATCTTTTTGGCTGTCAAGTTCATAAAGACAGGAAGGTGAACTGCATTCTAATTCTTTCTGAAACAAACAGATACATCATTCATGGATTAAATCTCAGTGGCCCTACTCCACTAGAATATCCATAAACTGGATATTGGCACAGGAACTGGCCATATTTTGAATGTCAAAATGATACGTAGTGCCCACAGGTCAATATGAATTCCTGCCCTCCAAAGCCCTTTGACCATACCCTGGTCTTCACTGGAAGAAATCGCAGCTATACAGGCAAGATAAAACTGGAGGGCTCTAAAAAGATTCCTAATAGTGATCAGGGACCAGAATAAAGAACCAATTCTCTTGCAGGTAAATGCTGCCTGACATGCAGCCTTATGGTGTTTCCCTGTGGTTGGCAGGACTCCACCTTGACCCAATATCCAGATCTAGCAAACTCTCTGCAGAGCCAGAGCCACGCCTGTCAATTCTAAATGTATCCCAACATGGTTATTTCTTTGGAACAGTAACTTAAAAATATATCCTGACTGATTTGGATTTACTAAAATGCAGTATTTCTGAAGTTAAAAAGCAAGAGGAAATTGCCTTGCCTGTTACAGAAATCTTGGAAAAAATGGTCTGAAAACCTTGTTTTAACGATCTAGATCACACTGAAAAAGAATTAAAAGCTTCAAAATCCATAATTGCAGAATTATTAAATTTATTTTAAAAACAAATCAGTTCTATTGCATATGAATATGACTTTAATTGGAGGCGGGGAGGAATTATACATGGGTTTAAAGTTAGGCCCCCCATAAAGACTTTTTAACTAATGTAAACATGTACCTTTCCTGAATAGTGATGCTTTGCTTAAACCACCAATATTTTTTGCACATCAAGAAATGAAGGACACGTTTTATTTTAATTGTGAAAAGAACAAGTAGTTGTGTGGGGTTCACATCCACCACCAAATTCTGACTGAACTAAAAGACAAGGTTTGAGTTCCATACGTTAAAGCAATACCTGTGATTACATCGGTAAAGCCTTTTCAGTTTTAGGAATTCACATCCATATATTTTTATGTCTCTAATTTGACAATAAAACTATTCCATATTTCCCCTTTCACAGTAAATTCTGTCAACTTCACTTTCCAGGTATTGAGAAATTAACTGAAGACAAGTTTGCAAGTGTTCCAGAAGCATAGAAAGTCTGCTGCGTGTAAGGGGCGGGGGTGGGGGGGGATAAAAAAAAGCTATTAACAGTTTCTTTCTGAAAGACAGACTTTCAGAAGTTTGCAAACCCTGATACCTGGTTGTTTCCAATTGAATTCCAAGTGGCACATAAACTACGTGCTCCTGAACCCTAATTCAGCATCTGTACAGATATTAAATTGTTCTAACATCCTTTCTTTTTCAAATCTCAGTTCTCACAGTTTTGAATGCAGGCAAACATCCATTGCCACATTATCTCCAAACCACAGAAGTTTTGTCCATTTTGGTTTACCCTTCCCTTCTCTGCTGGCCACTTGCTACCACAACAGATCTGCCAGCTGAGCTGCTTCCCAGACTTCCTCAAAGCTCTGCATGTAGATCTGAGGCAGCAGCACTGGTCAGGGAGAGAATGGAGACAGTGAGAAATAGCCTGTTCTTCCACCAAAGGCTGGTTTAGAAAAGCGTATTTTTGTCCATAGGCCTGTACACACCGAGAAGCGGACTGTACATCTGCCTGTGTGCTGGGGGTACAAGGATTAATGCAATATTAAACATCAAGAAGGGTAGCTGAGTAAAAACCCCAAACCAACCAACAAATATACCCTACTTTGTAATGAAAACTGTGGGGGTGATGAAGCACTCAGAGTTGAATCAAAAACAACTAAAAATACAGAATCCGCCTCTCAGCTCTAGTCATTTCAGGTATCCTTTGTAGGAGCAGCAGGTTGAATGTTTCCAAAGGAGCATGATTTGTACATAGTATCTGTCTTTTTAAATGTTTTGACGTCAAACTGGATTTGGCGATAGCCTTTGAGATAGTTATGCTATGTCAAAGCCTTCCTAATTACAGTTTTCATCATTCATTTGCTATATTCTTTAACAAACATGTCACATTAGTAACAAAGCAGAAAAGTGTGAAGTAAACAAATTGTTTAGAAATTACCACTCCAGCTGGAGGAGATCATACAGCATTTGAACTAAGCAGCAAGATTCTCAGCCAGGAATCAGTGAAAACCATACCAGAAACATCACTTGTGATGAATAATACCCAACACAAATTGTTCAAAATAGCTACTAGCCACTGAAAACTATTACTGTTCTCCATGTAGGTATGCAAATGCTACTGACATTTCTTTCTTAAGTTTTTCTTCATACTAACTCTTGGAAGACAATCTTTAAAGACCAGCTTCCAACCATTTAAGCATGTTTAAGAGTACATGCATTAATCCTACTGAAATCAATGGGACCTAAGCACATGCCTGAGTGTTTTGTGAAGCAGAAATTAAGTACACAATTAAATATTTGCATCTGCCAAAGGACTTTGTTCAAATACAATGTCTAAAGAGTCTAAAAGTTATCATCTTTTTCCCTGTCATGTGAGAAACGCAACTAGCTTCGGTCTAAATCAGAAGAAAGTTCTGGCTTTGATCTAATCCAACACTGTGATGAATGGACAGGGGGAAAAGAGGACATTGATCATACCATGAGACTCTTGGAGTCTGATATTTGTACTTAACAACAGGAAATACAAAGCTTCAAAAGTGTTCATGGATAGACAGATTCCAAACTTTGGGAAAGAAGAAATGAACTGTTACCACAAAACAAAACAAAAAAATTATCACTAGTTCTTAGTTTTTAAATGACACACGAGGATTTTCTACTCTAAAAAAGCCTGCTGTATATTCTGGTAGGAACCTTCATATCTGAAGAAATTTTATATAAATCCTTAAGTTATATTTCTTTTTGTATTAGGGGAAAATATTTCAAATGCAATAAAATAGCAGAGTGATTGTAGAATTCATGACTGTATAGTAGGCACCTTTTCATTTTTCAGATTCAGATGTACAAACTATAAACTGTTAAATTGCTCTAAAACTGGAAAAGTTGTGGGTATTTGAATTTACTTACCTGAATACTCATTTAGCAAGTATCTGCAGATACAAGTCTAGATACAGAGTTAATGCAATCTGAGTATTAGTTTACACATAATATAAACCAATGTTCGACAATATCAAAATCCCACCAAACACTGGGGCCTTCTTACGCTATTATCAAATATAGTATATCACTGTGGGATAGCTGACAATCATAGAATGCTAGCATAGGCTCATTTATTAAATTGGGTCAGTTTTCAGACCTTCCAAATAGGAATACTAAACATTTATTTTTCCCCTCTGGAAATTTTTTTTTTACCTCCTGCTTAATACAGTCGTCATCCCAATTCCTAGTGAATTTATAAAAATATTTTTTTTATCCAATAACCCCGGCAAGGTAAAAATAGGAGTTTTCATAGCAAATGATAAACAGGCTCACGGATTATGAGAGAAACTAAACTTATTTAAATTGCCATACATTCGCTACCGAATCACACATCAACATTTTCTTTTTATGTGTGTTGCTGTCCACCTCAGACTAGCCGTTTTTAAGGTGCAGAAGCATCTTTCAAATATATGCATCTAACTTAATGATCAAGTTCCACACACTAGTGTCACATGCTTTAAATTTACATCATCTGCCCATCAAAAGCTGTGTTAAAAAACAGCACTAACTGAAACTGCATAATTCTTTAGAAATGACAGCACTTTTAATTCATAGAACAAAGGGTTGCTTATGTGGTTCTTTATATTACTAGATATAATTTTACGAAATAAGAAAAAGAAATGAAGAGAAAAAAAACATTTGAAAGAAGTTGCTGCACCTGCAAAAACACTCTTTAAGCTTACTATGAAATACAAAAAAGTGCACCCTTCTATATCTACATATAAAACATATTAGAAATAAAACTTGTGTAAAATGTTTGCTGTGCAAACTATAAAAAGTCAGTCAGTCAGTTTATTCTTTCTCCTAAACATTTTGTCACACTCTCTTGCTTCCTACTGCAGAGAATCGCTGTTATCCAAGACCAGCCCACTGATGTTTGTTGTTGAGAGATCTCCTCCATCATCTTCACCGCTGTCTACAGACTCATCCTCACTTTGCCCTGCCATCATAACCTGCTGAACAGCCAAAGTAGCACCATCGGATGACAAAGACTGAAGACTGTCTACATTCATGTTGACTGGAGCTGTAATTGTTACAACAGCACCTGGAGAAGCACAATTGCAGTACTTTAGTATCTTTCTCGTTTCTAATTTTAAGTAATGCATATTTATATATAATAGAGCTTGTTTCTAATCAACAGGAAGAAAATTTAAGGAATTAAATGAAAACAAAAGCTATACAGGTTGTCAAACACTTAAATATCAGGAAATCCCAGAATTAAATTAGCCAGGAATAGCTGTGTTATGGATACCTATTACAACAATTTTCCAATCAAGTCATCACAAGACCATTTCTGCGAAGTATTCCAGCTTAATTCATTGCAGAAAAATGCAAGGGTTCACAGAGATTCAGGGTGACTTAAAAGGATAAAGCTGTTGTCAGACCCAGGAGATGCTGAGGGAAAAGTAATTACAAACTGGGAAAGAATAAAGCAGGAGACAGCAGGACAGAAAGGATGGTCTTGAACTTAAAGCAGTTATTTTTCTTTTTTAAATTGAGTCTATTTGATCTGATGCTAAGGAAGTTACTTTAGCCAAAGTCTTTGGAAGCTTTATTACATTTATCTGCTTCTCAATGTTCAACTTGAAACATGAGGCATATATAGAATTGCAGATGCTTAGTCCCTCTACGAACAGTGAAAGGAATGTGAACAGGATGGGGAGTCATGGAACTGCAGTTTCAGTTTCATACTGCTAATCAAACAGAATGCTACTGATGTGCATTACACATACTGAAAGAACTTAGTTGTTCACCTAACCTTTGTTCTGTATCTTCTGAAACAAAAGCAATTTTCTCTTCACATAAATTCCAATAAAATACCCCTCTAAAAACACAGAAACTGTTTAAAGAGGTATAATTTAACACATATCTGTTATGTTTTTCTAGATTAAAAACACATCTATACCAAGGTATCAAGAAGTTTCCTTCTCCTCAAGGGCATCAAACCCTTAATTTCCCTGTTACAGAGGAATTAACTTCAGTATCTGTGGTTTAGCCAGTTCTCCTTACCATCTGACATTGTAAGCTCATTAGATTGCTGCTGAGCAACTCCTGAGGCAATGGAGTCAGGCCAGAACCTCTGAACTGGTCGGTTCTGAGCCGTTTTCTTCTTTGTTTTTGGAGTTTCGGAACAACTGGAATCCAGCATTGGCTGAAGAATTCGCCTTCTAGCATTGATAAACCTAAACACAACCAAACGTAAGCAGTACTTAATAAGCAGTTGACTATAAATTCTCTCTCAGATTCACACAGTGTGCAGTGGGGGTGGGGAAGAAATATAAAAAATTCTTTCTAACATGTAAAACTGCTCCTAGAACACTGACATCCTTTGATTTTTGGTGAACTAGCTAAGAAAGTACTTCTATCATTTTGCTGCTAGCAGCAATTTTTCCCCTACTTCAGAAGGGGAAATTCTCTAGACAGCATGTACATTTCAAGATGTTATTAAAAACTAAGCACCACAAAACTCGCTGACAGCACAGCTCAGGAAGCTGATACTCCTCTCATTAGAGTTCACCTAAAACATAGCCCCTTGCCTATGTTTGTTTGGTCTGGTTTCATTTACCTCCTTAAGCTCCTGCATTACTTATTTTACAGGCTCCCTGGCTTTCCAAGGTCTGGTTCCTGATCCAGGAGACAACAGCAAACACATTTTCCAGATCTTTCCCATTTCCTTTTCATTCCCTGATTTTCACTTGTTTACTTTAGCATGCTGATTGCTGTCCTTCCACTTTCTGCTAGTAAAGAACATACTTAAACCACGTCTCACTTAGCCACCATTAGTTAGGTGAATCAATTTCAATGTAGCTACCTGTGGCAAGCTGCTGCGACTGAGGACGGCATCCCTTGCTAAATCTGACAAAACACATCCAGGACCCATTTTTACCTGCAGTGGAAGGAAGTTAAGGTGCAGCTGGCAGTTCCACATGATGTAATGCAATGCTTTGTAGAGATACTAGTTGGATCCCAGTACCATAAAGCTCAGTTACTGTGGTGTCACAGAGACACAGTTACACTGTTCCACTTCTGGAATCAGTGTACTGCTACTATCTTGAGTATTTCTCTGCAGCCAAACAGCCAGCGTCATCTTTGAAATCTGAGGAAGATCCCTGCTGGACTTAGCTGCAGCAATTTTAGGAACTAATACCACAAGCAGAATAGGATGCATGCTGGCACCCTTGATGCTCTTTTCTGCAGGGCAAGTATATTATCTTAAACCTCTAGTGAGACGTGCTAAAAACATGGTGAACCATGAACTAGAGTAGCTGGAGTACTGACACTCTCCATTTGGACATCACTGCTCAGAGAACAGCATCCTTCCACTGAAGAGCAGAATGAATAGCTGTGGACAGTAACTTCTTGAACATCTGCAACCATGATTTCCAGAGAACACTTTTCAGAGCCTCAGGTCACTAGATGCCTTTAAATTTCAATTTCTTTACTTGCAGGAGAGACATGAGAGTACTTCCATCTCTTTCAGCAATGGAAAAGAATGTAAATCCTTAATGTTGCAAAGTTTTCTGGAGTCCTTATATAATCTAAATGGCAGAAGTTAATGTTATACATAACTATAAAATAATATCCTTGTGTATCAGTGAGCGATTCTTGTATTTTTATGTATTTTTTAACATGTTCAAGTCCACATGTCCAAGTTATACTCTTAACTACTTCTCTATGTTGCAAGCATGTGGAGACAATGACAGATGCTAAGTAAGAGCTTCTGCGCTTACCAGTTGTTAACCTGGAGTAGTGTCAGATTTGTTTGTGCTGCAATCTGTTTCTTCTCATCCTCTGTTGGATATGGATGCTGAACAGGACAAAAAACAAACAAACAAAAGAAAAAAGGCAAGGCATAAGCTTGTTTCATCTCCTCATAAAAAATAAGGACTCCTTTATTACAACTGATTAAAGCTGCTAGATTAAGACCACCTGACTCATTAAAAACAAAACTTTAGAAATCTGTCAAACTTTCATATATGAAGATAATTTAACAAACAGCACTTCACTACACAAAGCTGATTTTATCCTTGAAAGTGATACCATTAAACTGCTGATGTGTAATGCAGAATAAAAAGCTTCTCATGGCTGACAGTCTTTATTAAACAGCATGATCCCCAGGCAACACAGCATGTGATAAGATCTGATTAGTTATGCTGTCTAAAAGCAATGTCGTATGAGAGTACTGACAAGCACTTTCTACTTAAATAAAGCTACTCTGAACTAAACAGATGAAGAGCATATGTAATATTAAAGAAGTGTACATGCATTTCCCCTGTATCATTTGTCTGTTGTAAAATATTTGTAAAAGACAAAATATCACTCAACTAAATACTGTGATATAACTTGAGACCTATTTATCCTTTTAGGGATAAGCAAAGGAAAAACACACTATAAAGAGCACACTTAGTCCAAATTAGAAGGACTGTTGGAAAGAAGATAAAGCAAAACATTTTGACATTCTCCTCAAAAAAATAAAACAACACACAAAACACAGATAGAACCATTTTTTCTCGTGCCATGAGCCAGGGCAAAGAGATCATTAAGTTCTCAACATAATGTGATGAAGAAAGATCCTTTTTAACAATGTTTATTAAGATCATGAGGTAAAATGTAACATACTTATTAGAACAATAATAAAAATCAACAGACATTAGACTGTGGAACTACTCCAAATGACTTCAGGGAAAACTGAACTGCGATTACGCAAATGACACCAGAATAAATCCACCTTCTTTACGATGCAAAATCATAAGAAACCACATAAAAGAGTTACATAAAAACCTGTGACTCCTGATCATGTTCCGTCCTTACCCCTATGTGCTGAAAAAGCCAAGATCTCATCACATTTGTGGCGTGCTTGGGAAGAACTCCTCTTTTATTTTTTGATGAGCCATCATCTTGATGCAAGATGCCTAGATCTTGGTTTAATTGCAACTGAAGCTGCACATACAATTTTAGAAGAAATAAAGCAGTTAACATAGTAATAGCATTCTGTATCAATGTATGAATAACTCGTTTATAGAAGGAATGAAATCAGGCTTGATGCATGCTGATTATAAAAAGCTATGTTATTTGCTAGGGAAGACTTACAATAGTAGCTCTCCTATAGCAGCATTCTAGGATATCTTTATCCAAGAAGAATGCGGTATCAGATTCCTATAGTTTTCACATGTCATGTAACTTCTGTTTTAAGAAGTATAGCTGTCATCAGGTTATGTCCGTGATCTTATGACAATTCCAAATGCTGGTTTATTATAAGTTAGAATGAAATCCACCTATGTAGCACATGTCAGGTTAATGATCCTCTGTACTTATCTACGCTACCCTAGGGATCCAACTGCTTTGTCAGCCTATGTAGTCATTTGCACACGTGAAGAGCAATTCAAAAACACAATGCTGAACATACTGTGTGCAAATACTAACAACAAAGCAAGCTGTAAACCAGTACTGATTAAAGCCTTAAAGTAAAATTAATTATTATGCTAGAGCTACACAGATGCTGAAGGTTCTTCTGAAGAAATACATCTAAATCCTCAAAGAGCAAGAAGATACATATGGTAGAACCCTCAATGCATTTTACGACACACTATTTTCCTAAAGGGTCCTATTTCTTTCTTACTTTTACTTTCTTTTCCACTTCCTGTGGGTACATCATTTACATATGAGTTACCAGAATATGATGGACACATTCTTAAATGCTTACGCAGAGATAACAAGAAGAGTAAATAAACTGTATATGAGATTATATTTCAGACAATTATAATGGAAATAAATCTAAACCAGTTTCTTCAGACAACACAGAGCAATTTTTTCAAGCCAGTCATTATGTCTATCTGTTGTATGAAACAAGTTTTAAACAAGGCTTATGCTATCAAATTACAACAAATATGTATTCGGAACATACTTTCTTTTTTTTTCCCCAGAATAATGCTTTACATTTTAAATAACCTGCTGGTGTATGGAGGTTTTACAATGAACTCAGGATAGGTCTTTCCCTACTGAGAAAGAAGAATTACAAGAAGGGTTTCCTATGGGTGACAAGGTTCAAACCCATTAAGTGCATTTGGAGATTACTTCTCACATCAAAAGCAGACATAGAGATACACATATATATAAAAAATATATACATGTATATTATATATATATATAAGGTCAAGACCATTTTTATTTATAGGCTATAGGAATTATTTTCCAGTCACTATTTTTTTTTCCCCTCCAAGGAATAAAAAGCATTTTTCTTCAAAACCACTTCAGCCTAGGATAGTAATTTTACACATTTCTTTCTGAAAGGCATCTGAGGACAGAACTGCATGCACTCAAGGGAAGAATACAGGCAAGTACATATATGCTACTGCCAGTGTAAAGAAAGTAAGGATATTCTAAGCATACTTTTTTGTTTGGAAGGTCAGAATAAGGAAGATGAGAAGACACTGCATTAGTGATCACCACCAGATTTTATACTGTGGAAATGGTAGCTCCTCATTCACACTTTTAATTGACTTCAGATTCCTGGAAGACTTATTTACCAGTTCCTGCTCCAAGAGAAAGCTATCAAGGTTTTCTGTAACTGAAGATGGTTTAGTTTTCACATTTCCTTTTCCTTAGTTGTTTCTTTGAACACTCCAGATCCAGCCCTTAAGAGCCTCCCCAAAAAAGTGCTGGCCCTTATCTTTTAGGATTTAACAAGCCCTATGTAAGGATCTCCCATAGTCTCACCTGAGAGTTTTGAAGGTTTTATGGCAAGATACTTCTCAGCATAAATAAATTCCAAAATACATACAGTTTCACAATACTGGTGGTTGCCATCATGATAAACAGCCGAATTTCAGACAACACCAGCACCACACCATTATGCAGCACAGTAAATCTATCCAGCCATAAACCTAACTTAACAATTAGAGAAGTTCTAATTATTGAAAAAAAGTGTCTATTTAATTCAGAGGGGTTTGTTTTTGTTGTTCAGTTTGGGGGGGATGTTTGTTAGGTTTGGGGTTTTTTATTAATTTTTTTTTTTTTTTTTTTTTTTTTTAATCCATGTACACTTTACTGCCATCAGTGAAAAAAAAAGGATACTTAACAGGTAGGAACTGTGATGACCTGCCATAGTGAGGGAGATCTGTCTGGGACTTTATGCCACTTTATACAACTTTTAAATCCTCCAGGAGTGATTGCATTAATTCTACATTAGTTACTATATGTGTGTACACATAGCTCACTCTGACAGTGTGTTAAATTTAAACCAAACCTCTTAAAACCAGTGAGATTTATTTGAACCCAGAATAGTATTCTGCACGAAACAAACCTGAGAGTTCTGGATCCGAATAGTCCCAGGTGACAGTGCTTGTGTCACCACTTGACCTTGTGGAGTGACCACAGTGACTGGCTGATACACTGTCCCTCCTTAAAATAAAACAGCAACAAAGATTACAGGTAAGTAAAAGCCCTTCAAATGTTATTCTTTTTAAACACACAGACACACCAGCACTGTGGACAATACAGCAGTTTTGATAATATATCAACTATTATCTTCTAGTAAGCAGGTAAGATATGCTCTTTGCTACACTACATTTTCCATGCACAAAAATCTGTACAAAATTTCATTTTATTTCCCTGCATTTTAGGCATTCTGAATCCATTTTCAAAGGACAATGCCATGACTATGGCTATAAAATAATTCATAGTTTTGTTTTAGCTAACTCTTCAGCCAACATAAGCCTCAACACCAATAACACACGTACACGTGTCAAGTGATTAGAGTGGTCAGCTGGGTGAGACCTCGATATTCAGATCAACCAAGGTGACTGAAGCTTGGTGAATGCACAGAGCGTCCTGGACACCAAAGCCACAAAGCACACATGGTGTCTCAGGATAACCTCTCTCCAAGTATATGCTGCAGGAGAAGACTGCACTGCTTTGTTGCCTTTGTAGTCAAGGTTTTTCTCTGTTTTTCTCTTTTATCTTGCTTCTAAGCTTAGATAAAACATTTCGGTTCAAATGTCGTCTCCACACAACAGCAAAACAACTTGGACATCCAGGATTTCACAGACTTGTAGGTGGGCTTCCAAATTCCACAGACCATGAGACAGCTAACAAGTTCAGTATTTTAGGTAATGCATGTTTTTGTCAAACAGAATGCCATTATTATATTTTTTTGAAGAAGGAAATGCCTTTTAACAAAACTAGTGTTGCACAGAAAGATCACTTAATATATATATATGTAAACTCCACCCACATATGCATAGTTAGTACACATATAAATTAAACAAGTGTTCAGAAACATTAAGGCATTTAACTGTATTGTAACAACTTTTCAGGTATTGAAATTAAAAAACCTTTTTAAAGTATTTGTGTGCTTTTTGTAACAACTATAAAAGAAACAAAATTAAGAGCAAGGTGCCAGTTTTTTGTTACTGTGTCATACCTGCTACTGTTGCCATAGTTACATTTCCCTGCTGCAACGCTGATGCTGGCACCATAATCCCTTGGGGACTGAGCGTGCCTGCAATGGCACTTGGAATTTGCTAGAAAAATAAAACAATTAGTTGTTTGCACTTTTTCTTTTTTTTTTTTTTTTTTTTTTTTTAGGGAGATAAAGCATGCTTGTGTAATTTTGGCTGTAAAACTACATTTGGAGTTTAATCACAGGATTAACTTCAAAGATAAGAAGACTTTCATTAGAGGTTCATCATTATGTACATTAACTTTTTCATTATCGCCAACCATTACCTTTGCAAACCCTCAAGAAAGCAACTGTTAGAAAAGACATAAAACTAGCTTGGGGAAATTTTAGGAGAGAAATGATTTCAGATATACAGATACTAAGAGAAACAGTTTCTAAACGTGCAAGGGAAAGGGGACACATGAAATGAACCCTCAGTGGTCATATTAGAAGCGTCAAAGATTTAGAATTTTATTACCTTAATTCCTTCACTTCCAAAATAATGTATTAAGTATTCAAGTTGCCAAATATATTTTATACTGCTCAGCATAGTTCTTACTCAACCATGACTATGCAAACTGTTACACTGTCCTGGGTTCAGCAGTAGCAGTCATTTTTCTCCTTCTTAGTAGCTGGTACAGTGCCATGTTTTTGACTTTCAGCCTGGGTACAATGCTGGTAACACCGATGCCTTCAGTTCTTGCTCAGTGATGTTTACTCTGACCAAGGACTTTCTTTATTATTCTTTAATATGGCATAATCTCTATTTTTACCAAATGGTAAATTCAGTTTCTCCTGTCTCTACAGAAGGCTGTAACAGATATACAAAAAGCATCTTTTAAAATAAGTTGCTTTTGTCTGATTTTAGACTCTCCTTTCCACACTTCCAGACTTAAGGAGTCCAGACAGTGAAGATTACGTCACTGAGGCTTTTCAGAATACACAGCATCGAACACATTAGCAAGTCAGAGAAGGGCCATCGCTTAAGACTAGATACGTAGCAGGCACTCTGATGACAGGACTTACTTTCTAGCATCCAACAGCAGAAGCATCAACCATAATGTAGTATCTGTTGTTAATTAACTGTTGTCAACTTACTACAAAAGATGCAATTGGTTATGACATTTAGGTAATGTCAGTAACACATAAACTGGGCTTCACATGTATAAAAATGGGTACTGTTCATAACTGCACAGCTACCCCAGGTGATATGCAATGATGTATTTCAAATATTGCAACTACAACCCATCAGACATTGTCTATTTGTTCCAGAATACAGATGGTGTATAAAAAGTATCAGTCACTTCAATATTTTCATGGAGCAGACCAGACTAAGGAGACCTTCTTAACAAGGAATTTTTTTTCTTCTTTGTTTATCCTGTTTCCTAGCCTTTTCCCAACAAAATAGAAAATCCGGGCTATTCTGAGTATTTCCATTTGCTGAACTGACATAAAAGGAATCATAAAAGGAAGACAGACTAAAAAAAATGACCCCATGCTTTGGCACATTTCAATAAATTTGTCCATCAGGCAATGGCACACAAGGGTGCACAAAAAAAATTACAGCTCTTTCTACTCCTAATAACCAGTTTTAAGAAAGCCAAAGAAACAGCAGAAACTCTGCTTGCAAACTAAAGCAACAAAAGCGTAGTTATAACTTCCTAAGGAAATCTGAGCAAAAATACATAACTATTTGAAGCATACCTGAGACTGCACAGGTGAATAAGGACTTCCAGGCTCTCCACTTAATAGAGTTTCACTGTTCATTTTTGTCTTCAGGCAGGCAATGTAACGACTACAGAAATCCTTGCAGAGTTCATTAACCTTTTCTAGCTCAAGCAGATGGATACGTAGAACCTGGATTGCTTTTACCATCTATGGAGGGAATTGGGAAAAAAAAAATAGAAAAAACCTCAACTGTTATTTAAAAGACTATTTAATCTGGATTTAAGCAGATACTACTTTCCAGTAACAAAGACTATCCAATTAAAGCAGTATTACTAATTGCTAAGTGCTGACTAGAATTCTCTAGCTGTGACCATTATGCTCCTGAAATGTGAAAGGATCATGTTTACATACAAAACCTGTATATTTCCACTGCATAAGTAAACCACCATAAAGAGGAAACAAAACACAACAACAATGTAACCTTTGTCACATGTGACTCATTAGGCAGACAGAGCACAGTTAAGGTGTACATGGAGCCCACGTGATCTTTATCCTCATCATACAGCTCTGGGTCATACACCACACAAGACTGAAAGTAAAGGCAAGTAATCCCATCCACACATACTATTTGGAAAGCATGGCTGAAACAGGCTTGGTAAGTAACAATCGTCTTGAGCCTCATATCAGAAGTATCAGGTTCAGTTCCACATTACACCCTGACCCAAGAAAAACAAAAGTGTACAGAAGAATTTGAGATACACTGCAAAGACCCCTTCTGTAACTTAGCATAAATTTGACACACAGACTGTAAGGGAGGGTAAAAGGCCTACCATCTGACCCATAATAAAAACACAGCTTTTATTTTTCTATAAAGTTAGAATAGAAAAGGTCCCAAAGTTTGTCACATTGTCCAGAAAGCTTGAAGTAATCAAACAGTTCTTCAGTCCTAGAGCTCTGAAGTTCTCCTGCAATTGTATATCAAAGATTAGCAACTCTGGGGTAAAATCTTGTAAGAAAGGAGACTCTTTCTGAAATACAAACCATTAAATACAAAGCACTAAACCCACTAACGATCCATGTTTAAACAAAAACTGAAGTACAGGAGATATGCACATGATGAGAATACTTATGATGCTTCTGTGAGAAAAATACTTGTAAGCTTGGATAGCTAATACTGCATAAAAATAGCTTAGGTGATTGTAAGGGTCACGACAGAAGATCAGCAGCTAAAATGAAATCCAGATGGTCTAAATTTTCATGAAGCAGCAGGAAATTGAGGACATTCAAATATGTACATAACACACTGGCAAAGTAATTATTTTTTATACAGCATGCTATCCCCAACATTTACTTGCTATGCTAGATCTCAAAGAAAAATATCCTTCAGTTTTATGAAACTGAGCAGAGTTTAATTTTGAAACACAGTGGAGAGCTTGCTTTTAGCATTATTTGGAAAAATTTGCCCTATGTGAAGGGTCATTTACCTGGCCAGAGCACTAAATCCAATGACAAGAAATGATAGCTTACTAAGCAATCCATTCAGTACAGTTCTTACTAAAGAAGGCAACTGGGAGCTGAAGATGCCTTTGTTCAAAGCACCTGAAGATCAAGGCAAACAAACATCTTGGTGTGCTGCCTTCTCCATCATGACTTTAGCTTTCATTGTGACAGATCTTTTTGCCATTTTTTCCAATAGAAGGGACTCCAGTAGTACTGCATTCACCCAGTGGAGACAACTGTATGCTAAAATCATAGAATCATAGAACAGTTACGGTTGGAAAGGATCTTAAAAGATCATCTAGTTCCAACCCCCCCCCCCCCCCCCAAATGGGCAGGGACACCTCACACTAAACCACATCAGCCAAGGCTTTGTCCAGCCTGGCCTTGAACACTGCCAGGGATGGAGCATTCACAACTTCCTTGGGCAACCCATTCCAGTGCCTCACCACCCTCACAGTAAAGAATTTCTTCCTTATATCCAATCTAAACTTCCCCTGTTTAAGTCTGAACCTGTTATCCTTTGTCCTGTCACTACAGTCCCTAATGAAGAGCCCTTCCCCAGAATCCTTATAAGCCCCCTTCAGATACTGGAAGGCTGCTATGAGGTCTCCACACAGCCTTCTCTTCTCCAGGCTGAACAGCCCCAACTTTCTCAGCCTGTCTTCATACAGGAGGTGCTCCAGTCCCCTGATCATCCTCCTGGCCCTTCTCTGGACTTGTCCCAACAGTTCCATGTCCTTTTTATGCTGAGGACACCAGAACTGCACACAATACTCCAGGTGAGGTCTCACAAGAACAGAATAGAGGGGCAGGATCACCTCCTTCGCCCTGCTGGTTACGCTCCTCTTGATGCGGCCCAGGATACAGTTGGCTTTCTGGGCTGCAAGCGCACACTGAAGCCAGCTCATGTTCAGTTTCTCATCAACCAACATCCCCAAGTCCTTCTCCACAGAGCTGCTCCAAATAAACAGGGAAGGAGGGAAGACTGCCTGGAGGATGGAGGCAGAGCCATTCCCTCTTCCTAGCCATCCCACCTCCAAAGCCTCAGGCCGCTCACCTGCCTTGGCAGTCACGGCTCCCCATATTCTGTGGCAGCTTTTGGCACAAAAGGGCTCGATTTCTGGAGCCCCCTGTACTAAACAGCTGCAATTAACTGTACACCCAATAACACTACCATGGTAAACAAAAGCTGGGGGGCTAGTATAGCGTCTTTGGGGCTGAACAAGAGTCAAAAAAACAAAAAAGTGATAGAAAAAGGGAAAGAATTCTTATCCTCTTCTTCTTTCTCAGGAGTAAAAAGAAAAAAATATCTTTATAAGCACAGCTGCAGAAAAATCTGAGCTGTAGACTTGAGGCAGTTGATCCAAATTAGTATCTGGTAACTCATACAACCTATCACACAGTATCACAGCATCACAGTATGCTAGAGATTGGAAGGGACCTCAAAAGATCATCTAGTCCAATCCCCCTGCCAGAGCAGGAACACCTAGATAATGTTACACACCAGGAATGTGTCCAGGCGGGTTTTGAATGTCTCCAGGAAAGGAGACTCCACAACCTCCCTGGGCAGCCTGTTCCAGTGTTCCGTCACCCTCACTGAGAAGAAGTTTCTTCTCAAGTTTAAGTGGAACCTCTTGTGTTCCAGTTTGTACCCATTACCCCTTGTCCTATCATTGATTACCTATGACACCAGAAGTCTTCTAAATATTAAGTGCAATGGCCTAGCACTGAGGTACACCTTCTAGAACAGGCCTCAGCAGTGATGACTGCTTAAACTGTGTTTAAGTACCTTAAACATAACCGAGTTAAGCTCTGCGAATTTAACTAGGTTTTAAAACAAAACAAAAAAGACATCTATGTTTAAAGATATTTTACCTGCGTTTCAAAGACAAAAAAGCTTAAATTATAAAATTTTTCATGTATGGAAGACCAACAAAGAGCACATACATTAGTGAATGCCTTAACATTCAGCTTCAACTGAGGTAACAAAAAAGGTGCCTTTGGGCACATAGTATTTGACCATATCAGTGATTAGTTTTACTCAGTCAGGAGGTTTTTTTTCTCCCCTCTTAAACCAGAATCCACATTTATACTATTTATTTATCAGCATTCATTCAGGGGAAAAATAAAAGTCCTTTCTTCAGCTTAGATTTAGTTTCCGATTGATGGTTGGTACTTGAAGTGAAAACTGAATGAAAGTCAAAACTGACCATAAACCAAGAATTAGTAACAGTACCCACGTTTCTGCAGAGCCACACACAGTCACACTGCTCTTACAGGAAGCTGCGCTACTGTGGTTAGGAAGGCAAACAAAACTTTGTAAATATGCCATGCCTGTCACCAGGACTTATTTACTCATTTACAGCTATGCTAATTGTGGCCATATGGCTCCTGCTCTTGCAGCATGGGTGGACCAAACCGTAAATTTGTTGGCAAAGATCAGTTTTCCTTGAAATAATAATCCAAACCAAAAAAGCAAGAACTCCTGATAAAATCATCCTTGCTGAACGAAGGTAATACAAATAAATGCTTCCAGACAGATCACAGCAGCAGTAATACTTCATTCCTATGTTCTTAAATTTCTAACCTTAAAAATCTACAACAATCATGAACAAATCTACAACAGAACAATAAATTTTTATAACACAACTGATTCAGCCTTGCCAGCTGCAGAAATAAACCTGGAGCATAATTTCCACAGAAATGCACAAAGACAGAAGTAACCATAAGATATATGGCAATTGTTGGAACTGTTCTATTTAAATAAAGGTAACGGTAAACTACTTAGCAGGGAAAAAAGATTACAGAAAAACTTCCAGTTCTTGCTAAAACTGCTATCTACAGCAGTGATAAATTTATCATGTATTAATTTTGGAGACATCTTTAGCCCTAAAAATGCCTTAGATTGTGCCTGCATCCTGTCTTTTCAGTGCCTCAAGCACATGATGCATAGGGCATAGAACACACTATGGTCATAATCCCCAGATCACCTTCATTTATCTAAAACATATACCCACCATTTTTTACAAATTTCAGGGCACACAGCACAAGCATATAGCAAATACAGATGGGGACAACATATATGGAAAAATCTTCATATACTGACAACTAATCTTCTCGCTCAAATGACTCTTCTTATTTGAAAAAAAAAAAAAAAAACAAAACACCCAAGAAACAAATCACCAAAAAACCCAGTTAAAATATGTACATTCACAACTACCCTGCATTCCTGAGCAAATCCTTCTGGGGCAATTTAGGTATTCAAGGGAAGAATGTGAACTCTCGGAGGGGGGCTATTTTGTTTTCATTTGTTTTGATTTGATAACCTCTCTCCTATGTTTTAAGACCCCAACTAGGACCCAAACATTGCTAGCAAAGGTATGATTAGAGGTTTATGAGACAGTTGTGCACATTACAATAGTAAGAACGCTTTTCAGAAATGTAAAAGCATAGCTTGTTCAGTGAAGAATATCCATACGACATCAGCTGACTTCACCACTACTAACACTTTTCCTGACACAACTGAAAATTCAACAGGATAGTCTTTGAGAAGAAGGTACTGAACCAAAATTCCTTATCCCAAATGAATCAAAAAACTTGGGTGTCTTCAAAAGAAGGTAGTGTCCTGTTCAAATAGGAAAGTGAGAGTATATTTAATGCCCCCTTGTTTTGTAATGCTTCTTGACTTGATAAAGCCTTAAGATACC